CTGAGACCTGTTAGTAGCTTATCAGATATATTGCTGAAACTGAAAATGGTAAACCTAAAATTCGCCTTTTTCTATTTGAATAACGTTAAGGGGGCATGTGATAAATATGCATACACAACCAATTTACTTCAATCCCTTTAGAAGTTCTGATGCACTGGTGATCATATTCTGCATAATGTTGAGAAGCCTTCACTCAACAGAGAGAGCTACAGTCAAGTACTCAATCTGAACCTCCTTTAGGATATTCACCATCGATAGAGCACTAAATGGTGTTGCCTTTCAAAAATCACTCCTTGAAACTTCTGGTTTCAATGGCCTGCATCTACGAGACTGTTGGTTACATGAAGTGAACCAACTCATCGAGTTCTATTTATCCTGACTTGAGAAAACGTATTGACTTAAGATCTGCGGGTATGAAAGTTGCGTTACTTCAGAAGATTTTGGACTGAGGCATGCGTTCATACCTGTTGCAGGATACATTACAGCTTGTGGATATCAAGAGGAAAAGTAGTGTTGGACTGTTGAAATACTTCCGTTGGTTCATCTGAGCCGTGTACACTGCCTGGTTCAGAGTTCTGGATCTAACAAAAATCACTAGTTGCAGAAATCTCTAGACATGACTAAAATCGGTCACAATGTGATACAGATGTATTCGCTTTTCGATATTTTCAATAATTTGAACATTGTCTAATTTATATCAAAACTTCTCAATCTCCAGGTGCTAAACATTCACGTTATAATAATCTAATCACTTAGTAATAGTAGCGGTTAGAAAGGCAGTTAAGATAATGCTTGACCGACTCACTGACTGGATGATTGACTGCATAGTTAGTTACTACGAAGGAAGACTAGATACTTTTCGAGAGGTGGGGTTGTTACTCGTATTGGTAAACTCACTACTAATTGTACTCAACAACATTGTCAGACAATATGATGATAGTGTGTGCAGTGTAAAATTGAACCTTTCAGGTCTTTGTTTCTACATGAGGAATAATATTCTCATTTTACCAGTGGTTTCACAATGATTGAATATAAATAATATGGCCTGATATGTGAGAGAGTTGGAGGGAGGAGGGGGGGGGGCGGAGGAAAGAATGAAACATTTAAGATTTAACATGTTCTCATGTCAGGCAGGATAATTTCAACATCTCATACATATCCATAACGCCAATTGACTGGATCGGGTGAACCTGGCTAGCTATGTACCCCATTTCGACACAACATATAATCAACATCATCATTCGGCTGTTCGTGAAGAAGAGAGTGTACTATTGAAACGGTTCATCTGTCATCTATGCATTTCCAAGAGAGGGGGGTGGGAATTAGTAGTATGGTGTGAACGTGGGTGTGATTTATAATCTGATAGTGATGTTTACAGACAGGGGTGGGGGCGTTGTAGTGACATGAAAACAGGGAGGTGTAATGTTTTACGTCAGCTGAAAATTGATTTGAAATGTGGATCTCATGATAAAAATGTCACTGGTTGTATTACACTTCAAAAATATGTAATGATTATCTTGATTACTTACTTTAACAGACTGTTTGGTACACTGAAGGTCAAGTGTTTGTCATCCATTTCGCAACGAGATGATCAGTAGTAGTAGTGTGACGGAATTTATTGTCTGACATTCGTGGTAGGAATGGGTGTAAGGGTGTGGGTGTTGAGGTAGATAGAGGGGTGTAGTGACGCGAATGAATTCTTATAACGAAACGTTGGATGGGAAGTCATCATCTCTCTAGCTGTCACTGAAATATCATGATCTCAACTGCAACACTGGTTTTCGCTGACTAATAATGATACATACACTTTATGTGAAACCTACCTTTATGCTTTATATATATGCTTATATGCTTTATATAGTCGACTTTGTGATTTGGAATAGCATACAAAATTCGAAGGGAAAATATATGTGATACTTGTTGACTATGCAGATTGAGCGATCTTTTCAGGTATGTAATTCATTTCTTGTACCGAGCAACTGTAATATTGGAGACATTTGCTCCTTGAGATGAAGGGGATTTGGAACGTGTTCACAGAATCTGAGGTATGGCCTCACCTTTCTCCCAATATAACTAACATCGAGGGTAGATGCTAACTTAAACATAAACCATGTATAGGTTGGATTGTAAACATTTTTTTAACTAGCATTGAAGCTTAGAGGAGCCTCAGCATAATGACTCAATCTGTCAACCAATAAGAATCAACAAGAGGGTGAGATTTCAGGTCATCAGGACAACAAGTCAAAATAACATGAGAACAAAGCAAGACAAGATCATGGCAGAAACACGCAATCACATATTTCGGCCTCCTACACCAGGTACTGAATAAATTGTGAAGAAATCCTTCTGTGTGACTTCTTTCTGAAGTTGTGCTAATGGTTTTGGTGATTATCAGGTGTGAAGTAAAACAAAGTAGTAAATTGGCACCAAAAATAAAAATCAGCTGAGGATGAAACGAAAACCAGAGAACACTAAGAATTTGTATCAACCCCCCCCCCCCCCCCTAATGACAAACACCGTTCTAAAGTTTTTGCTTATCACTAATTACTGTACTACACAGTGAAGCATCCTTCTAGGCAGTAGTTATGTATACACACACGATAATCTAAAAGACAAATAGATGAAATCAATGTAGGATCTGACAAAACGTGTTTCACATCCATCTGTTATATTTCACAGCAGCGTCCAAGGACGAAGTGTGTAGAAGAAGTGATAATAAGATGGAAGAGTGTCTACGGGGGGAGAGAAAATTAAAAATTGAAAGTTACCAAAAATGTGCCAGATTTCGACCATGTAGAGGACTGAATCCATCTGCGCCGCTGTGACCAATTTTTAAACATATTAGCAGTGGTCTCTAATCATTGGTTTCTCTTATCTCTTGGATCACAACAAGGCAGTAAATACCTTTCTACTTAACTCAGATCAACAGACAAATACTTCATGAACTGGCTAAATGTCTTGGTTTGGCCATGGTTGATCTTCTTCAAGCGCAAATCTATTTCAGCTAACACTGAACGTCGAGACAGATAGTCCCTCTGTTTGGGCAAGCACATACCAAAGCTTTCTAAGTCGATGAGAGTTTACAACCTCGAGGACAGAAGTGTCCTCTCTGATTAGTATCGTTCTCTTATCCTCGACTATTTTCACACTGTGATTCCAATATGCATCAGCAGTCCTATGAATACAAACACCATACACAAAGTGTACCACTTTTTTATCCCTTTCCAATGGCCATGTTCGGTAGCTGAACAACAGGACATACAGAAATGTAACGCAGTATAAACGTCTTCTAGCAGGTAGTAGTTGGATATCACGCTGGTATCATGGATCATTTAAATGTCAAGCCTTAAAAAAAACCTTACGTATCTGAGCTGAGATTTCATCAACAAAGGAACTATATGTGTCTATTGGTCAATGCAGTGTACCACTTCATTTCCTATCTTTAAACTGCAAGGTGGCGTAAACGCGCTTCAAAGCATCACTTTACATCTGATATGTGCAAGTATACTCATAGTTCTACTGCAGATGTTTAAAGGATTTTTCAAATTTCCAGCATAATCACCTGACAGGACAATGTCATTTGTGTACCCCAAGACAACCAAGTATTCTTTTAGAAGCTAATTGATTCCTGCAAATTTCGACGTATCCACGGTTATTTTCATTAGCACGTATGTAGCAACGTCAGGCATAAACGGTTATTATTATTTGTCCCTTGGGTTCCTAGTGGGACATACGGCTTCAGTAGCACGTCTCCATTTCACTCTCATCTCTGCATTCTTCTCAACCTAGCTCCAAGACTACCCATAAGATTTCATTTCTTCCTCACACCATCTCCTCCGATCACTCTCGGACACCCAACTCGTCGTTTCCCGTTTGACTTCTACTCGACATCCTGGCGTGGCATGTGGTGTCCCCAAATGATCTCAGTGTATGTCCAATCCAATCCATCTCCACTTTCTTCTGCATATTTGTTGAGCGATGGGTTGTTGGTTGGTTCCTTGCCAGCCGGAGTGAGTTCCTTGTTGTTTAATCTTATTATTCTGGCCATCTATCTGATCTTCAGTGTCAGCATCAAGTGAGTGTAGACAACACTTGTTGATGTGATGTATGTGTAAATATGTTTGCTGGAAAAACGTTTTGTAACGCGCCGCCGAATCTCTCAATCGTCACATAGAAGCACTGACTTGACTGACATTAGTGTTGGAAATCCGGATCATGTTCGCGCCTTATGCTGAGTGCAGTACATCTCCACACTGATTTCAGATAAATGGAGAAAGCTTTGTCTTGCTGTATTTCCGATCCTGCCTGCTTTGACGTCCTCATTTGTGCCGCCGACGCCTGTAGTGGAAACGATGTTTCCTTGCCTAGGTAGGTGAAAGTGACAACTTGCTTTAGATTTCTCCCGTTGATAGTGATTGATGCTTGTTGTTATTATTGTCGTTGTTGTCAGTTGGGTATATTCATCACCTCTGTCTTCTCTACGTTCACCTCAGGGAAGTCCCATCTTCATCGCTCTGCTTCTTCTCTCAACTAGTTAGTTTTCGTTTGTAGATTTTCGAGTTTGTGAGACAAGATATTAGACATAAATCATCATCATCGGCGAAATCCAAATCTTTTAGGGTCTTTTCAGACTATATCCACTGATCTTATGTTTTAGCCTAGTTGCCCCGAACGTTTCGCCAGCCTGAACGTACTTCAGATAACATTACACGATGAGAGAGACTGTGATTAGATATGCGTAACACATCTCTCAATCACCTCAGTCGATAAAGGTCCACAATCTTATCAATTTCTACAAATACCCAATGGATAGCACAACTAGTTAGTCAATAATGAAGACATTACATACAATGTGTTCATTTACAAACAAATTTCTAATAGTTATAAAGTACATAAGCACTTTCGTTGTTATTGTTATTGTGAGAGAATTACAAAACTTGTTTCATAGAAATATATATATAATCAAACAGATAGAGATTCCATGATAATCTCTGATTATTTCAAGTTGATAAAATCCTGCTATCCTGATCAGATGGATAAAGGAATCTATACAACCAAAGCATATTTGGAATAGGTGTTGTAAAGCAAAACTGTTTTCCAATTGAAAGAAAGTTAATCAACGATGGTGTATCATCTTAAAGATAATTAAGGGAGAGAAAAAACTGATTTTCATTAAAGCAATGAACTCTAAGCGTTAAAATACATTATAAATGATATGAAATAACATATGATTATCTGACGACTAATAAATCATACTCTTATTGGGGTGGTTAATCATACAATTTTGTTATATATCTATCATATATACTTCGAGAGACGTTGATTTAGTGTGATATAAGCTTTGATATTTGATCGTTAACGATTCAACATCTCAGCTGGGTGGGATACACAAAGCCCCTTTGGCATTTGCCATTCTCCATCATCTGTGGCGTCAACTGGCGAGATATCCGATTACCTATCAAAGGACGAGTTTACTATGCATTAGTATGTTCTTTTCTGCTCTACGGCTTTGAGTCAAGACCGTTAAATGTAGAAGACAAGAAAAGGTTACACAGTTTTCACTATAAGTGTTTTCGTAGCATTGCTCACATTTGATGGAATCAATGTGAGCAATGTTGACGTCGAGCGAAGGGTACTAGGTAAGATAGGCAAGTCGATTGATGAGGTTGTAAACCTTAGTCGACTGAGATTGCTTGCTTGGACAGGTACTTCGCATATCGAGGCAGCAGGTACCTCGAAGTGGAAGTTGCATTACGTTGTAAGAGGGTTCAAGCATGGCCAGCAAGACCAATTCGTGGTATCAGTCGATGAAGTCTCCTACTGTTCGTCTGAGCTATATGGAGAGAGGTTAGCTAATTGACTGGGGTCCCTGAGAAGAAAGGAATGAGTAGTTGAGAACTTTTGGTGAAATGAGTGAAAATCAGTCACAATGGTGTAGATGCATTCACTCCATGATATCTTCTTCTAAAGCTTGAATGCTTACAGCACTATCCGTTTGTCTACTAAGGGTCGCGTGTACTGCACAACAGTCCCCTCTGTTCTACTGAATCGCTGTGAAACATGACCATTGAACGTGGAAGACATGAAAGGCTTCAAGCGTTTGACCACCACTGACTTCCTATTATAGGCTGTATTCCGTGGTGTCATCATGTGAGTAAAGCAGAAGTCAGGCTGAGGCGTGGAGTTTTAGGGAGTAGAGATAAATCAGTTGACGAGATTATGAACCTTCATCGACTGAAATAGTTGGGACACGTACTACGTATGCCTAGTCACCGATTGTCTCTTCACACAATGTTGGCCGAAGTAGGTCCAGACTGGAAAAATGCCCGAGGTGGCCAAACTCAAACATGACACCAATGTATAAAGTGTTTGACTGTTGGTTTGAGCCATGTGGGGGCGATGCAGACTAGGTGGTTGGGGTCCACGGGACAACAGGAACCAGTGGTTAGAGACTCTAGATGGTGTTACTCAGAACGGATGTCAGTGGCGCAGATGTATAAATACGTTATACTCATCTTAACGATGCTACACCGAACTTCACTACTTTCTCATTCTTCGTTTCTCTCACTTCGTAGTTTAAATTTCTTTTGACTGCATTCTCATCTTTCACCCTACTGCCTTTTTACTTGATGTACTGATATGAGCTATGGCAGGCAACTCAGACCGTTACGCAGTAATGCCTAGTCCTATGTTGATACTGATTGATTGATTGCACTATCCTTTATCTTCAAATTGTTTATTCTCTCACACAACTTTGACTACTTTGATTCAAGTCTTTTTTATTCACTTGTTGTGTACGAGTGTAAAATGTGGTAGGTTGAACCAATGAACTTGATTTTGTCTGTCAGTTCAGTCAGTCATTACCAGGCTTGGTGACATACTTAGCACTAACTTCTATATGAAACATTCACAACAAAACAACAAAGGTCAGATAACATCAAATCACCATCTTCTTTCATTCTGAACTACAAATTTTTTCCATTATTTCAATATACTTGAAGTAGTTCATAGAAATCTAAACAAAAATACAAATTTCTCAAATGGTAAACTCATATAGATCAAAATACTGATTGATCCATCAGAAAAAAAGATTAGAGATCAGATTGAATACTCTGTCCACCTGCATAGATCATAAGATTGAAACATTTGATCAGCACCACTTGAACAAATGAACAGTTTCATTATACAAATGAAGTTAAAAAAATCGAGCCACCTGTATTCTATGAAGTTTCAAGATACTACTTGACTGCTCAAATATCGATATATGAATCCGGGGTTCGAACTAGTAACCTCTTGGTTAAAATCCCAATATCTAAACTAATGAGTCAAAACTTTATTGTATACATAATCATATCCATTTGTTTTCGATGAATTCAGTTAACTTGGACTACGTATTATTACATATCACATAAAGACATTAACAATGATATAATAAACTAACAGTTTAGATGAGATAAATTAAAATACTCACCTTTAGGTAAGTAATGCGATAGAACAGTGCAGTCAGGTAGGCTGAACCATAAACGGAATGCTTTTACCAATCTGGACTGGAATAGATTATGCTCACTGATAGAAACTTCAATATTAGGTGAATTGAAGTAATAACTGCGTAGACCAATAGACAGTTCTATGTTAATATGCAAAAATAAAATATGAAACAGTTAGCGTTCCCCCTATCGTTTAATTCAATATGATAACCAATTAAAATGCTAAGTGTCATCAACACAAATTGATTCCATTGAACACCTATCGTAAACTAGGTGAATAAATGTCATATAGTTCATACAAACAACATCTCATGTATTATTATTATTTATCCCTTGGGTCGCCAGTGGAACACACTGCTTTAGTAGCACGCCTCCATTTTACTCTTTGCTCAGCAATCTTTTCAACCTCGCTCTACGACTGCCCACAACCTTTCATTTCTTCCTCACATGATCTCTTCCATGTCACCCTCACCTCAGACGCCTAACTCCTCGTTTCCCTTTTGGATTCCACTCAACAGGCTGGCCTGGCGCGTGATGTCCCCAATCGGCCTTCTCAGTGTATACCCTATCCATCTGCACTTCCTTCTACTGCATATTTGTTGAGCGATAGCTTCTTGGTTGGCTCGTTACCAGCCAAAGTTCCTTGTCACTTATTCTTATTATTCTGGTAATCCATCTGATATTCAGTGTCAGTATCGAGCCAGCGTAGGCGGAACCTGTTGATGAATGTCTGTAGTTTGTTCGAAATGCTTTTCGTGACACACCAAGTTTATGAAACATATACAAGCACTGACTTGACCTGCTATTGGTGTTGAAAATCCCGATCTTGTTCACGCCTTGTGCTGAGTGGAGTGGAGTGGAGTGCAGTGCAGTAGATCTCCACACTGATTTCAGATAAATGAAAACCCATCTTGCTGCCTTTCCGATCCTGCCTGCTTTGACATCCTCATCTGCACCGCTACCCGTAGTTGAAACTATGCTGCCCTGCCTAAGTAGGTGGAAGAGACTACTTCCTGTCAGTTCCTTCCGTTCATGGTGATTGGTGCTTGTTGTTGTCAGTTGGGTATATTCATCACCTCTGTCTTCTCTACGTTCACCTCAGGGAAGTCCCATCTTCCTCGCCCTGCTTCTTCTCTCAACTAGTTAGTTTTCGTTTGTAGATCTTCGAGTTTGTGAGACAAGATATTAGACATAAATCATCATCATCGGCGAAATCCAAATCTTCCTCTGAGAATTTTTCATAGGTCCAGTCAGCGTATGTCCATCTTCTCGTTCCCCACGGTTTACTGCATGATTCAGTGCATTACAATCAGGAAGATCATTCAGTGTTACTAGGCAGCTTTGTCTTACTCTTGTCTTCCCTTCAAAGGCATCACTGAGTCTTTCATTGTAGATCACTTGGCATATGGCGTGTTCATATAGCTGTTGAATGAGGTTGATAACGGTTTTTAGCACTGAATCCGTAGTGTTGAAGCAACTGCCTGCCAAATTACTTCTCAGTCGACATTGCTTTAACATGTTATCATATAGGATGATGAAGTAAAGCAAAAGCTTTAAAAAAAAACGCTTAGTACTTACCATCTTTGTGTTTGATAAAGTGTTGAGTAACACGTGCGGCTAGAACACGACCTAGATCATAGTATGCTGATGATAATGAAGACGAAGAGGAAACCATTTTTTCAGTGTGTATAAGATTATTTGAGTCAGTCAATTTATTCGGTGATGGAAAGCGTTTTAAGAAGGCGACTAACAGTTTCAATTGTTTCAACATACAAAGATCTAACCATTGTTCTGAACATTCATTCAGCTTGAAAAGAAATAAGTGAAAAAAAGAAGAAAATGAGTACGTTATAATGAAATTGTAACAAAATACTTTTTGATATTATTTTTTTACGCATAATAAGTGAAATGAAATAAAAATTACATCTGTACAAAAAATCAACTTGCTGGCCACGGAACCTTAAGGTCACGGGTTCGACCCCTGGCGAGGTCGTGAGTGCGCACTGTTGAGAAGTCCCATATAAGTGGGACGAAACAGCTGTCCAGTGCTCCCAGGTTTCCTTTGTTCCTCTGCAATTGATGTCAGTCTACGATGAATAACAACTTGGAATAGGAATTGTGTTTGTACGAATTTTAAACCTTACCTGATTAACTACTTCACTAGTTACTAGTCGGTCCCTAAGCCCGGATAAACATGGAAGGCTAAGGCATAAGGCTAACAATCCTACCTCCCGTAAACCTAATCTAATCGCTAAAGAAACTTCAAAACACAAAGAAATGATAAGAAAATAAAACAAACGTAGACACTAATCATTAGTTATTCGTACTTATAATATACCCACGAATGCGAGATCAAGAAATGACACAATATCGTAGTCAGATAGGATTAGTATATTTGCGAAGTTGTGCCAAAGTACTACTGCAATCTCATTAACTGGCTAAAGAATCGATTACGAGTAGAGCAACGTATCACGATAACATGCCAAATACGCATGGATGCTTGAACGTGTACTATCAGCGCTTAACAAGTCCCGATTAAACTATAAAGATCAACATCAACATTGAACATCGTCAAACTCTAACTTATTGATTTTGAGAAATTATATGTCATTACAAAGTTATTGGAAAAAGGGTAGATCACTGAGTTCAAGTACGTTGTCAAAGCAAATCACTCACTGACATTAGCATAGAAAGAAAGAATCATTTCCATCAAAAATGTAAGGAATGACTGTTTCTAAGATTACCCGACCCAGCCGAAGCAAACATTTCAAATACGATTGTTGATACCATCTTTTAATGCATATATTAACTTTTTGACGTTGAATCGGGGCAAATACGTTGGTTGTTGAGGAAATCTCACAACCTCATCAATCGACTTGCCTGTCTTGATTCGTATCCTTCGCTTGACCTCAACATTGTTTACACGGTGATCCCCCACCAAACGTGAACAATGCTGTGTAAACATATATGATCGCTTCATGTCGTTTGAGAGGATTTGAAATGTAACAAAAATCCATAAGGACAATCTTGCGACAGATCCAAAAGAAACTAGTGTTATTAACGCCTTCAGTGTTAGGCTAGACAAGGCTAGACATCCACCAGACGTATGCTTACAAACGTACACAGGACCAGACATTACTGTGTAACGGTCCAACTTGCCACAACTCATATCAGTACATTAAGTAAAAGACAGTGAAGTGGAAGATAAAGAAAAGAAAATTCAGTCAGAAGAAATATAAAGTATGAAAAGAGAGGAACGAAGAATGAGGAAATGGTGAGATTCGGTATGGTGTCATTAAAATGAAGATAATGTATGTATACATCTACACCGCTGACATCCGTTCTCAGCCATATCTCCTATAGTCAGTCTCCAACCACTGGTTCCTCTTGTCCTGCGGACCCTAAACGGCTAGTCTGCATCGTCCCCACATGGCCCAAACTAACACTCAACAACTTCACACATTGATGCTATGTCATGTTTTAGTCTGGCCGAGAGCCAAGAGTCTTTTTCCAGTCTGAACCTACTTCAGCCAACATTATGTGACGTGGGAGACGGCGACTACGCATACGTAACACGTGTCGAGGCTAACCATCTCAGTCGATGAAGGATCATAACCTGTACTCCCTAGAACTCTATACCTGACGTCTGCGTTACTCACGTGATGACAACAAGGAATACGGCCTATACTACAAAGACAACGGTGGTCAAACACCTCAAGCCTTCTCATGTCTCCCACCTTCAATGGCCATGTTTTACAGCCATACAGTAGAGCAGATCGGACTGCTGTGCAGTACACGCCACCCTTAGTAGACAATCGGATATAACGGCGGCGCCATAGGTAGCGTAAATTGGCAAAAGACAATCGAGCCTTTTGTATTCGTGCAGAGATTTCATCGGCAACTGACCCACCACAGCTGATCCTACTCCACAGGTAAGTGAAGTGATCGACACACTCAACCTCTACACTCTCGATTGTTAGCCGTGGTACCGCTGGAGACCAATCCTGGAGCAAAAATTTTCATTTTGGTGTTAAGAAACTCATCCCAAACATTCTCAAATTGACACTCAAAGTGTTCAGAAGACTCTGTATCTTGTCAGCGTCTTCACCTAACAGGACTATGTCATCTGCGTATTCTAGGTCTAGCGAAAATTCTCCTGCGATTAGGTTAATGTCTGTGTAGTCAGGTGACAAGAGGAAGACCTGCATAAGAATATATATGATAAAATTGAATAAGAATGGAGACAGTAGGCAAGAAATAACGACATACTTAATCAAAGTACTTCAAACCACCGCTTACCCATGATTCTAAGACATTTAATTCTTCGCCTTCATCTCTTCGTTTGACGAAAATATATCCCGCTTGAAAAAATGTCCTCCTAGAAGCAGAAAAGTATAAAAAAAAAACAGGTTAACTACCAGAACTAGATTCGGGAGTATATTCATGAAAAATCTGAAGAAAGCGTAACTCGAAACTGATCGAAAACCATATTCAACATCAGTTTTGCATTCACTTGATAGTTTCAGGGGGTAAGATTAGCTTGAAGGTAGTTAGAAAATCAAGTTGGTAGTCATCATGGATTAACATCAGTTGGGGAAACATAAGAAACCTGAGAGCACTATACAACTTGCTGTTTCGTCCTAGTGTGAGAGACTCCTCAGCAGTGCACACCCATGACCCTACCAGGAATCGAACCAAGGATCTTCCAGGTTCCGTGGCCAGCACGTTACCATGAAGCCAATGGGTCGGAATCCAATGGTCCATTTTCATTTCTTAACGAATGTATGAGGGAAAAAATAATGTGAAAACCTTTTTTGTCCGTTTTTAACCCAACGGGAAATATAAATACCGATACAATGAATCATATTTAAGCAATGACCAAGTTATTTCAAACCGATAAATCCTAACTTGGCTTGAATAGCTATAAAACAATTTTTTTACATTTCTAACATAGATTAGTAGTTGAAGACTGAGTGAAAAAATTAATCGCTAGAGGACTTGAACTAGAGAGTCTTCGAATGATAGGCGCAACAACCAACTGATAGAGCCATCAGCCGTAACGGTTGACTAAGTTTCAGTTTCAAATCAACCATCAAGAGTTCTTTTACGACCGTTACTTCAATCCATTCACAATCATCACTCCAAATTAGTGATGTATAGTGATTAGAGGTGGAATTTACAACGTGCGTTTCGTCCTATTCGGGACTCGTCAGTTCGATGCACTTCTCTCACAGTAAATTGATTTTCTTCCCGCTAGGAGTCGAACCTGAGACAAATCAACGACATGGGTTTACAAGCTATAACATCAAAATCATCTTACGTTCTAAACATCAATCTACTACAACACGACTATGCCACAGAAAGTCTGTGATTCGATTGGCTTTTAGCCAAACACCTGTTAAACGAAAATACTGGTCAGTTACGACCATGGGGAATAGACTCAGTCATCTGACTGTCAACGTTTCGTGCACAATTCTGCTTTTTTTTGATTGGTGCAAAAAACTACATCTTTCTGATCACGTCCACAGATCACTTCAAGACACTGAGCGAAAGTTAAAATTTCGTCTGTTCGAGACTTTTAACATTTCCCCAGTCAAAGTTATGTGAATCTAGGAGCGTGTGCAAAGAAGGCAGTATACAAGGGAAACACTGTAACGAATCGTGATTGACAGATGTCACATACATTTCTCTCTAAGCATTTCATGTTAACTAGATGAAAGAGTTAAGAAGATTTGGATTTCGCCGATGATGATGATGATTTATGTCTAATATCTTGTCTCACAAACTCGAAGATCTACAAACGAAAACTAACTAGTTGACAGAAGAAGCAGGGTGATGAAGATGGGACTTCCCTGAGGTGAACGTAGAGAAGACAGAGGTGATGAATATACCCAACTGACAACAACGACAATAACAACAACAAGCACCAATCACCATGAACGGAAGGAACTGACAGGAAGTAGTCTCTTCCACCTACCTAGGCAAGGCAGCATCGTCTCCACTACAGTCGGCGGCACAAATGAGGACGTCAAAGCAGGCAGGATCGGAAATACAGCAAGACAGAGCTTTCTTCATTTATCTTAAGTCAGTGTGGAGATCTACTGCACTGCACTCCACTCCACTCAGCACAAGGCGTGAACAAGATCGGGATTTTCAACATCAATACCAAGTCAAGTCAGTGCTTGTATATGTTTCATAAACTTGGTGTGTCACGAAAAGCATTTCGAACAAACTACAGACATTCATCAACAGCTACCGCCTACGCTGTCAGTGTTGGTTGTATTGTGTTCTCTGAGATGGGTTGTTTAATCGTGAAGCTTTCATCCTCTTCCTACACAGCGACATCATCCACACCACTAACTTCAGTATGAAGTGACCTGTCAATATCTCTCCATCAGTGATTTAGTAGCTTGCTCTGACGATGTCGTCTGTGATTGGTTGTTCCCTTCGATTGTTGTCTCATTGACTGACTGTATAGATTTTCGTGTTGGATGTTCCTCTGCTTCACCTCTCACCTTTCTGTCGTCCATCATTTTTCTCATTGGTTGAAAGAATCTGGTCCATGTTTATACACATCTATTGATTGCTGACTGACTACTGACTGACTGACTGACTGACTGACCTGAGTGCTAAGCTTCTACGAATTCCCTGATATTCTCCGTGTTTCCTCTATCCATCCAAGATTTCGACATTGTCGAAATTCAATTCATATCCACAGTTGTTATCCATGTACATTGAAATGAGTGATGAAATGTCGTGTGTCACGTTTAATACCAACTGGTGCTGATGTAGACGAAGGCGATGAGGGCGACCACTTTCTCCAATGTAGTGTTCACTACAGTTATTGTAGTTGATTTTGTAAATGATATTCAGTTTGTCTTCTTTGGTTGTTGCATCTGGTCAGTCAGCAATCAGCAGATGTATAGATATAGACCCAATGAGAAAAATGATAAACGACAGAAAGGTGAGAGTTGAAGCAGAGGAACATCCAACAGGAAAATCTATACAGTCAGTCAATGACACAACAATCGAAGGAAACAACCAATCACAGACGACATCGTTAGAGGAAGCCACTAAATCACTGATGGAGAGATATTGAGAGCCGACTTCATACTGAAGTTAGTGCTTTGGATGATGTCACTGTGTAGCAAGACGATGAAAGCTTCACGATTTAACAACCCATCTCAGAGAACATAATACAACCAAGACCATCCACCTGAGCTATAAATATTCTCCATTATTTCAATATGCGATATCATTGACCATCACAGTGAAGAGAACAAGAATAATGACAATAAACGTTTACACCTTACTTTATATTTTTAGTTGAGGAATGCAAATTCATATGAGATAAGAATTAAATACTTACTTGAACAAATCCCAGTTATTGGTTCCTTGATGAAAAACAGTTGGCCAATATTTTTCAGAATTATGATTAATTTCAAGCTAAAATTTTATTGCATTTATAAAAACGGTTAATAATAATAATAATAATAATAAATTACATTATCAATGTAGTTCATTGATTTAGGCGGTAAACACTCAACCAGTAGAACCATGTTATTCGACCCCCAACTTCACTCATCAAGGTTTGAGTAGTTAGATGGTACCACTAGCCTTTATGTAATAGATGTAGTTCACTGTTTACTATATAGATGTGTACATAGTTTTCCAGAGGATTTCGATTCTGATTTCATTCTGTAATTGTCCATTGCATAAACACTAATCTTTAGAGTATTATGAAGTTTAAGGTTCTAGTATAGAAGCGTTATGACGTAAAAGAAATGACAATTAATCGTAAATCTATTCTAGTTAACTTGTCTCATGAAGAACTTGGAGAGAAATTGATGCCTTGCGTTTAAAGTAAATACTATGGGTGGGTTCCTTGAATGTCTCAACTGAGAATGTCAAATATAAAAAAAACACAGTTTTATTTACCTAATTCATCATCAAGAACAATCTGTGAATAGAATTAGTTAGCACTTACCCATGTTATTTTATTCAATACATCAGATGGGAAAACAAATGTATCTTTTGATGAAAGTATAGTACCAGATCCCTGAAAGAAAGGAAAAAAGGATGATGTCCCATTAGACATGATAGAAAAAAAATACAACGGCAGTAGCTGTTTCAATCTCTGACAGGTCAATATGTCTATCTAGTTACAAATGTCCATATCATGATCTTCCTTGTATTATCCCTGTCGTTGGTTGAAGCGAATTGACTAATTATTATTGACATATGAGATCCTGTGCAGGTGTCTCACTACTGCTTGTCACTTCAATTTGATTGAAATAATGGATAGTGGTTAGTAATGGAATCAACGAGGAGTGTTTCATCCTACTTGAGACTCGTCAACTGGATGTACCTACACCCCAGTGAGTGACGTTACTCCCACTAAGACTCGAACTCGGGACAAACCGCTTCAAACTACAGGGCGTTATCTGCAGCAAGCAACATCATAAAAACAATAACCGTCGTGCAAAAAAGGGCAACATCAGCTACCTTTAAAAAATCCAAAAGTACCCAAATTAAGAAGTTTGACAAATCAATGGGAAAAAAGTATCCAGTTAACAATCCTACGAAACCAATCATGAATTATGTGAATTCAGCCTCTTATAACCATTTTCCAGCCTATCCCAACTTCAGGTAACATTGATCAGACGGTGACTAGACATATGTAACACATGTTCTAGCCACTTCAGTTGATGAAGATGTACAACTGACTTTCCTCTTTTGCCCAAAACTCTACACTTGACTTTCATACTACTCACGTTATGGGACTATGATACACAGCCTGTGGCACGAAGACAACAGGAATAGAACATCTAAAGACTCCTCCTGTATATCTTAGAAACCGCTAAGACAAAAGTGAAATTACTTCTTGATTGACGAAAGATGTGTTTGTAAACAAATGGCATCATGGAATCATGCAAAACTATCGTAATCTAAATACATTCTCTAATTTGAGATCACAGTAAAGGGATGTATGTGTATGGTGTGACTTTATCTGCCTAAGTTTGTGCACTAGGCTACACTCATTATATGTACGTTAACGACTGTTTTGACTTCATATATAAAAGCAGAAGGATAGGTAGAAGGAATTCGAAGTCGAGACCCTGCATAGTGCTAATATATCAGGCGTATGTTTATACTGTAAATAAAAGTCTCCTAAATGTTATCAATACATAATGTGATATCAGCAATACAATAATATCTAGTATGAATTACACTTACTTGAAGTTTAGCTTGTAGATCAGAGAGAACAACACGACCAGTATCAACATCAACAGCACATAACCGTCGAGGTATAGTGGCAAGAGCATATAGATGTCGAAGAGCTTGTAGATGATACCTAAAAATAAAAAAATTTACATACAATTTCTCTCTGGTCATACGATACAAATGCTAACAGTAGTAAATAATTAAGCCAAGATAGGTAACAGTACTTAAGCAGTGATAGAAACAAAACTGCAATTCTCAGTTATACAAAAATAAATAAATTTCATCGTAGACTGACATCAGTTGCAGAGGAACAAAGGAAACCTGGGAGCACTGGACAGCTGTTTCGTCCCACTTGTATGGGACTCCTCAGCAATGCACACCCACGACCTTCAGGTTCCGTGGCCAGCACGTTACCATTGAGTCACTGGGTCACAGTCCAATGGTCCGTATTTCCAACTTCTGTTAGCTCACGATATTGCACAACCGCCACCCAATGTCATCGTTGAGTAACTGTCCTCACAACCATCAGGCTTTGCCCCTAACCGGTCATGACTTCTCATTGGAACTTCGGGAATACCTCTCAAAGCTAGTCACAAATGAGCACCAGTTCAATTGAATTTTTTTTTGAGGGGGTTGTGGATATTTGGAAATATTTCAAGTTGTTATTCATCGTAGACTGACATCAGTTGGATGAACAACAACAACCTAGATTATTTCCAAATCCCCACAAATTCCTCAAAATTCAATTGAACTGGTGCTCATTTGTGACTAGCTTCGAGAGGTATTCCCGAAGTTCCAATGAGAAGTCATGACCGGTTAGGGGCAAAGCCTGATGGTTTTGAGGACAGTTACTCAACGATGACATTGGGTGGCAGTTGCGCTATATCGTGAGCTAACAGAAGTTGGAAATACGGACCATTGGATTGTGACCCAGTGACTCAATGGTAACGTGCTGGCCACGGGACCTGAAGGTCGTGGGTTGGATCCGGTGATGGCGGGGTGTTGGGTGCGCACTGCTGAGAAGTCCCATACTAGGTCGAAACAGCTGTCCAGTGCTCCCAGGTTTCCTTTGTTCCTCTGCAACTGATGTCAGTCTACGATGAATAACAACTTGAAAAATAAAATGTAAATGAAGAGAAAATGAAAGCACTCTACAATAACTATTGAATCTAAAATGAACTGTAGTACAAGCAAGTTAAGCTGAGTTAATTCAAACAATCATATACTAAAAGAAACAAGAAGACAGGTACGAAGGAAGGGATGTACATTTACAACAAGTGGGACAGCAGTCGTTAAATATGGTAACACCTTGCACTAAAGCCATCATTTTCAAAATAAGCTTCATTTCCTTTTTTGATTTACTCTTCATACGCCTGTCTTATCTCTTGCATTTCTCTTGGTGGAATCCTTATCCATTGCTGATAATTCCCTATGATTTCTGACACCCTCTCAATATATACTACTTATACATGAAGCTAAAATCCAATGACAGCTTATATTCAACAAGTAACTTCATAGAGAAAAACAATCTACACCTTTGAAAGCAGTATAATCATTCTCCATATAAAAGTTTTCATAGAGATATTTTCCTTCGAAAATAAAAGGAGATTACTAATGAAACACCTTAACTTACAAATGATTTTTTTCAATGACAACTTTAAACCGAATAAATTCATACTATGATAATAATCACTAATCATCATAAAAATCAAGAAAACTACAATCATGATAGTAGTAATTGCTTCATTATATTTCTATATAAAACAATGAAACAATCAATGTCCAGTGTATAAAATAAACACTTAAACAAAAAAACTAATATAAGTGTAAAACTTAGGCGCTGTGGTGGAGTGTAATTCCATTTTACCATCTTACCAACTCTTATGACTTAAAGCATAGGTTAGACGACAGTGAAAAAATGATGAGCTTTGACATAACTAGCCTTTACACAAACATACCGATTGACATGGCCCTGGAAGCAGTTCGATATGGGCTTAAAGATGACAAAGAACTTACGCAGCGAACTAAGGTGCCAATCCAGGAAATCATACTAGGAGTACGATTGTGCCTAATATCTACAGTTTTTAAGTTTCAAAATAAAATATTTAAACAAACTGAAGGTGTTGCCATGGGATCACCAATATCCCCATTATCATCACAAACATATTTATGGATAGTTGGGAACAGGTAGCCCTTCAAACATTTAGTCCTACTCCAAAGATATGGCTCCGATATGTAGATGATACGTTTACATTACTGAAATCACAAAACATCAATAGGTTCTTGGCACATATAAACTCAGTAGTAAATGCAATCCAATTTACCTGTGACTTAGAAAGTGATGAAGGTGAGCAAGCAATGTTGGATCGCAAGATTAAACGAACACAAGAAGGAAATCTAGAGACTAGGGTCTATAGGAAACCTACCCATTCGAATCGCTACTTAGACTTCGAATCCTCCCACCCCATTTCAGTTAAAGTAGGCCTAGTTAAATGCTTAGGTGATAGAGCGAAAAAGCTTACTAATAGATCGGAAAATCTGCAACAAGAAATTAGACACATCAAGAATACCCTACGTCTCAATAATCACTCACCTAAATTTATAAATAAATTCATAAGAAATCGAAAGAAAAATATTAGCAGTGGTAGTAGTAGTAGTAATACCGGTGTTATTAATAATAATCCCACTACTAGTGGTAATAATGGTGACAGGGTTAAGAGAGAATTCAAAGCCTCTGCTGTGTTACCATATAAGGAAGGCACCTCAGAAGCACTACGACGAATTCTCAATAAGGCTGGGATTAAAGTGGCATTCAAACCGACAAACTCGCTTAGAAACAAACTTTGTAGGTTAAAAGATCCTATCGATGCAATTAAGCAAAATAATCTGGTTTACCAGATTCCTTGCAATGATTGTGAGGTCAAATACATAGGTTAGTCAAAGTAGTCGACCAGGGTCAATAAGAATAACAGAGCACAAAAAGTTAGCTATATCAACATTGGTAGATTCTAATAAGATAAGAAATCTAGAGGAAAACTCGGCTATAGCTCTGTATACGATGACACGCAACCACATGGTAGAGTGGGATAGAGCGACAGTGTTGAAAACTAACTTAGTTGGGTAGAAGGAGAGATTGATAACCGAATCTTTGTTTATCGAATCAACACCAAATACATGCAGTCGAAATGATGCTGCACCTGTCACAGATATATGGACAATTATACTACCCTTGTCATCACAGAGAATGAGAAAACTAGGAATATATAAAGACTGTCTCGAAGTTGTGGAATTACTCTGATATGAATATGGACAATAAATTATGTCCGAAACGTTATCCAGTAAATGCTACTGTTCCCTCACTGTGTGATATTTCTAATAAACAGACTAAAATGGAATTACAAAAAAAACTAATCAACTTCCAGTTCACTTACCAATTATCACCTGCATATGTAGGTAGAACAGGGAAAAATGAAATAACCAGCATAGCAACAGCTTCCGGTGTATTCGCAAGTGTTAATCTAAAGGTGAACAAATAAAAATAGATCAGCAAGTCAACACTAAAATAAGACAGAGTAACCAGTAAACTCTTAAGCTATAAATACAGTTACCAAGGTGAACAACTTACTAAGTCGAGTGATATTTTTTTTACAAGTATACACTTTCAACTAAGTAACAGATTTGTAAAAATAACACCTTTATGTTATTTCCGTCTTGCTGACTGACAGTGTAACCCAGGACGCGAGTTTTGTCCAATTTAGGAATCGTGAGCTTGACATAACTTCACCCTAGTGAGTGGTGTTGTTCCCACAGAGGCTCAACATTATCATCACCATCAATATCAGCATAAGACCAGGGATAACTGAGTAACACTCCGAGTTGCCACACCTCATGTCATACCAGTACATCAAGTAGAAAGGTAGTGAGGTGAAAGATGAAGATAAGAGAATGCAGTCAAAAGAAATATAAAGTACAAGAAGAAAGGAAAGAGAAGTGACAAAATGGTGAGATTCGGTATAGTGTAGTTAAGATGAGGATAATGTATGTATACATTTGCACCACTGACATCCGTTCTCAGCCATATCATCTACAATTAGTCTCCAACCAATGGTTTCTCTTGTCTCGCAGACCCCAACCACCTAGTCTGCGGCGCCCCACATGGCTCAAACTAACAGTCAAACACTTCATACATTGGTGACATGTTTTAGTCTGGCCACCTCAGGCCTTTTTCCAGCCTGGACCTACTTCAGCCAACATTGTGTGACGAAGCAATCAGCGACTAGACATACGTAACACGTGTCGAAGCAAACCATCTCAGTCGATGAAGGTTCACAACCTCGTCAACCGACTTGCCTCTTCTTCCTAAAACTCTACTCCTGATTTCTGCGTTACTCACGTGGTGACAACACGGAATACGGTGGCCTATACTACAAAGACAACGGTGGTCAAACACATAAAGCCCTCTCATGTCTCCCACCTTCAATGGCCATGTTTCACAGCCGAACAGTAGAGCAGACCGGACTGCTGTACAGTACACGCCACCCTAATAGATAATCGGATATCCCGGTGACGGACGTTGGCAAAAGCCAATCGAGCCTTTTGTATTCATGCAGAAATTTGGTCGACCACTGAGCCACCAGGGTAGGCCTGATCCCACTTTCCAGGTAAGGGAAGTGGTCGAAACACTCAACCTCTACACTCTCGATTGTTAGCCATGGTACCGCTGAAGACCGATCCTGGAGCAACAATTTGCATTTTGGTGTTAAGAAACTCATCCCAAACATTCTCAAATTCCCACTCAAAGTGTTCAGAAGACCCTGTATCTTGTCAGCGTCTTCACCTAACAGGACTGTCATCTGCATATTCTAGGTCTAGAGAAAAGTCTCCTGTGACTAGGTCAACGTCTGTGTAACCTGGTGACAGAGGCTCAAACCCAGTTCTCATCGCTTTGAACGTCAAAACATTATCCATTGCGCCACGAAGCCCACCTCATGTGTAACGCGAGTCAGCTGTTGTTCAATACTGTTAATTCCCCGTTGCTATGCTGTGGCCAGTGAAGCGATCGTTTATGAGGTTTAAGCCTCAGCGGTAACAAAATCACTCACTGGGTGCAGGTACATCCAAACAGATTTACAGGATAATGAGTAGTTCGGCAGTATCGAGGAGTTCGCATAAGAGCCCATCTGCCAATAGATGTAGAGTAATTCTGCATTGTATCAAACAATGAAGCATTTTATCTTCAGAATATTTTTTTTTTCTGACTTATCAAAAAACTGAATAACGTCTCGAAAGTTATCTAAATGTATAACTACTTTAATACTTAATCTATGGACAACAAAGACTGTTGAAAAGAAATTCGAACAGAAGATTTGGATTCAATCAAAATGTTCTACTCATTATTAACTGTTCAACACACAGATTTACTACTTCTTCGTAAGTGAACTAATGTTTATGGAGCTGTGACTTATTTGTTTAAACTATCAGTTGGTTGGATGGTTCCAACGCCGTTCAATTTATCGAGATATGACAAGTCTGGTAATATAACACATTCCCATTCAATAGATTTTGTTCATTATGCAATGGATGCGAGCCTTTATGTATCATTGGCTTACTCTTTTGAAATAATGTTGATCAAAAAAAAGCAGGACTGTGAATATTAACTTCCTTCTTACAGCCTACAGTATCTTACTGACGACTTTCTTCATTGAAATATCCTTTCTGATTGAAGTAATCACTCATAATAGTAATTTATCAACAATAATTTAACAAAATGAAACATTATGAATAGAATTTCAATATTACTGAAAGACAAGAGTAAACTGTTCAACAACATATTTGTTTAAATGTAACACTAGATTGAAAAAATAAATCAACGATTATTTGAAATTTACTTACCGTCCACCACCAAGAAAGAGTAAACCGATAGTGTTGGCAAAAAGCAATTGTAATCCAAAACTTGGACCAAGAGCTGCACCAAACACTGAAGCCACAGATACTGGACCTCCAACAGATGCTACTCCTGAACTTGTAGAAGCAGTTTGTGTGGTAGCTGCAGCACGAGCTGCAGCAGTTGTTACAGTATAATAGATTGAATCATATCCAGTATGATTATTTGTTCCAGAATTCAAAGTATCAGGTTTAGCAGTGAATAAACGAATAGCTCGAAGTTGTCGTACCATTTTAAGAACAGCTAGATTACCAGAACCAGCAAGTATCATAGCTAAGGCTAAAAGACACTGAGCTGCACTTTGGACTAATGTAGACTTCGGTAAAGACACTTTAATTTGTTCTAATTCAGAGGAATTATTTTGAGATGGTGACTTGCGGGTACTGGAAGATGGAGGCCACCATGTATCATCTAAAATACTTCGTGCCAGATAGTACTGAAAAATAAGAAATAAAATGGAAGTACTTCTTTTTAATGTCACGAGCTACCACTAACTATTATGCTGGGTGATGATTGAAGGTGATATGAAAAGATGGACCAAGGCCAGGTTCGAACCATCGACCATCAGGTTTTCGGCTCAATGCTCTACCAACTCAGCTACCAGGTCCAACTCCTGATCAGAATTTTATTTCACTTCATTCACCAACACGGGTTTTGCTTGACTACTATGTGAATTTGTGGTGAGTTACTATCGTATTCGGAACTTCACATAGTAGTCAGACGAAACCCACCTTGGTGATAGAAGTGAAATAAAATTCTGATCAGGAGTTGGATCTCGTAACTAAGCTGGTAGAGCGTTGAGCCGAAAACTCGATGGTTGCTGGTTCGAATTTGACCGCAGTCCAAATTTTCATTTCATCTTTAATCATCACCTAGTATAAATACTAGTCTGCCAAACTATGGCTGTCTCAGATAGTCAAATGAGACTAGTTATTAATTAGTTTTTGACTTAACCCTTAGTAAACAATAAAAATCACACCTATCCAAGAGAGGATATCTTTTACAGATTACAAGCTATGTTATATGCCACCAATGACCAGTAAGTACAGCAACACGATAGGCATTTTAATAATGCGGAAACATGAAGTTAAACATTGGTGCTATACATGCGCCAACGTGGATGTTAATAGCCCATAAAAGACTCAGTTAGCTACACTCCCAAAGACAAGAAACAGGATTTATTATAAGATGTGAATACATGATAGACGACTCTATAGAGTTCTATTACAATGTAGCTTTACACAGATTCTTTCTACTTTTTTAGCACAGCTATATACAACCCAGAAATGTATATCTTACAATAAAAGTAAGGAAAGGTCAGGTCATACAACGAAAAGTAGAGAGATTAGAACACATAGAGAAAAGTGATTTAGAAGTTGAAAAGAAGATAAGATGTGAATGTATCTGGACCATTGAAACTGGCTCTGAATTAAAACAAATAGAAGTACACCCACGCTTTGTAATTGTATGTAATGAGGATGAGAGTCAAAAGAATTGCTCAATTTCTATACAACATCCAACATTCATCAGATACTTGACAACAACCAATTTCGTGTTGTCTAGTCATGAGTCGTGACTAAATTCTATCCATCATTTTGCAATGTGACCTTGAAATTGGAAGGCCCCATTATCGCGATGTACTTCTAATGAATGCCTCTTTCACCTATCTAGGAAGCACTGTTTCAACTACAGGCGACACGGACAAGGACGTCAAAGCAGCCAGGATCGGAAAAGCAAGACAGGCGTTCATTAGCCTGAAACCAGTGTAGAGATCTTCTGCACTCAGCATGTGGAACAAGATACGGATTTTCAACACCAACGTCAAGTCAGTGCTTCTATATGGTTCAGAGATTCGGCACGTTATGAAAGGGATTTCCAACAAACTATAGACATTCATCAACAACTGCCGCCTACGCTGGCTCGTTACTAACACTGAAGATCAGATGGATTGCCAGAATAATAAGAATAAGGAACAAGGAACTCACTGTGGCTGGCCTGATAACGAGCCAACGAGGAAGCTATCGCTGAAGAAATATGCAGTAGAAGGAAGTGGAGATGGATTGGGCATACACTGAGAAGGCTAACTAGGGATATCACGTGCCAGGCCAGGCACTCGAATGGAACCCAGATGGGAAACGACGAGTTGGGTGTCTGAGGATGACATGAAGAAGATCGTGCGAGGAAGAAATGAGAGCTTCTGGCAGTCGTGTAGCCAGGTTCAAACGATTTCAGAGAACAGAGCGCACTGGAGACGTGCTACTGAAGTCCTATGTTCCATTAGGAACCCAAGGGACAATAATAATCATAAATAATGCTTCTAATGGATGTTAGTTGGTTGTAGTTAATTGACCGGAAGCCTTGCATCTAGTTTTCAGAGAGGATATCACTTCCATTTTTACTGATTTATTAGATTTATCATACAGTGTAACAGTATTGTTTACTGGATTACATTTTGGACATAATTTATTGTCTATAGTCATATCAAGATAACTACACAACTTTGAGATATCTTTAATATAATCCTAATTTCCTCGCCGTCTTTATGATATGGATAACAGGATTTCCCATAAATCCGGAACATGTGCTGAGTTATTCCTTTAGCTGCATGTATTAGGTGTTGATTCGATAAACAAAGATTCAGTTATCAGTCTCTCTTTCCAATCTGTTATGTTAGTTTTAAGCATTTCCACCCTTTCCTATCCTATTATATAGTTATCTGTAATCGCATGTATAGCTACGGCTGAGCTGTTTTCTAAATTCCTTACCCTACTATGGATGAACCGATTTTGACCTAGCTAGGTTTTTGTGTTACAAAGGGGCAAAGAAATTAGTTCTATATAAAAGAATATCTCAAAGTTGTATAGTTATCTTGATGAATAATAAATTATGTCCGAAATGTAATCCAGTCAACAATACTGTTCCTTCAATGTGTGATAAATCTAATAAATCAATAAAAATGGTATTACATTGTACCACAGTGCACAAGTTCTACTCAGTGTAGTTGGTCAATGAAAAACCATAAATTGGACTTATAAACTATCTTGAAACGCTATATAACACAATTAGATATTTTGAGGGGGTTGTGGAGATTTGGAAATATTTCAAGTTGTTATTCATCGAAGACTGACATCAGTTGCAGAGGAACAAAGGAAACCTGGGAGCACTGGACAGCTGTTTCGTCACACTAGTATGGGACTCCCCAGCAGTGCGCACCCACGACCCCACCAGCAGGGATCGAACCCGCGACCTTCAGGTTCCGCGACCAGCGCGTTACCATTGAGCCACTGGGTCGGAATCCAATGCTCCATATTTCCAACTTATGTTAGCTCACGATATAGCGCAAACCGCCACCCAATGTCATCGTTGAGTATTTGTCCTCACGGCCATCAGGCTTTGACTCCACCGGTCACGACTTGTCATTGGAACTTCGGGAATACTTCTCGAAGCTAGTCACCAACGAGCACTAGTTCAATTAAATTTTGAGGGGGTTGTGGAGATTTGGAAATATTTCAAGTTGTTATTCATCGAAGACTAGGACGAAACAGCTGTCCAGTGCTCCCAGGTTTCCTTTGTTCCTCCAACTGATGTCAGTCTTCGATGAATAACAACTTGAAACAATTAGATATTCCATTTTTATACAAGAGATAAGTCCTTCATTCATGGTAATTATGACTGTATAACTGACGTATTATTCAAAGAAGAAATTCTTTATTCATAGTAACAAAGTATATGTAATAATAATAATAATAATAATAATAATAATGATAATAATAATAATAATAATAGATAATAAATTACTAATGTGTTGGCTGCATCGGAATTCGATGTCCCAGCATAACGTAAACCCATCGCTAAAGCACATCCAACCAGCATGTTTAAATAAGCTAGGCTAGAAATCAGAAGAAAAATGAAGGAAAAGGCAAATATTGATGTTGAAAATTATATTTCACAATATAGCTGACTACAGTTGAAATAATGAAGCATTGTTAAACATGAAAACAACAAATTAAAATCATAGATTAAAACTTTTCAAAGGTTAATGAACTACTAAATGTTTAAGCATAAGGTAAACATAAGTCATTTCTAGGTCTCACTTTAGAGTTAATTATCGTTCAAGACGTCAATTACTCTACTTTTTCCCAAGAAAATATTACTATAAGACCGTATATAATGAATGCTGATAAGAACATTGAGACAATGACCGTTATGGTAGCTGAGTTTTATACTAAGCAAATGTGGATAATAAGTGTTCTCCTTACATGCGGTTGAGTAAGTTTGAGTAAAGAGCTAAATTATGGGTAAATACTTGTTCAATGTTCCTTTTATAACCAGACACTACAACAATATCTCTCATATCAAGATATACGGCAAGTGTAGGGAGCCGCCGGTAAGTACATCCGTGTTCCAGAACCTATAGAAGAGTAAAGATATGATCGATGCACTTTCATCCAATAAGATATCAGATAGTTCTGTACTCTGTGACCTTGTATACAATCCCCTGTCAAACTCATCCCCCTACAGTTGTCATAACTAGATTCCCCTCCTTTTGTATAAACTGCAATGATCAGCTTAATATTATGTAATTTCAGGCTGGAAGGGACCTTTTTAAAGTCGATGAGAGTTGAAAGACTAACACCAACGTCCGTTTTGGCTGTGATCTAGACGTTGAGCAGCTGAAACGTGGCTGTATGTCGGTTGAACTGATTTTACCACTCACCAGTGATCACGGTTATTATGAATAATCCTAGTCAGTTTACTTCTAAACTGTTTTCGTTTCTGATCATATTGAAGAGTAACATAAATGTAAGTACTGCAACATTAGAAGTTGGACACTGTGACTAAGTACAATTCTATATTCGATTTCAAAACTAGATTAATACTGCCGACCTGTTGAAAACCGGCTTATGAATGAGGTATATATATTTTTCGGGAACACCGTCTTTTTCGAAGTATTTATTGCATAATACCACTAGCTTTAGATCATAACACAGTTACAGATAGCATTTGTAATAAGACAAATCCTCGTGTGAACAAAAGCAGCAAAATTGGAGTTACACAAGTTTTTCGATTAGAATTTACAAAATTAACGTTGACACAAGATGTTAAGCATATAAAAAAAATACGTAAGTTAATAACCGGTTAAGAATATCATAATTGTTGACCGCATAGTGTTGTGATGCCCCAGTTTTGTATAAAACATTGTTATTGTTGTGATCATTTTAACGTGTCATTCCCATACCATTTTTACGGTGTGACTAATTAGTCTATTTTCTGCCCCCATTGTAATGTAAATCGCTAATTGGTTAATCTTTACTCTTACTATGCAAATGTCTCAAATTGAGGACAGGGTCATTTGTCATGTGTATACTTATTCACGTGTTTGGGATTGAGTCTCGGAGTAATACACTCTCCCATTTGCCAGCTTCGGTCTTCTCTCTATTCGTCCCGGGGTTGCAGTCAGTGGCTCTTGCGTACCAAGTTAGCTATCAGCTAAGCGTGCGTATTATATTCACTCCGGAATACACATATATAACCGTAGCGTTCGAAAACATAATACATAGTAACCGGGCGTAGATTTCATACAAATAGAGCTAGGCTACTAGTGAAATATATATGCCACATTATCATGAATAACAGAACTATTTGTCGAACGGAAACGAAACAAAGAGAAGCAAGCAGTAATGTAAAATTTAACCTCAATGGTAAACAAGATAGTCAGTCATCACAATTAAACAGCAATGGAACAGAAGTACCACCAACTTATTGAAAAAATAACTCCCTTACGTCACCAATACTAATACCAAATTACTTTGAAACATTTCTCCGTCGAAAAGTGACACCAATTAAAGTGGGATCAGCCCTACCCTGGTGGCTCAGTGGTCGACCAAATTTCTGCATGAATACAAAAGGCTCGATTGACTTCTGCCAACGTCCGTCACCGGGATATCCGATTATCTATTAGGGTGGCGTGTACTGCACAGCTGTCCGGTCTGCTCTACTGTTCGGCTGTGAAACATGGCCATTGAAGGTGGGAGACATGAGAAGGCTCGAGGCGTTTGACCACCGTAGTATAGGTCATAATTTCGTGGTGTCAACACGTGAGTAACGCAGAAGTCAGACGTAGAGTTCTAAGGAGAAGAGGTAGGTCAGTTGAACTATTATCGACCACAGTGCCCAAGTTTTACTCTTATATTAAGTCAGTTGACACTGTTGTGAACCTTCATCGACTGAGATGGTTTGCTTCGACACGTGTTACGTATGTCTAGTCGCCGTCTCCCACGTCACATAATGTTGGCTGAAGTAGGTTCAGGCTGGAAAAGGCTCTTGGTTCTCGGCAGACTAAAACATGACATAGCATTAATGTATGAAGTTGTTGAGTGTTGGTTTGAGCCATGTGGGGGCGTTGCAGACTAGCCATTCAGGGTCCTCAGGACAAGAGGAACCAGTGGTTGGAGACTGACTGTAGGAGATATGGCTGAGAACCGATGTCAGTAAGAAGGAATAAACTGTTAAACGAAATGCTTTAACTAAACTCTAGAATTATTTATTCATATGACTTAATCTAATCTTTATATCCATTGGAAAATAATGTTTCTGAAGGCGCACAATGATAGATTTGTATGACTGTAAAAGTACTTACCTTATGGCTTCAATATCTACCGGATCTACACTGTGTGATCCTAGTTGGTTCAACCATTCATTTTTACGAGGGCCTGGTTTGATCTGATTAAGCTCATTATCTTCTTCAACCCATTGTCGAATACCATATCTTCTTGAACGTCGAACCGATCGACCACGAACATTGTTCAACCCACCTCTACGACCTCGAGTAGATGTGGTACGCTCAGATGCATTGTATAAGGAATCAACAAATGTTTGATCTGGACATCGATTTTCAACATCGTCTTCACTTGATAGATCAGTTTGGCCCAGTGTGGAGCGAATATCTGAGATGTCAGATGGTTGAATTTTGGGTCTTGGTCTAATTGATTCACCGAGTTTTTCGAAAAGCTTTTGAGGTACATAAGATTCAATCCATTCTTGAGTTGGTTCTATAGAATTCCAATTTATAAGACCATGTGCAAGAGCTCGAAACAAGAGTAAATCTGGTCGTATAAGTTCCAGTTGATGCAACGAAGAGGGTGGAAGAAACCAGCTACTAACAGTAGGATTGCTACTATCTAAATAAGCCATCCCAAGAGCCATCATAGCACCAGGTGCACTAACATCTGCGTTGTAACAGTGAAGATCACGTATCTGTAATGCGTTAACAATGTAGGGGATAAAATAAAGGTCGAAACATGAAAATAATACTTTTATGTTGATTGGACCGGAATAATCAACCTCAATTGGCATATGGCCTCCTGCTCGGACGCCTCTATATTGTTTGTAGTTTCAGTGTGATAGTAATAATGGGCAGTGGCTAGTAGAGTTTTAGTGGGAACAACCTTAATCACTGGAAGGCGGGTGCATCCATCTAACGAGTCACAAAGGATGGAACCCACGTCCCGGACTCCCCTGCTAGCTACTAACTATCGTTACTATCAAAATGAAACAACACTATCGGAAAAACAGTGTACACAAACAACATAGATCATGGTTATTTTGTTTACCTGAGGATTTTTCCAGGTTGTTTTAGTTGGATAGTCATCCAAACGACCAGCCAGATCAGAAACAGTGGATGGAAATCTACCTGAAGCATGAGTCACAGATGGTGATGTCGAAGAGCCAGTAGTGCATGAAGCACGACGACCACGAGATGAAATCTGACGAGTAGATGAACAATTTGATCTTGTTTCTGTTGTATTATACAAATAGTCATTAGAAAGAAATCGTTCTGGGTCAACTAAGGGTTCAGCCGTGTAGTCACTGTGTAGCAATAAACTTGGAGTACGAAAAGTACTTAGTGGGAAAGAAGCACCTCCTCTTATGTTAGCATCGGTTAGATTGTTATCAACATTAGCAGTTTCAACACCAGTTTGATTCCGATGCCTTGGTTGATCTGTCAACCGACGGGTTACACCTCGACTAATTACTCGTTGAGAAGGCAAACACTTCTCATATAAATCACATGGTAAGTGTACGGTGTATTGTTGTTCTGAAACACCTGGAATTTTACTTCTTGGTCCAGAAGTCATATACGCGTGTAATTTCTCCGCCCAATGTAGATCAGACAAGCCACATGGTGAATCGCCTCTCTGGAGGTAGAATATTAAAAAAACATATATTATTCCAGTGAATTTGAATAAATAATATTATGCAGGGAACTTGCGTCTAATTTGAAAGATTAACTGTGATATATATTTCAACAAAACCACTTCTTTTGCAAATTCACCTGATGAAACGTTATAAATGACTAACTGATAAAATCAATGTAGAACCTGGCACACACGTGCATCGGTTCAAGTTGCCACGCTTCACAGTAGTAAACAAAGACTGATGGATAGAAAAGACTCATATCAAAGTTGACAAGTTTGTGTGAGAGAATAAACAGTTAGTGTGAATATCCAAACTTCAAATGTCTAGCAGTGAATACATCAACATCATTGTGACCAATTCTCAGCCATATCACAAAGAGTTCTCAACTATTCATTCCTTTCATCTGAGGGACCCTAACCAGCCAGTCAGTCTACATCCCCCACGCGATTCAACCCAATAGTAAGACACTTCATCGAGTAGTACCATTTCTTTACCTGCCCACCCTGACCAGTCTTCTAACCCAATCCAGCTTCCCCTACCATGGCACATCAAGGTACGTGGTGGCTCGAAATGAGTAGTATATGTTAAAGTCATCTCAGTCGGCTAAGGCATACAACCTCGTCAATCGACTTACCTATCTTGCCAGGTACCCTTCTCAGGACCTCAACATTGCTCACACGGTGATTTCACCACACAAGGCACTAATGATCTACTTTTAACGGCCATACTTCACAAATATACAATAGGAAAGGACGAACTGCAGCGCAGTATACTCATCTTTTGATACGCAGTAGTGGAAAAAAGAAGACAACTCGACAAGAGAATGTCTATTACGAACAATTGGAATGGTAGTGGTTACATATGGTACTCCTTGCACTAACGCAGCCATTCGCAAATGTCTTCGTTTCCTCTCCGTTCCTGTCTTGATTTGCTCTTGACCGGCTCTTCATACACTCTTATCAGCAGCATCCCCTGTAATACGCCTATGTTGTCCCCTGCGTTGCTCTTGGCAGAAACCTTACCCATTGCCGGTGATTCCATATGATTCCTGCCACCCTCTCTATATATACTACTTATATCTGTTGTTATCAGCAACGCCCACTACAGTAGGATATGTCACCGACTATAAAAGCTGAAAATAACAAACGACATTAATTACCTATGCAGAACTCATGAAACCATTACAACAATATAAAATGAAACTCATTCAGATATAAAACTATAACAACTTACCTGTAGAAGTACAAGACCAAGAGCAAGACCAGCTGAAAGTGCCATCAGTTCACAACTGTCGCCTGCAAAACCACCTGAACCACCAGCACCTGTCCAACCAACTGGATTATTTGTTGTATGATTGTTAGGTGCATTTGAAGTTGTTTGTTGAGAGTCTACATCTGAATTAATTCCTGTATGTATGCCATTAGAAAAAGGATCTTCACTTAATGATCGACCTAATTCATTAATAAGTAAATTTGTTATATGTCGATGCGCTGATCCTTGATATAGTAAACCAAGACCAAAGATAGCAGCTGCTTGACATAAATTAGGAACGCTGAGTTGAACACTAATTAACGGATCAAAGGGTAAAAGTGGACGATAATGTACTGCAATAAGTCGTAGAATAGACTGATCCATTGTGCCTCGTCTTCCTGCGCATAAACCTATCCCAAAACAAGAACCCATAAAAAGTTATTCAAATACAGAATGAGTTATTTTATTAGCTATACTTTCATTTTTCCGTTGAAGCTACTCAGAGACAAACTTCAAGTAGATCATATTTGAACATCATGAACTCTTATTGAACAGTTTTACAGTTATTGTTTCGCATAAGTAATAAATAAATTCATCTCCAGAAAGTTAACGTGGATCATATAATAATATTGAGATTTGCGCTGATTCGCGTTCCGATAATTTTGAACTGAGTGCAGATATTTGTTTGTTTTTTTCATCTTCCACTTCACTGTCTTTTTACTTGATGTACTGATATGAGGTGTGGCAACTCGAACTATTACTCAGTAATGACTGGGCCTATGTTGATTTGGATAGATGGATGGATAGAGTGTAGATATTCAGGTTTTCTTCTCAAAATTCACACCCTCAACGGCTGCTTTTCTAAAAATACTCACAAATTTCAATCATAATCCAAGTAACAGTCTATGAATTTTCTCAGCAGACTTTATTTTCGCCTTGGTCTTAATTAAGGATAGTGTCTATAAGTACGGTATGTGCTGTGAACCATTAAAGTGCAAAGTACTCTTGGAAAATTGGCAGGAGACCGTGCCTACGCTTACACTTGATGGTAAGCAGTTGAAAGTAGTCGAAACGTTCGTGTGTCTGTGTAGTTGTATACGTGCTGGTGGAGGCGTGAACGGTGAGATTTCCAACCGCATATCGAAAGCCACAGTGACAGATATCAATCTGGGTCACCGTTGGCGTCGCTACGACGTTAGTCTGACCGTAAAAGGTCGGGTTTGCAACGCCTCGGTGCCAGCAGTTCTGCTCTACGCCTGTGAAACCCAGAGTCTTTAAGCTGACGGTGTGAGACGACTCTGTGTATTCAATCATCTTTATCTCTGTAGGATTGCTCGTATCGGGTGGCAATACCATGTAAATATCTCTGATGTACGACAAGGTGTTTTTTGGCATGATGGAGATCGTGATTCAATAAGTGAATTCATGGTGAAACACCACCTCCGGTGGCTTGGACATGTGTCATGCATATCGTCTCAACGGTTTTCACGCCGTTGATTGTTTGCTAACCCTGGAACTGGATAGAAGAAGTGGAGAAGTGATCAGTGTATGCCGTGGTGCCGTAGCATGAAGGATAGTTGTATCAGGTTAGCATCTGTTGGTGCATCACAAACTCTCAGGGTGGGATTCGAGAGATCACGTAACTCAGTGGCTTCAGATGTTATCAGATATAGCTCAGAATCGAGACCAGTGGTGGTTATGCTGTAGCTTCCTTCTATCTTCTGCAGCTGAGAAGTTGTGAGGGTTTTGTTTAGAATACATCTTACTGGACTGATCTACTAATCCTTCTAGTATTATCCACTTCCCTTCACTTTATGTTTTCATTGTAGTGTTATATTATTTTGTGTGTAGGATTTCTTGACGCCATTTCTGTACTGTCTTTGTGTTATAATAAATAATAATAATAATAATAATAATAATAATAATAAACAAGGATACCACTGATAAAGGCTAAAGTGATACTATCAGAAACACAGTTACAAGTTGTTGCCTATTTTGCACTAAGCAGAGTATTTTCGCAGCAATGATCATGGTCATTGTAATTATGACAACCAAAAATCTAGTTCACAACACAAAACGAAGAGATAGACTAGTATGATGAAATTACAAAATTTAGTAGTCTAATAGTATTCCTTATGATACTACTCACCTGTAAAATACGTCAACAAGCTCAACCTATAAAAGACGATATACAACACTGTTATAGTGTAGTATAAGCACTGCTTAACAAAGCATCATAGTCATTGATTGACGTTTAACAGTTGAAAGTCATCGGCACGATACCCTTGCACTTTGGAGTACTCATCAGCAGGACGGTGCATGTAAAACCTTGAGGGAATTGATGTCCCTTCAGAGATCTGATTTAGTGTCACTGAATGCCGAAGGAATAGACCTTACCAACGAGATAGTCGTGCTGTAACTGATACCAATAGATCTCTCTCCCGTGATATAATTATGTGCTAAATGAGATCCACGGTGACCTTAATAGTTGAGCGGTAACTCCACCAGTTGTAGCAGTGAGGAATGTGGGTGTGGAACTAGAGAGGGAACACCACTTCCCTTGAGATTGAAGATACACCTTCCTGATGAGTACTAAGAAATGTGTGACCTATATCTAGAAGCTTTCTCATAACTACCAGCTGAGCTACAAATCCCAGTTTTTGTTTAATTCTATATTAGATTGCTTATTTGATATGGAACCTCGCCTGGTTAACTAGTTCACTAGTTACTCGCCGCTCCTACAGCCGGGTGAAAAAGGAAGGTTGGGCATAGGGCTCACAACCCTACCCGTAAAACCAATCCAACCGCGTTACAAAAGGGATTTCCAACAAACTATAGACATTCATCAACAACTGCCACTTACGATGGCTGGTTACTGACACTGAAAATCAGATGGATTGCCAGAATAATAAGAATAAGCAACAAGGAACTCACTGTGGCTGGCCTGATAACGAGCCAACGAGGAAGCTATCGCTGAAGAAATATGCAGTAGAACGAAATGAAGATGGATTGGGAATGGACTAAGAAGACCATTGGGAGATATCACGCGTCAGGCCAGGCTGTCAAATGGAACCCAGATGGGAAGCAACGAGTTGGACATCCCACCTGGGGGTGAGATGGAGGAGATAGTGTGAAGCAGAAATGAGAGCTTGTGGGCTGTCGTGAAGCCAGGTTGAAAAGATTGCAGAGAAGAGAGTGGAACGGAGACATGCTAGTGAATCCCTATGTTCCACTAGGAACCCAAGGGACAAATAATATAATAATAATAATAATAGTAATTTGATAGGGAATAATACTCTACTACAACACTCAAGCTCTACTCCAATTTTTTTGCTGTTTCGATTTTCTGTATGTTAAATACTAGTCAATTAAGGTTAAAAACCTGGTTGCAATGAAAATATTATTGAATGGTTGAAAATGTCAATATACAAAAACAAGTTTTTTTTTTAAAAAAATACATGAAAACACATAAATCCCACCTAGAAGTACTGCCATATTATGCAAATCATGTACTCGTACAAGATATTCTCCAATATCATACGGTGTTATTTTATTTAAATGACCATTCAGTCCCAAACCATAGAGTAAACCAGCTTGTTCTGGACTAGGTGTATCCAAAGATGATGATATAGAATCTTGATTAGTTCTAGGATTATTTCGACGATTATTAGTAGATGTCAGTCCAGCAGCTCGACAATTGTACATAATCCATGTAGCATCTACCTGTAATACATTGACATTAAAGTAATTTATTGAAAAGAATGATATATGTATATATATTATAGAGCGTGACAATATCCTCTAGATTCCTTAAAGCCCGGAATTCCCTAGAAAGCCTTCAGGGCCAATAATGGCATGTCGAATATTCACGAAGAACCAAGTGAGAATACATGAGTCTCAGGTTGGCCAAAACACTTTCTAGAAATGTGTAAAACTTACAAAGGTCATCAGAAATGCATATAAACCGTTATTCTTTGTACATATACAACTTGGTAGCAGAACTTTATCGTTTTCACCGCTTCTTTCGTGTTTCGAGGAACCAAGAAACCCTCAAGGGGATGAAGTATGAGGTTCAAGAGTCCTCCAAGGTATATATATTATATATATATATATATATATATATATATATATATATATATATATATATATATATAACGAGAGAGAGAGATTACTCCCCAACCAGCCCATTACGATTGGTGCAACTTCCCAAAAAGGTGAAGTAAATAAAGCATCCAAGTATATTGAAGCTCTGAACCTAGGTTTTCTGCTTTTTGACACATTTCAGTAAGGCGTATCTGCAACCTCTACGGAACTGATGCCCCACCTGAGATTGATATAGAATACCATCAAGACTTGGGACTAGATAACATGAAGTTGGTAACCCTCCAGTGACTAATCACTGGACTTAATCCAATCTTACAGGAGGTCGATAGCAGGCCAAATAGCTGCTCAGTGGAAATATCCATGACTGCAGCACTAAGTGACGCTGGTTCGGATCTCAGGCATTACTGCGCAACACTCCGAGTTGCCACACCTCATCTCATATCACTACATCAAGTAGAAAGGTAGTGAGGTGAAAGATGAAGATAAGAGGATGCAGTCAAAAGAAATATAAAGTACGAAAAGAGAGAAACGAAGAATGAGAAAGTGATGAGATTCGGTATAGCGTCGTTAACATGAGGATAATGTGTGTATACATCAACACCACTCACATCCGTTCTCAGCCATATCACCTACAGTCAGTCTCCAAACACTGGTTCCTCTTGTCCGCAGACCCACACCATCTAGTCTTCATCGTCCTCATACGGCTCAAACCAACAGTCAAATACTTCATACATTGGTGACATGTTTTAGTCTGGCCGCCTCGGGCCTGTTTCCAGCCTGGACCCACCTCAGTCAACACTGTGTGACGAGGGAGACGGCGACTAGGCATACGTAACACGTGTCGGAGCAAACCATCTCAGTCGATGAAGGTTCACAACCTCGTCAACCGACTAACTTCTCCCTAAAACTCTGCACTCGACTTCAGCATTACTCACTTGGTGACACCACGGAATACAGTGGCCTATAACTGCGAAGGCGGTAGTGGTCAAACACCTGAAGCCTTCTCATGTCTTCCACCTTCAATGGCCATGTTTCACAGCCATACAGTAGAACAGAGAGGACTGCTGTGGAGTACACGCGACCCTTAGTAGACAATTGGATATTACGGCGGCGACACAGGTGGCGTAAATTTGCGAAAGCCAGCTATCGGCTGGCAAAAAAATATATATATGTATATATAAAGAAATATTAGTCAAGAAATGTATTCAGTGAATTTCATATCCCTCAAAGGATTGAGTTATGAACGAATATATTTGATAAGTTTGATAAGTCGGCAACAGAAAGGTACACAGAGTACAACTTACTGAAGCGTGAGGTGATATGCTCAAACCAATAGCTACTCCATTATGAAAATCCGGCCAGTGCTTCGCAGCCAATACACCTGGAGCTTGTTGTATATTAGCAGTAGAAAGCAAGGATGCAGTAGAAGCTGCTGAGCTGGTAGCCATTGTGGAGACATTCGAATTGGCGTAATGGTTAAGTAAGTTGTTACCTGCTATCATACGGCTTAGTCCTAAAGATGCAGTCTGAAATAAGAAAATAAACTTGAATGGTATGGAAGAATGCAGAGTGTGATATACATAACCACACAAAATCGTATTTATGAGATGCAAAAAAAAGATAAGAAAGATATAAATGACGAATACTTACACGTAAACATGCACCAGCACCACAAGAAGCTATTGAAGAAGCGATGGCAAGTGCCATGGAGTTTCCTGGATGGCTAGAAGCATCAACACCTTGTGTTCCAGTAGTGCCACGCCTATCTCCATTAGTTCCACCGATATCTAGTCCTGGGGCTGTTACTTCTGTTGTTCCTGGAGTCCTGTTAGCACCAGCATTCACGTTAGCAGATCCAAGAGACTCACGTGCAAGGTCAACCAAAACACGCCTTCCACTGCTTGGAGAAATAGCTCGACCACGTAAGCAAATTGGTGGCACACGGAGCTGTGTTGGTACTTTTGAACCCATAAGGATCCCCAAAGTCAGCATTCCACGACCGACAACTGAGGCCCAAACACGAATACCAGCTGCAGCCAGATGCATTTCCAACCTTGCTTCTGTTAAACGAGCGTTAACATCAGATCCAGATGCATTAGAGGGGGATGAACCGACTGGATCTTCAGAATTCACACGAGGAAGACGAATATGGCTAAAGCTTTGTAGTAGACGATATGCTTCACGTAGACGTAAGTCATCCTACAAAAGTGTTTAAAAAACTGAAATTTTATTGTAAGCTGAATTTTTCGTCAACAAGAACTGGTAAGAAACCAGAAAAGGGAAGTACAGAAAAATAAGATAACCATCTGGTTATCTATCAGTTAAAAACAGCTAAGTATGACGGAGTGAGAAAAGTTCATTGTGGATTAAGATTAAAAGTTAAACACTGTTTCAACTATAGAAAAGTGGAGCCGCCAAACATGAGGACTTATAAGCTATCCACTCTCATGTAAGAAAGTATACAAATAATTTTAATGACAATACAACTCAACCAAAAACATTTTCTATATACTACACAGTAAGGGACGCATCTATTGTCTGAGAGCTTGATAATAGAATCAGTAGATTGAGTGAATTTTGAACCAGTAATCGTACACCTAAGAAATTAGCATCTAAACCAACACTCTACAGTTGGTATACCTCTGAGAAAATGAGGTTTAACAAGTACTTCTTGAAAATACCAAAGTAAGTTGAGTATATGCTTGGCGAATCAGATGAAAGTTCTGTAAGCAGTAAAAAAAAAACAATAGGGGTGATAAAGTTCTGAGAAATTTGAAGAAAATTAGTTTATTCATATACAAAGAACATATTCCGATAGCGTATTGAATGAATTCTGGAAGTCATAGTTCCACAGGATTAGTGTAAATTACTAAGCTTTTGCTATTGCAGAGTAACTCTAACTCTAACAATCAGAGAAATAAAACCAGTAAACCAATTATAATAATAAAATACTGTGCTTTATTTTACAACTTCCATCGACTTTGAAAAGGCTTTCGACAGCATCGTCCAAAAAGTAATTTGCCAGGCAACTGCTTCAACACTATGGACTCAGTGGCACAAACCTTTATCAACATCATTCAACAATTATATAAAGAAGCCACATTCCAAGTGATCCACAATGGAAAGCTCAGTGATGCCTTTGAAGGGAAGACAAGAGTAGAATAAGGCTGCCCCTATTATCATCGGTCATCTTCCTGATTGTGGTGGACTGGATCATGCAACAAACAGTGAGGAGCGAAAAGAGGGGGATACGCTGGACCGTAGAAAAGAACCTAGGAGATTTCGACTTCACCGATGACTTGTGTCTAATGTCACACAAACTCGAAGATCTACAGACAAAATCCAACAAGTTGATAGAAAAGATGAGGCAGCGGAGACGGGAATTCCCTCAGGTGAACGTTGAGAAGACACTATTGATGAAGATACCCAAACAACGCCACCACCACCAACAACAACAACAAGTTCCAATCACCATGAATGGGAGGAACTTTAAGGTAGTAGTCTCTTTCACCTACCTAAGAAAGGCAGCATCGTCTCAACTACAGGTGGCGGCGGTGTCGGCAGTACACAGGAGGACGTCAAAGCAGCCAGGATTGGAAAGACAGCAAGACACTCCTTCCTTGATTAATCTGAAACCAGTGTGGAGATCTTGTGCACTCCACTCAGCATAAAAAGCGTGAACAGGATCGGGATTTTCAACACTAATGTCAGTCAGTCAGTCAGTGAAGTGAGCCAGTGCTTCTGTGTGATGGTTGAGATACTTGGTGCGTTACGGAAGGTGATTTCCAACAAAGTAGAGATATTCATCAACAACTGCAGCCTACACTGGCTCGTTACTGACACTGGAGACCAGATGGATTGCCAGAATAGGAAAGATAAGCAAGAAGGAACTCACTGTGGCTGGGTGGTAACGAACCAACGAGGAAGCTATCACTGAAGAGATGTGCAGTAGAAGGAAGTTGAGATGGATGGGATTGGTCATGCAGTGAGGATACCGGGTGTGGACATCACGCACCACGCCATGCCAGGCCGGGACGCCGAGTGGAATGCAGACGGGAAACGGTGAGTTGGGCTTCCGAGACGAGGGTGAGACGGAGGAGATCGTGTCAGGAAGAAATGAGGGCTTGCGGGCGGCTGTCGTGGAGGCAGGCTCAAAAGATTTCAGAGAAGAGAGCGTACTGGAGACGTGCTACTGAAGCCATATGTTCCACTAGGAACCCAAGGGATAAATAATAATAATAATAATGATATTCTTCCCTGGACTACAGAAAAAAGACTATGATGTACTGTGTAGGATTATGAGAGCTGTTAGTAGAGCAAGTGGTACACGACTAACAGTGCTGATAAGTGAAGTCTTGGATAGGCATCTGAACTCTCATAGATTACTGACTAAAAATATATTATCCGATAACAAGTATCCTCTGCATCTGCACCTCTCTCCATATTTGTCCTCGGAGCAAAGACAAGAAGCAAATATATTAAACTCTATGCACGCACAACTGTACACAAACGTTCAAAGATACCACCTTATTTAGGTTATGTAATGTATAAAGAAAATCATATTAGACATAAGTCTTATCAATCAACTTTGCAATAGCGAACACCTTGAAGTTATTAAACATTTCAATAATCCTGTTATTCTTTATTATATATTGTTAAACAATACGATTGTTAATATACATTGAAAGATGTTGTACAACGGGGTAAATTGATGCAATATCATGTGCTGAGAATTCTGTACTCCAGACGTAATTACGGTTTGGAATAAAGCACATATATTATTACTATTATTATTATTATTATTAATTCAAGTTGTTATTCATCGTAGACTGACATCAGTTGCAGAGGAACAAAGGGAACCTGGGAGCACTGGACAGCTGTTTTGTCCCACTTGTATGGGACTCCTCAGCAGTGCGCACCCACGACCCCACCAGCAGGGATCGAACCCGCGACCTTCAGGTTCCGCGGCCAGCGCGTTACCATTGAGCCACTGGGTCAGAATCCAATGCTCCATATTTCCAACTTCTGTTAGCCAGATATTTAGTTGTAAGCTACTTTTCAATCTTAAATGAGGATTTTACGTTAGTTAGCAGAATATTTTGGTGAACATCCACTATAGAAAGTGACCATGAGTATGTTAAAGTCAAACAGCTAAACTTTGATGTATGCATTAAAGAGAAACCTAAGTAACTTCATTAGATTGTTATTGGTTATTTAGTGACTCAGAAAGACAGTTGCTCATTCTGAGCACCAGTAGAGTATACAAATTTTCAACTCACTAAGTAATTTAACAGCAATATGAGAGAAGGCATCGAGATAAATGATAGAGAAATAAAAAAGAAAATAGTCAAAAGTAAAGGAATTCATGAAAACATGACAAGAGGGAATCGAATGATAATGAAATTCAAAGATAATGATTAAGATGAAGACAATGTTTGGATGGATCCTCACTGCTGACATTGGTTCTCAGTTATATCACCTAGAATCTCATATCCACTGGTTTCAGTTTTCATGTGGACACCAACCAGGAAGTTTTCATTCCTTTAAAAAAAACTCGGATAAATAACCAAAGACTTTATGAGCTAATGCCAAGACTTAGTTCAGTTATCTATAATCTTTCTTCAGATCACATGGCGCGACAGGACTAACGATGGCCAGACATGCGTAACACATATCCCAGCCATCTGAGTTAACGACGATTCACAATTCCATCATCTGAATCATCTCTTTTGGCTAAAACTCCATGTCTGACTTCTGTGTTATAGACATGGTGACACAATGAAACAGTCTATGATAAGAGGGGCAATGATGTTCTAAAAATGTGAATTCCTCTCATAGTCTCCACCTTCAGTGGGCATCCTACGTAGATCAAGCTGCTGTGGAATAAACAAGGATTCCTTCTCATGCTAAAAATTACTTTGTACTTTTGATCAATAATTGACATCTTCACAACCAATAACATAAACCACAGCTGCATTGTAAAAACCGGTAGTATGAAGGACAGCTAGGCAGAGAAATTAAGGTAGAATTTGAGACGAAAATGAAAAGAAAACATGGATTGAAGACGATTGATATCAAAGTAGACAAAAGTATACAAGAGGAGTGTGAATAAATAGATGATGGTTAACAAAAATGTTCAAGACATCGAAGAAGAAAAAGAGTGAATACATCTGGGTCATTGGGACTGACCTTAAGACATATCGCCAAGTATTATGCAACACTGATTCCTATTATGAAATGGTGGAGAATATTTAAAGCCGATTCCTATTATCTCGAGGACAACAACCAGGTAGTCGACACTTCCTAACACAGCTCAAACCAACTTTGTAGACTGTTGTCTCATCACATTTAATCTTATTTCAACATAATTCTACTTCGGTTGGTATCATACCTCGAGGTAGACAGTGCCGCGGCATGCGCAACACATACCCAAGTTGTTTCATTTGATGATGATTCACAACCTACTTCATAGACTGACTTATCTTTACTGCGTAATACCCTACGCCTGACTTCAATACTGCTCAGGCACCATAGTAACCGAGCAGTGTCGTGAATACCTCCTGGGGATTGGATGGAACTCTTACACACTTTGAATTCACAAACACATAATTTACGTTGATATTATTCGTTACAATGAATGGAAATAAAAAGCAAATCACTCTATAGGACTGTCTATCTTTCAGCAACAACGTGCAAGTTCTAGTAAAAGGTAATCTGAGAGCTAACGATACTACCTGACTGACAAATGCTTGGTAGATTGAGAGTTCGAACACATTGTTTGCTGCTGAGAGAGTCATTTGCCTAGATAAATTACCCATAGCTCCATAACTCCATAACACCAGGTGTCTGATTCTAGATAATGAATGAATAATATATGCAAAAAAGCTGTTTAGAACGCATACTATGCACTGTTGAATTTCTACTCGTACACAAACCACAGGTGGATAGAAAAAGAGCAATATCAAAGAAGATAACGTAGTGTGAGAGAATAGACAATGTAAAGGAAACAGTTAGTGAGAATATTCAAACTTCAAGAAATGAATATATCTGCACTAATGTGATCGATTTCCAGCCATGTCACCAACAGTCCTCAACCACACATTCCTATAATCTTCAGGGCTCAAACCACGAAGTCTACATCACCCCACATGACTCAGATCAACAGTAAGAGACTTCATCGACTGGTGCCACGTCATTGTTCGGATAGCCTGAATTCTCTTCCAATCTAATCCAACTTCCCATTACATGGTACGTCGACGTGGGCAGTGGTTCGGCATGCGCAGTCCAAGCCATATCAGTCGACTAAGGTCCATAACGTCATCAATCAACTTGCCTGTCTTACCTAGTACCCCTTCGTCTAACCTCCAATGAAATAGAAGAAAAGCTGACTAACAAACACGAACAAAATACGACGTAGTAAAAATGAATTCCACTTGGCGTTTAAACACTTCACATATTGCAAAAATCTTAGCATGTAAAATTAGTTACCTCTATAACATAGAAGTTGAGGGAAATTACGTAGTATAATAACGAAGCATTAACAAACCTTAAAAGATACTTGACAGCAAGGATTACTTTCTAGATGATACAACAAAGCATGCGGTGATGCCGCCATATTCAATGACATTGAACGGATATCTCGAAGAGGATGAACCAAATTCGACCAACGCTCAGCGACAGACCATGAAGAAGATGTATTAACAGCATTTGGTTGCATGAATAAGCTAATCCGTTCAGGTTTAGAAAAACATGAATTGGATAGATTAGAAGTTGAATTCAACTGTGCAGTTACAGTAAAGTTTTGATGATCACTCAACATAAGAGCTTGTTTCGCTAGATCAGTACGTCCTGGAGAAAAGAAAAAGCCAATAAAAATCACAGCTTATTCATACATACTATAAGGATGAATATAGAAATATCTTGCAATAGCTTTGCAAAAGAATAAAACCTGAGTTTACATTGCTATTTGTAGACATCGTACTCGAGACTGATTAGCATATAAATCGTAAAATCTACATTCATACAACAGTTTCAGTTCAGAAAGGAAGTAAATTTTAGGAGGTCAAAAACGATTCCTCAAGGTAACATATTTGTTATTCAGTTGTCGCTTGATGATGTAGTATAAGTTCGTAAGCATGATATCCCACATCTACGCATTACTTAGTCAGAATTCATTTCTTGCTCATTTTATCGAAGTAATGTCTTGTACACGTAAGGAATTGTTTATTAAATATATAAAAGTCATCTTTAAGATGCACTGCATAAATAGTCATCTAGGTTGTAGGATAAATATGAATCTGACCAATCAGTCTAATTTTCATTCGGTTAGGATAAATACCAAACATAGTAGGTAGTAATGTGTTCTATGAGGTGGGTTAAACAACCCAGCTTAGAGAACACAATACAACCAAGACCATCCACCTGAGCTACAAATATTCTCCATCATAGTAGGTAGTAGGTATAATGAATTATTATTATTTATCCCTAGGGTTCCTAGTGGAACATAGGGATTCACTAGCATGTCTCCATTACACTCTCTTCTCAATACTCTTTTCAGCCTGGTGCCACGACAGCCCACAACCTCTCATTTCTTCCTCACATCATCTCCTCCATCTCACCCTCGTCTCGGAAACCCAACTCACCGTTTCCCATCTGGGTTCCAATCCACGGCCCGGCTCGGCCCGGCCTGGTATGGTGTGTGATGTCCACACCCGATCTTCTCACTGCATGCCCAATCCCATCCATCTCAACTTCCTTCTACTGCACATCTCTTCAGTGATAGCTTCGTCATTGGTTCGTTACCACCCAGCCACAGTGAGTTCCTTGTTACTTATTCTTATTATTCTGGCAATCCATCTGATCTACAATGTCACTATCGAGCCAGCGTAGGCAGTTCTTGATGAATGTTTGCACTTTGTTGGAAATCCCCTTCCGTAACGCACCAAGTCTCTTAACATTCACAGAGAAGCACTGATTTGACATTAGTGTTGAAAATCCACATCCTGTTCACGCTTTTTATGCTGGGTGGAGTAGACAAGATCTCCACACTGGTTTCAGGTTAATCAAGGAAGGAGTGTCTTGCTGTCTTTCCGATCCTGGCTGCTTTGACGTCCTCCTCTGTGCCGCCGACGCCGCCGCCACCTGTAGTTGAGACGATGTTGCCTTGCTTAGGTAGGTGGAAGAGACTACTTCCTTTAAGTTTCTCCCGTTCATGGTGATTGGAGCTTGTTGTTGTTGGTGGTGGTGGCGTTGGTTAGGTATCTTCATCACTGGTGTCTTCTCAACGTTCACCTGAGGGAAGTCCCGTCTTCGCTGCCTCACCTCTTCTGTCAATTAGTCATATTTCGCCTGTAGATCTTCAAGTTTGTGTGACATTAGATACAATAATGAATTGTTGGCAACCAGTAATACTCTTGAATAGTGTCCATGGTAGTGATTTCTAATAATCCAAGGTTAATATGTAAGCTAAGTAGTTTACAAGTGTTGGAGGATTAGCAGTGCATAGAAGAAAGGATTTCGAATATCATTTTCACAACCGTTTTACCGCACTAAGTCTCAGGTTATTGACTTTTTGTAAAAGTCACAAAATATACGTTCTTATGAAGCGACCTAATGCTATTCGCCTAGTAAAGAGTTAACCATCAATGGTTATTGCATCTTCATCTTAGATAAATACATCGAAAAAAGGAGTTAAATCTGCAAACATTGGATGATAGATGAACCAATTAGAGTATTCAGACCAACAGTCTCAATCAACACGTGGTGTTCGGGCTTGTATATTATACAATAACCAAACGAGCTATGCTGGTCAAACGCTTTTTCTCTCAAGTCTCTGCCACGCCAAAAGGGTTTGTTGGATAGTCGTTACACAAAAAGAAGTCACTGTACTGCTGGCTGGAGGGAGTGCGACAGCAGCAGTATATTTCCCCTAGATGACTAGCAGTACCGTGCTGATGGAATCTTCACTATAGGGTTGTCAAGGGGGTAGAAAAAGTTGGTCCAAAAAATAGCGAAGTCCTCTTTACCCCAAAAATCTTCCCGTCCCAGCGGTATGTGTTTTTCTTATCCGGTGTTAGAACAACAAAATCGCAAACCACTAATCATCAAAATGGAGTTTGGAAGGTCACAAGTATATGTCTCATGCGCTCTGCGTCCACATAAATCTTTTTCTTCTCTTTCAGATACACTTCAGAAGTAACTTCCACGGTATAGGCAGCCGGAAAGCATCAACCACTGGCACGCTTCCTGCAGTAGTACGTAAAATCCAATCGAATATGATTTACTCTCCTTACCTTTGTCTCTTTCTTTGACCCCACTTCTTGATACCAATAATGGATACTTACAACTTCTTCAATATCTCGCTCTATGACCATTGCCAACGATCCAAGTCATTGAAACCTCATTCGTAGTCTCTTAAGACCCGCTTGTGGTTTCATATTGGGACCTTCAACGTTCGAACTCTATGGCAAATTGGATGGCAGGTATCGGTAGCCAGAACTCTGGAATCTCAAGCCATAGATTTTTGTTGCCTCACTGACATCTATACAGGGCCTGAATGCGGGGATTTTCACTTGAATTCACCTAATGGAGTGGATTTTCAGAATTCGCCTTACGAGTATCCGAAAATTCAATGGTTAGCTCTTGCCGATTCATTAATGTAGGGATACCATTACGTTCTCCAGTAGAAAAGTGTACATATCAACCTCTAACTAGTCAACACCAGTCCGTTTGCTGTTCAACCCAGTGGATCTGTAAGAAGTATGAAGGATCGTGACACTTGCTGATGCTTATTCACAGTATCTGCCAACGCACCTACCGATTTTAGATCGGGTGATACAAAGTAAGACTTCTGTCAAAAGCTGTTAATTTTTCTACATTCAGCTAAACATTCATATATGGTCATAATAGTAGGCGAAGTCAACGCCCACGTAGAGTAGTGAAGCCAAATAAAAAGACAAAGTGGGGATATCTACGGAATTCCCAGCCAACGAACTGACAAAAGCGATCGTCTCTTACAATCATGTGCTTCTGGTGCGTGCTTGACTGAACAATGGGAACATGGACTACATATTTAAGGAGAAGAGCGTTAAGCGTTTATCCGAAATTGACGGCAATCGCCATCCTGCAGAAAACTGGCATGATTTTCAACATGCTGTGGAAACAGCGGTAAAGACAGTTGGTAACGTATAACCAAAGGTTAGCGATTGTCGGTGGATTTCCGCAAACTCATCCGAACCGACTGATCTAACAACTCATTCAGGCTAGCTCTGACCACGACGAGGAGCGAACATAGATCAGACGTAAATTAACTCAAAGTCTTTGCAGCGACAGAGAGTAGTGAAGGGTGGTAACAGAGACAGAAGTGGAGAAGGCATCAGCATTAGGCAATACCCCGAACGTATTCACGCCTATTAAGGATACCAACATGAAGAAGACGATGATGAATGAGACCATCGCCGGAAGGGAGGAGACTGTGATAACACCCCAGGATAATCGACTACAACATTAGGCAGAACAGCGTGTTATTAATGTACAGGTCAGGTCAAAGGTACAAGGCAAGGAATCGGAGTGAGTCTATGAGGTTGTGAACCTTCAGCGACTGACATGTATTGTGCATGTGAAACCACGTCCTACCTCAAAGTGCAATCCTAACAGAATTCGGATTACGTTGAAGAATTCAGAGTGGTCAGACCAAGACGTGACACCAATCCATGAAGTCTCTGAATCTTAGTCTCGACCATGTAGGGAGATGATGACTAGTTGCCTGATATCCATGAGACAATAGGAATTAGTGGTTAAGAATTTCTGGTGAAATGGATGAAAATCGGTAACAAAGACGCAGATGCACACACTCTTTGATATCTCCTATAGTTTGAATATTCGCAATAACCTTGATTTTCAAATTCCCTCTCTTTCCATACATCTTTGACTACTTTGATGTTTCTCTTTTTCTATCCACTTGTTCTTTATATGCTAATGTGAAGTATCGCAACTTGAACCCATCCATTTCTGTGCAACATTTTATATTGATTTTGTTTATCTGTTTACCATCTGTCAATCACAGTACACACCTTGGAAGTGTATACTAGCGGTGTATTATACTCTGAGGAAATGAAAGAATAATCTGAAATACTCCACTTCGCACATCAGAACAAAGTAACCTACTTTCTTCTACATTGTAACTGATATATATACATACAGACCATATCTTACCAGACCCTGAATACAGTACGCAAAGTGTACCAGTTCAACAAGTCACCTTTTACATGGAATTATCAGAATACCTACTTAACAAATGGATTATTTCATAAAAATAAATCAACAGTTGAAATGCAACAAAAAACAACCAATGCAAGGGAAAAAGAACTAATTCAATAGCGTAATTAGACGACAAAGTTTATCTGAACAAACTCTCTGATGCATTTAGGCAATACATTTCAAACAATCTGATCACACATTTACTTGTCTCAAGTCAAGTCAGTGTATAGAGAATTAGATTTAAGAAAAATGATAACAAGCGGGAAGAAGAGTGACCTAGTTGATACTAATCTTGGTAATAAAACATAGTTTAACAACGGGTAGGCGTAGTGTAAACAGAAACTGTTTTTGTACACATAAACGTGGTTTCAATTTGTGTATGACTATAGCTTCCTTAAATCTGAGAATACATCCCTGACTGACTATTTCTATATAAAACTGTTGTTGCTGTTTGAACAATAATTCCATGACCCATTTCTATATAATGTCCAGCTATAGATGAAGAGGGTTGTCTCCCGTCTACGCTTTTCATAGTTTCACACTCTATTTATTTTCGAAGCCATTTAGGTGCATGGCTCGATTACTCTTTCCTATGTATATGTGACTATACACACATGTAAACTGATGAACACAATGGGATGTGACCTAATCACTGATACAGTGTTGAGGGTTGTGGTTAATGTTTTCACTGAAAGATACTTTACGACTTGTCTTAGTGACATGAGTATCAAAAATAAGACTATGTACTCTTTCAATGTAAATTCTCTATTCACTAATGTGCCGTTGTCCAAGGCTAGTAACATTATCTGGGAGTACATATCCTCTAGAAACCTCACATTTCCTATTACTCCAACTTTTCTGAGGGAGCTGTTATTGCTATGTACTGACAAAGTCCATTTCACATTTGAAGGTGAACGCTTTCGACAAGTTGACGGTGTAGCTATAGGAAGTCCCTGAGAACCAGTACTAGCTGATATTTATATGTAATATATCACAGGCCGCAAACTTTTATCAACCTCATTCAACAGCTACATGACGACGCCACATGCCAAGCGATTCACAATGAAAAGCTCAGTGATGCCTTTGAAGGGAAGACAAGAGTAAGATAAGGCTGCCGCCTACTATCACCGATGATCTTTCTGGTTATGGTGGACTGGACCATGCAGCAAACCGTGATGAGCGAGAAGATGGGCATACGCTGTTCGACCGATAAAAGACCTTAGAAGATTTGGATTTCGCCGATGATAGCTTACGTCTAATGTCGCACAAGAGAAAACCAACAAGTTGCGTCTACCAATTTACATGTCTGTGTGGTCATATATACATAAGGAGGAGTAATCGAGTCATTCAGTTGAGGGTAGGAGAACATGTACCTAAATGGCTTCGAAAATAAATAGAGTGTGAAACTATGAAAAGCGTAGATGGGAGACAACCCTCTTCATCTATAGCTGGACATTATATAGAAATGGGTCATGGAATTATTGTTCAAACAGCTTTCAAAGTTTTATATAGAAACAGTCAGTCAGGGATGTATTCTCAGATTTACGGAAGCCATAGTCATATACAAATTGAAACCAATTTTATGTGTACAAAAACAGTTTTAGCTTACACTGCACCTACTCCTTGGTAAACTTTGTTTTTTTCACCAAGAACTAGGTCACTCTTCTTCCTGCTTGTTATCATTTCTCTTAATTTTAATATCCTATTGTGTTAACTTTTGTATTTGCCCCACCACTCTTCGGTTGAATATATATTGACTTGAGACAAGTAAATGTGGGATCAGATTGTTTGAAATGTATTGCCTAAATGCATCAGAGAGTTTGTTCAGATAAACTTTGTCGTCTAATTACGCTATCGAAATTCATAAAACGGACTAACTATTTGAAACTTATTCAGGAGTTTACGACAGAAAAGAACCTGAAGAAGTAGAAAAACATTCAGCTGACTGAACCAGTGAACATCAACTAATCGAAATGATCAAACATACTTTAAGTATACTGAGTAAATACTAGTCCTAAAGTAAGGAAACGCAAATAGAAAAGAAAAAGACAAGGTAGTATTTATCACGGACTGATATCAGTTGGAGAACCATTGAAAAACTGTAGGCACTAAACAGTCGTTTCATCCTAATTTGATGCTTCTCAGTAGTCTCCATCCATGACCCTGCCGGGAATCGAGCCTAGCACCAACAAGTCTCATAGTGTGAGTACGTTACCATAGGAGCAATCGTTTACATTTTTTCTATTTCTGTCAATTCTCGATAAAGTACGAGCAGCATGTAATACTACCGACGAGCATTTGTCATTATACTCAACTTGGTTGACCCCACAGGTCATGGTTTTTTATTACAACCTCGAGAAACAACAATTATGGTTTCCATCTGTTGAGAAACTCTTAGCATATAGTATGTACCGTAAACAGATAATACAATGAAATTTGAACGCTTACTGCTTATATAATCTCCTATTCTGTATTTCGTTTGCATTATACATACTCATAAAAGAAAAGTAATAATAAACTTACCCATTAAACTATATACATCTGGATTACAATTAGGAGGTGGATGTAATCGACAACGACTAAGAAAAATACGTAAAACCATTGACAATCCAGATGGAAGTACACGTAATCGTCTACTTAATACACCATGAAATATTGTAGTGTTTGACTCTAACAAACTGAGAAATAGTAAAGCTAAGTGTTGTGCAGAACTTGGTAGACAAGATATTTCTGTTTCATTCGATATTTTCTTGTTAAATAATCCAACTGAAGTTAAAAGTGTTTCAACATAAGCACATGCATATGGACCAGCAGTTTGAAGCCATTGTTTAACTTGTTCATCATGAAAAATTGATAAATTCTCTTGTTCCTTTGATGAATAATCATAAACTGAAATAACAAGGTAAACAGATTATATGATGGTAAAGAAATAAAGATAGAAAATATAAAGATTAGTGTGTTCTTGGCACAGGAGAACGTTACACGTACACCTGAGTTATATTCATCAGTTTTCAATCTATGAGCATCTATTGTAATCAGTCTTTATACTGGATGATGATTGAAAGTGAAATAAAAATTTGAACCACGGTTGGATACAGACCAGAGACCGCCGAGTTTCCAGTCCGATGCTCCAGCAGCTGAGTTACGAGGTCCGACTACTGACCATGTTTTATTTCACTTCAATCAACAAAGAGGGTTTTGCCCGACTACTATGTGAATTCGTGACACGTTACTATCGTTTGACCGTATTTACACTGGTTGTCTAATCACGACGTCTCATCCTAATACAAATCTAACCAAATTAGGGAGGGGAAATATCATACTGATTATCATTTTGACTATCTGAGATAACCGTGGTTCGGCAGACTAGTATTTATGCTGGGCGATGATTGATATGATGCTTCCCCTCCCCTCTAATTCAGTTACATTTATATTGGGATGAAACGTCCTGATTAGGTAACCAGTGTAAATATGGTCAAACGATAGTAAGACATCACGAATTCACATGGTAATCGGGCGAAACCCTCCTTGTTGATTGAAGTGAAATAAAACATGGTCAGTAGTCGAACCTTATAGTTCAGCTGGTAGAGCATCGGACTGGAAACTCGACTGTCTCTAGTTTGAATCCAGCTATGATTCAAATTTTTATTTCACCTTCAATCATCATCCAGTATAAATATTAATCTGCCAAACTACGGTTATCTCAGACACTCAAAATGGTAATCAGTCTTCATAATTATGCAACATGTACAACGATCAACGCAGATCTCTCTCAAATAAACCAGCATTTTAATCAACTTAAGAAAAGATTAGTGATCAGCATTCAAATACTGTATTACGCTGCTCCTTCTTAAAGGAAAAGGGTAATTTAATGCATAAAACATTTTCAAGGGCACTAATATGACCGAATACACCTTTCAATAGGTCATACATACACACAAACACATGGTTGTGAAAGATACTACAGTGTCATCATCATCATCACTATCAACATAGGACCAGGCATTACTGCGTAACACTCCGAGTTGCCACACCTCATCTCATATCACTACATCAAGTAGAAAGGTAGTGAGGTGAAGGATGAAGATAAGAGAATGCAGTCAAAAGAAATATAAAGTACGAGAAGAAAGAAACGGAGAATGACAAAATGGTGAGAATCGGCATAGCGTCGTTAAGATGAGGATAATGTGTATATACATCTACACCACTCACATCCGTTCTCAGCCATATCACCTACAGTCAGTCTCCAAACACAGGTTCCTCTTGTCCCACCGACCCCAACCACCTAGTCTGCATCGTCCTACATGGCTTAAACCAACAGTCAAATACTTCATACAATGGTGACATGTTTTAGTCTGCCCACCTGGGGCCTTTTTCCAGCCTGGACCCACCTCAGCCAACATTGTGTGACGAGGCAATCGGTGACTAGGCATACGTAACACGTGTCGGAGCAAACCATTTCAGTCGATGAGGGTTCATAACCTCGTCAACTGACTTACCTCTTCTCCCTAAATTCTACTCCTGACGTCTGCGTTACTCACCTGGTGACACCACGGAATACGGCGGCCTATAAACTACAAAGGCAACGGTGGTCAAACACCTCAAGCCTTTTTATTTCTTCCACTTTCAATGGCCATGTTTCACAGCCATACAGTAGAACAGAGCGGACTGCTGTGCAGTACACGCCACCCTTAGTAGACAATTGGATATTACGGCGGCGCCATAGATGGTGTAAGTTGACAAAAGTCAGGCGGGCCTTTTGTATACATGCAGAAATCTCATCGGCAACTAACCCACCGCAGCTTAGCCTACTTCACAAATAAGGGAAGTGGTCGACACACTCAACATCTACACTCTCGATTGTCAGCCATGGAACCGCTGAAGACCAATCGTGGAGAAACAATTTGCATTTGGGTGGTGAAAATCGCATCCCAAACATTCTCAAATTCCCACTCAAAGTGTTCAGAACACTCTGCATCTTGTCAGCGTCGTCTTCACCTAACAGGACTGGCTATGTCATCTGCATATTCTAGATCTAAAGAAAATTCACCTGTGATCGGGTCAACGTCTGTGTAATCAGGTGACGAGAGGGAAACCTCCATAAGAATATCTATGATAAAATTAAATAAGACTGGAGACAATGGGTATCCTCGACGGACACCACTTGATGAGTATAGCTCCCTGGACAACTCACCATAGGCTCTAACATGCCCACAAGTGTTCGAGTAGAGAGCTGTCAATAACGTGATGTACTTACTAGGCACGCCTTTCAGTGAGAGACATTGCCATAAGACTTCTCGATCAACGGAGTCAAATGCCGCCTTCAGGTCGAGAAATGCAGCTATTGTCGGGCGTCTGTAAGCATGCCTACGTTCTAGGACCTGGCGCAGTGTAAATATTTGGTCGATACACCCGCGGCCAGGTCTAAAGCCTGCCAGGTTTTCTCACGCTTGGTGTTCCCGAGCTCCACTCAGGCGTCGGAGAATTAGAATTTAGAAAAAAGTTCAACTACTGGCATGCATGAAACTACACTTAATTGTACAATCAGATGGGACAAAGTGACAACCCTTAAAAATTAACTTAACAGAGTGGAGAGAGACATTGATAACTGAAACCTTTTTTTCAACGAATCGACATCGAAGATATGTGACAGGAATAACTTAACAGTTTCGATATGAATATATGTTGGAAAAATCATCCAATAAATCACTGGAGAGTGACCGTTTTCTATTGATAATTTTGCAATCTAATCACCAAGTTAGGAGGCTCATCATTGGAATGTACTTTGATGAATGTTAGTTGTTTGGAGGGAATCGGTAGGTTGCAGATTCCCTTTTCTGACGAGTATCAATAAGCGCGAAATCCAGGTCCAAGGCTTCTTACCGATTGTCTCCAAATAACTAACTACCACAGTGTGTAAGTTCTATTCTTATATGAATGGATTACATGACCTACACATGAAGCATTAGTAGAACCCTTTGGAGTATCTGTCTAATAGTTAACGCTGATGTTTGGGTTTGCACTGGTACTCCTTGGGAACTTTATTGTGGACATTCATTATGAGGTATGGTTGTAAAAAGGTTGGATGGCATTAGACATGTTATATCATTTCGCAAACTCTCGATAAGTACTTCATGCTTTTCATCAATATGATCTGACTGAATGTCTACATCATTTACTACTTCCTGGTGGACAATGGAGGGGCTTAATATCGTTCTCATCTATCGACGTGACGTGATTCATATTATCAGGTCTTTTGAATTCATTTTCAGCTTCAGTATGTCCATCATTGAAGTATTTACGGAAATTCTTTTTCAAAATCTCAGGCTTTATGGATGTAGATTCTCCCTGGATGTAATTCAGTATTTGCTTGAACTTCTCAATAATCCTCAGTCATGAGGCTTCCATTCTTTCATTAAAGAGTTTCAAAGAGCTAGGAATTCTTCAGCAGAAAGAGTCGCTTTTTTTTTACCCGCCGTTTCTTTTATATATATGCAGTCACCTAGGCTATTTCTAGGCCTACTAGATTTAAATCCTGTTGATTTATTACCTCTTCGACCAACCTGATACTTACACGTTGGTTCATGTGTTTTCTCCCGAAAGATCGAAGCAAAGTGATTGGTTGAAAAAGACTTTAGGCATTTGTGGCTTCTTACAAAGATTCTAGTGAAGAGTAAGTGTCATTTCTCACATGGTTGTAACATCGTATAAAAGCTAGGTATCCACTACATATGAGTATCTGTAACAACAGGTGGTAATTCTGAGAAGGCCTTCTTACTACAGCTTCACTGAAATCCAATACTACCTATATTAACTGTAATAAAATATCAAAGAACGAGTATACTGTGCAGCAGTCTATTCTGTCCTATTATACGCGTGCGACACGTGGCCACTGAAAGTAGAAGGGTTTCGATCATAGCTTTCTTCGGTTGCATTGCTTGCGTGTGGTGGAATCATCATGCGAGTAATGTTAAAGTCAGGGAAAGGGTACTAGGCAAGACAGGTAGGTCGAGGTTGTGAACCTTAGTTGAGTGAAATGCCTTCAATATGTACTACGCATTGCATGCGAGCTATCACCTACCCCAATATGTCATGGTAAGGGAAGTTGGATTAGGCTGAAAGAAAGTTCAGAGTGGTCTGACCAAGACGTAGCGCCACTCAACGAAGTCTCATACTGTTGGCTGAATAGTTTGGGTCGATGTAGACTGCTTGGTTGGCGTCCTCAAGATGAAAGGAATCAGTGGTTGAGGCCTTTTGGCGATATAGCTGAAAATCGACCACAATGGCGCAGATGTATTCATCCTTTTACTAACCATCTTTTTCTACCTAATTGTTATTTGGATGCTGTTTAGAAATGTGACAACTAGAACGGATTTACTTCTATGCGAATGTCTATATTGATTATTGTCTATCAATATATGTAATATTTTCGACCTACCAAAGTATGCGAATATAGAAATCTACAAACATTCAATACTCCAGAGTTACAACACATGCACTAACTTAATAATCTATACCCTTTCGAAGCGTTGATAACAACGAAACACGAAGATTTGAGGATCTCTACACCATTGGCAAACGAACTAAAATAGTCAAAACATTGTTTTGAAAAACATAAGTCAGAGAGATAAAATCAACGTAGATCTTAGCATATAAGTGTATCGTTTCAACTACACACTTTACAACATAGCATCATACGAAGAACAGGTGAATAGAAAAAGGGTAATATCAAACTAGACAAAGTTGTGTAAGCGAATAAGCACTCCAAAGATGTCAATGAGTGAAGACATCTACACCACTGTTGCTAATTTTTAGCCATATCACCAAGAGTTCTTAACCAATCATTATTTTCATCTCGAAGACCTCGACCAGACAGTTTACATCTCTCTACAAGACTTAGATCAACAAACAGTAAAGGACTTTATGGTCTAGTACGACGTCTTGGTCCTACCATGATAAAACTTCTTCCAACCTAATCTAGCTTCCTATAGTATGACACATCGAGATAGGTGGTGGATCGGTATACACAGTACATGTCCAAAGCATCTTAACCGACTAAGTTTCACAACTTCATCAATCAGTTCGCTTATCATGCCTAGTATCCTTCCCCTGACCTAGAAAAAATATCAAATTGAACTATTTAAAAAGTTATTGGTAAAATATAACAATTTGATAATTAGAAGTGAAAAAAACAAAAAACAAACCTGAACTATTCAACTTTTTAACTGTTTTCCATGTGAATATTTGATTGGACCAAAATTCTAAAAGATTCTTAATTATAAATTTGATATCTTTTCCATTCAATATATTCAATTTCTTTGTAGACAAAGCTGAAATAATCATTCCAGCTAAAGCAGTTGCTAAATCATTTACTCCACTTAAATAAGGATAAGAATTAAAATTTATACAAGTATCCTTTGAATTGATAAATTCTAATCGTTTTGTTATCCATGTTAATAAACAAGGCACAATATTAGTTGACATTTCAATAGGCCATTGAAATGTTTCACTTGAAAGTTAATATGTATAATAAGCGAAAGATTACATAAACTTGAATATTCAGTTTCATAGTAAACAGTATATTCTGGTAAATTTAAAATCCTGTAAAAATAAAATAATATGAAAAGTTGATTCGTTTAAAATTTAACAAGAAACTAAATGAAAAGTAATCATTACTCATTCTTGAACTAGTGAATTAAAGAAAATTTGAGGTATAATGTCGAAAAGCGAATCATACCCTTTATAGAAGTTTCAACTTTTTTTTTTCTTTCTCTGAAATGGGTTGTTTAATTGTGAAGTTTTCATCATCCTTCTAGACAGCAATATGATTCCACAACACTAATTAACTTCAGTATGAAGTGATATGTCAATAATCTCTAATGATATTGTCTAGAAAGAAGATGAAAGTTTCATGATTAAATAACTCAGCTCAGAGAACATAATACAATCAAAATGTTCGTTCTGATTTCATTGTGATTGGAGTATAATGATCATCATTGTTAGCAAGTTTTGTAAGTTATTCAACTCTGTATTGTCATTGTTAATCATTTGTAAAGGATTTATTTTTCTCAATCTCATGATAAACAAAATGGTCTTGATATGCATAAAAAGTAATAATTCAACAACTATTAAAGTTTTTTTTTTTTTTTTCACCGTTAAGTGTCCCATTTGTTGATGATATATATGCGCGGTGGAGTTGTAGCTCATTGGTTTAAAGAGTTGACTTTCAACTACAGGTTGAAATATCACTTCATCCTACCGGGGTTTAGGAACATAGGCAGTAGTATCATTAACTCTCATATACACATAATAAGCTTAGTTCATTGCCTAATAAACGAATGAGTACAAGGTTGCTAAGTGAATTTTGAGTTGATTTAGGTTATATGATGAGGACGATATTATAAACTTATTTGTATATAGGTAATGAAATGTAGTTCATTTGTATAGTGCCGGGTAAAATTTTTTCTAACAGCTGAATTATACATGGTTGTTGAAACAATAAAGTATAAATAACTCATAAATGATAACAGTAGGCCAGAAGGCATAAATAATGAATAGTGTCATAGGAATTCTGAAAATGGTATACCTAAAATCATATCTCTTTACAGTGCTTATCCCATCTAACCACCAGTACGTTCTTCATTTATCACATAATGATTTTAAAGACAGTCTTTACACGTTCATTAGTTATTGTGTAATTTATTGATGAATCACCTTGACCAACAGAAACATGAAGTAACAGGCAAACTTCACTGTTCTTCAACTTCTTCCAAAGTCAACTACTATATAAACAGACAAGAGACCGCTGAGTCAATATGATCAAACAATGTTAAGAGTTAATGATGGGTAATGGCTAGCAGTGGAATCCAGGATGCGCACTTCGTCCTATTTGAGACTCGTCAGCTGGATATACTTGCTTCCCAGTGAGTGATGTTGTTCCCAACAAGATTTGGACTAGGGAACGATCGCTCCAAACGCCAGCGCTATCGTGGCTTAGCGGTGCAGTGGATAACGCACTGGCGTTTGAAGCGATCGCTCCCGAGTCCGAATACCGATGGGAACAAAATCAGTCACTGAGAAGCAGGTACATCCGGCTGACGAGTCCCAAATGGGACGAAATGTGCATCCTGGATTCCGCTGCTAGCCATTAACCATCATTAACATAATTAGAACGCAGGCAATATCGAGGCATCCGCACAGGAGCCCATATGCCAATAGAAACCGATCAATTCGGTCCAATCAACGACGGTATGATATAAAAACAATTATACTGATGTTAAGAGCTGTAAAAGCAAGAAATATGCACCGAATGAAGAATTCAGCGAGAAGAATATCGGTACTCAACTGACGAAATATACCCATTTATTCATTAACAAGAACAAGGCATGTATCAGCGAAAAAAAAATATTTCCTCGCTGATACATGGCTTGTTCTTGTTAATATCGGAACTCGGCAAGTTTTCCACCTAGTTTTATTACATGGGATTATTGAAAGTAAAATATGTACATTTTTACAACAATCCAATGCAAATATATGATACTTAGTTATACAGTAAGAACTAGCTATCCTTTTAATTAACAACACCCCTCTATTCATTCTTAATTGCTGACAACCAACCCGGCTGATTCAACCGTCCTACCCGATAACAGCCAGTTACACTAACTCTGAACCATATGACGGTTCCATCCCCCTGCTGCACCCTCCATAAACATGAAGTTGTTTACTGTCTAGTGATCAATCAAAGCATCTAATCCAGTTCTACAAGAAGTCAATCGCTACCTTAGTGGCAACTCTCTGTCTGTAGTACACAGTGATGTGTATTCGAATCTCATAGAGGGATATCAGTTCCCAAGAGGTTGAAGATATCCCTTAATGACAAGTAGTAGCATACATGAAACCTAAATCCAAAGATTCCTATCGATTACCTTCACTCCCTGAGTAAGCTAGTGTAACGAGGATGGTATTAAAATATGATTCAAGCATTAAAACTATGCAGGCATGCAATAGTAGCTGAGCTAGATTTAACACATAAAGTCACACGATCTTCTCCATGTCACCCTCGGAAGGGTGCCTAACTCGTCGCTTCCCATCTGGGTTCAACTCGACCGCCCGGCCCGGCCTGGCCTGGCATGGTGCGTGATGTCCACACCCGGTATCCTCACTGCATACCCAATCCCATCCATCTCAACTTCCTTCTACTGCACATCTCTTCAGTGATAGCTTCCTCGTTGGTTCGTTACCACCCAGCCACAGTGAGTTCCTTGTTACTTATCCTGACTATTCTGGCAATCCATCTGATCTTCAGTGTCAGTAACGAGCCATCGTAAGTGGCAGTTGTTGATGAATATCTCTACTTTGTTGGAAATCCCCTTCCGTAATGCACCAAATCTCTCAACCATCACACAGAAGCACTGGATCACTTCACTGACTGACTGACTGACATTAGTGTTGAAAATCCACATCCTGTTCACGCTTTGTGCTGAGTGGAGTGCACAAGATCTCCACCCTGGTTTCAGGTTAATCAAGGAAGGAGTGTCTTGCTGTCTTTTCGATCCTGGCTGCATTGACGTCCTCCTCTGTACCGCCAACGACGACACCGACGCCGCCGCCACCTGTAGTGGAAACGATGCTGTCTTGCCTAGGTAGGTGAAAGAGACTACTTCCTTTAAGTTTCTCCCATTCATGGTGATTGGAGCTTCTTGTTGTTGTTGTTGGCGATGGTGGTGGTGGTGGTGGTGGCGTTGTTTGGGTATCTTCATCACTAGTGTCTTCTCAACGTTCACCTGAGGGAAGTCCCGTCTTCGCTGCCTCACCTCTTCTGTCAACTTCCTAGTTTTCGCCTGTGGATCTTCTAGTTTGTGTGACATTAGACATAAGGTATCATCAGCGAAATCCAAAATTATTACCATTAGTATCCATTTTTAAAAATTTCCTCAAGGGATATAATTTCTCAAATGCCAAATATATATATAGTGATTTGTAGGTTGAAAAGATTCTCTTTGTTGAATATCTTGTTTTGAATATTGTTATGTATAAAATTTGTTTATATACCCCCCAAAAACTAGTCACTTTCTTGTAAGATAAAGTTGCATTGAATACCAGTATAGTTTCTTGGTAACATCAACAAAATAAAATCAACCTTTTTGGTGGTTACAATCATTATCTTATAGAATAAAACTAAAGTACCTTGTAAGAATAAAATTGAGTTCAGCCAACTGCTTCAATTCATCTTGTAAGACAGAATTCAATTTAGCTTCCTGTGAAAAAAAAAATCAGAAAAAAAAATGTTATGAAAAGAGAATCTCTCAAGAAAGAGATGAAAATTAATGTTAAGCTATAACTACTCTACACAAAGCAAAATATTAAAAATTAAAGGGTGCCAATTTCCATCAGTGTGTAAGTTGTAAGAGAAATATGAATTTCAACAGGCAAATTACAACTTGACCGTAGTGATGTTGATCATTACTGTCTAAAGCTTTACAGATAGACAATATTATTATATTATTATTTGTCCCTTGGGTTCCTAGTCGAACATAGGGCCTCAGTAGCACGTCTCCACTAAACTCTCTTCTCTCCAATCTTTTGAACCTGGATCCACAACAGGCCACAAGCTCTCATTTCCTCCTCGCACGATCTTCTCCATGTTACCCTCACCTTAGACGCCCAACTCGTCGCTTCCCATGGGGGTCCCACTTGACACTCTGGCGTGACGCGTGATATCCCCAGTCGGCCTTCTCAGTGTATGCCCAATCCATCTCCAATTGCTTCTACATATTTATTGAGCAATAGCGTCTTGGTTGGTTCGTCGCCAGCTAGAGTTCCTTGTTACTTATTCTTTCAGGCTATCTGATCTTCAGTAACGAACCAGCGTAGGCAGTTGTTGATGAATATCTGTACTTTGTTGGAAATCCCTTTTGTAACGCACCAAGTCTCTTAACCATACAGGTGCACTGACTTGACGTTGGTGTTGAAAATCCGCATCTTGTTCTACATGCTGAGAGTAGACAATATGAAGATGAGATATTCAAATTGCTCAAAATCTATTCAATTATTTCATCATTTTGGATACTTGACAAATTTCAGTAGACATACAAAAATATTAAATCATCAGTGCTTACGTTTATCTGACCTATGAACAGGTATGAATGAAGGTAGGTCTCATAAACTTAGAAGAGCAACTTTCAAGTAGTGAGTCGAGTGTTCAAACCCTGTTTCATCTATTTCCACATTGGTAACCACGTAGTGGCATATTCCTTGAGGAAGTTATGATGCATTAGCCCCTATAGATAAACATCTACCGAGTTGAGTCACTTTTTCTTTCATATATACCGAATAGGTGATTTGACAGGCCTAAACTTTATTCACTGACTGATTAGTTAATAAAGTTTCCATGTTGGGAGATGTAGACTATGTGGTTGGAGTCGCAGAGACGATAGGAATCAAAAGTTGAGGACTCTTGGTGACCTGGATGAAAACCGATCACAATGACGCGGATGTATCCACTCCTTGACGTCTAAAAATTGAATAAAAGTGCTAATCATTATCTTCAAATTGCTTATTATCTCGCATAACTTTGCCTTCTTTGATATCAGTCTTTTCCTTTCCACTTTTCTTTTGTATACTACTATAAACCATGTCAACTTCAGTCGATACACTTGTGTATGAAGTTCACCATTGACTATCTGTCTGTCATTTATCGAAGAAACAGCAACCAATTTTCACAAGATTAAAAAACCGAATTTAATCCTTATGTATGCGAAATTTTGTAGTTTAGATAATTGATTTCGATCACTGAATGGTCTATGAGTTAGATAATTACACTACACATTTATTACTAACTACTTTCGAATATATCCTAAGAGCTATGTGTTCTGTCTACCGTGATAATGACATGTTGACGTAGCTATCTGGCTGCTATAGCACGCAGCGACATGATTATGTTATTAAATGCTGGAGTTGAGTCAGCAGAAAACCTTGTTCCTAGGGTTTCGTGTTTGTTAGCACTCATCAGCAAGACAAAAATGCATCATCATCACCATCAACACCAACATAGCACCAGGGTATTACTGTGTAACGGTCCAAGTTGCTATAACTCATATAAGAACATCAAGTAGCAAGTAATAAGATGAAAGATGAAGAAAGAAAAAGAAATTCGTCAAAATCAGTAGAAAGTAGTCAAAGATAGGAATGAGAAAATGCTGCATTCAGTATAACGATTAGGATCAACATAGTGTATAGATACATATGAGCCTCTGACATCGATTCTGAGCTATTTCACCTGAACTCTCCAACCAATGGTCCCTATTGTTACACGGACCCCAACCAATCAGTCTGCATCTATCTATATGGTTGAGACCAACAGTCAAAGACTTCATGCACTGATGCCTCAACGCCCCGAACCTTCTTCAAGACTACACCTACTTCAGCCAACATTGAAGGACAAGGCAGACGGTAACTATGCATGCGAAACATGTTTCCGAGCCATCTGAATGGATGGCGGTTCAGAACATCATAAGTTGACTTTCCCCTCCTCCATAAAATTCTATATCTGACCTCCGTATTACTGATTTGGCGATAACAAGACACAGCCTAAGCTATGAAGGCAATGGTGGTCAAACATCTGAAGCCTTTTCTTGTCTCCCACCTTAAATGGCCATTTTTCGTAGCCTTATAGTAGAACAGGTGAAAATTAGGAAGTTGACAGAAGAGGTGAGGCAGCGAAGACGGGACTTCCCTCAGGTGAACGTTGAGAAGACACTAGTGATGAAGATACCCAAACAACGCCACCACCACCACCACCACCATCGCCAACAACAACAACAAGAAGCTCCAATCACCATGAATGGGAGAAACTTAAAGGAAGTAGTCTCTTTCACCTACCTAGGCAAGACAGCATCGTTTCCACTACAGGTGGCGGCGGCGTCGGTGTCGTCGTTGGCGGTACAGAGGAGGACGTCAATGCAGCCAGGATCGAAAAGACAGCAAGACACTCCTTCCTTGATTAACCTGAAACCAGGGTGGAGATCTTGTGCACTCCACTCAGCACAAAGCGTGAACAGGATGTGGATTTTCAACACTAATGTCAGTCAGTCAGTCAGTGAAGTGATCCAGTGCTTCTGTGTGATGGTTGAGAGATTTGGTGCATTACGGAAGGGGATTTCCAACAAAGTAGAGATATTCATCAACAACTGCCACTTACGATGGCTCGTTACTGACACTGAAGATCAGATGGATTGCCAGAATAGTCAGGATAAGTAACAAGGAACTCACTGTGGCTGGCCTGATAACGAGCCAATGAAGAAGCTATGGCTGAAGAAATATGCAGTAGAAGGAAGTTGAGATGGATGGGGTTGGGCATGCACTGAGAAGACCGTTCGGAAACATCAAGCGCCAGACCAGGTACTCGAGTGGCATTGAAAGGAGAAACGGCGAGTTAGGCATCCTAGCTGAGGGTGAGATGGAGGCGATGGTGTGTGGAAGAAATGAGAGGTTGTGGGCTGTTGTGACACCAGGTTGGAAAGATTGCAGGGAACAGAGTGCACTGGAGACGTGCTAGTGAAGCCCTATGTTGCATTAGGAACCCAAGGGACAAATAGTATGATAATAATATAATATAGTAGAACAGAGCGAACTGCAAATTCGGACACTCGACACTTAATATACAATTGGACAATGTGATGGTGCCAGTCAAGCCTTTGGTATCCATGCAGAGATTTCGTTGATCCATGGTAGAACTGGGTCGCTATTTGGTCACCAGTGAGTGATCACTATCTGGTTCTCAGTGCTCAAAGCTGATGGAAGTTTATCAAGTTTTCAGTGTAGTTACTTAGCTAAGTGATGGTATCATATGGTGAATGTCTATCAGTAGAAATTCTTGAACCTATATGTCATGCTTGTTAGTACTAATCAGCCAGATGTATCTGCTACCACCATAAAGAAGTTGAGGTTCCCTTGGTAATTAATATCTAACATATACACTGCATTATCGTATAACTTAGCGTAGTAGTTAGTTATAATCCAAATGTGATCGATACATTTCGATAAGCTTTGATCGCTAATGACTAGACAGATCAAACGATTACAGGCTTCTGACCATTCCTTGTAGATATAATTAAGCCATTAAAAATAAATTTCTGAAATATGTCAAATGTATGCAATGCAGTATAGTTTTATGAATGAATCAAAACAGTTGAAATTGTATAAACACTATCCACTTACTTCATATGTTAAGTGAAAGCAGAATAAAATAGTAGGTAGATAAGAAAGAATAAGACGACTATCTGAATCATCACGAACACATGTTAGGTGAATAGTCTGTTTCTCATTATTATAGTGTATATACTCATCATCATAATAGGACATCTTCATGGGCAATGATGTATTCACTTGTTTAGGTAAAAGTAAAGAGGGTTGAATTAATTCCTTATCATCATAATCAAATTGTAATAAGTTGACAAGATTATTCCAATCCAAGTCTGAAGCATTTTCAGCACTAGGTCGTTGACGTTTACTTCGTTGGAGGTTACTATCAGCATCTTTATGATGTTTGTTTTTATGAAAAAAAAAAGAAGAAAAAAATTCGGAAAATACAGTAGGACAATCGATAATTTTACATGTATATATAATTTCCAAAGAAACTATGAAAGATGTTAACATGTAAACAGTGTTCAGCACGAAGATACACAACAAGGCGACATTATCAAAATGTTTACTGAAAACTAACTGTCAGTGTTGGTTGTATTATGTTCTCTGAGATGAGTTGTTTAATCGTGAAGCTTTCATCTCCTCTTGCTACACAGCGACATCATCCACAACACTAACTTCAGTATGAAGTCGGCTCTCAATATCTCTCCATCAGTGATTTAGTGGCTTCCTCTAACGATGTCGTCTGTGATTGGTTGTTTCCTTCGATTGTTGTCTCATTGACTGACTGTATAGATTTTCTTGTTGGATGTTCCTCTGCTTCACCTCTCACCTTTCTGTCGTTTATCATTTTTCTCATTGGGTCTATATCTATACATCTGCTGATTGCTGACTGACCAGATGCAACAACCAAAGAAGACAAACTGAATATCATTTACAAAATCAACTACAATAACTGTAGTGAACACTACATTGGAGAAAGTGGTCGCCCTCATCGCCTTCGTCTACATCAGCACCAATTGGCTATTAAACGTGACACACGACATTTCATCACTCATTTCAATGCACATGGATAACAACTGTGGATATGAATTGAATTTCGACAATGTAGAAATCTTGGATGGCTAGAGGAAACACAGAGAATATCAGGGAATTCGTAGAAGCTTAGCACTCAGGTCAGTCAGTCAGTCACTCAGCAATCAATAGATGTGTATAGACATGGACCAAGTCTATCAACCAGTAAGAAAAATGGTAAACGACAGAAAGGTGAGAGGTGAAGCAGAGGAACATCCAACAAGAAAATCTACACAGTCAGTCAATGAGACAACAATCGAAGGAAACAACCAATCACAGACGACATCGTTAGAGGAAGCCACTAAATCACTGATGGAGAGATATTGACAGGTCACTTCATACTGAAGTTAGTGGTGTGGATGATGTCGCTGTGTAGCAAGAGGAGATGAAAGCTTCACGATTAAACAACCCATCTCAGAGAGCACAATACAACCAAGACCATCCACCCTATAAATATTCACCACTATTTCATAACTGTCAGTTTTAACTACCTTCTAACTTCTTATGTGGTTCATATACTCAAAAGAGAAAGGGTATGTGAAGATCGAGTGCAACTGGAATATGTATTGTGCATTCTACACTTCTTATTTTACAAGGTAACAAACTAACCAGGCAGATAACAAATAACTGAATTTCATAGAAAATCTGAATATCTTATTATAAAATAAAACGTTATGTCTCATATTTCGATTAGCCATGATAACACATTACTTAACCTTATTGGAATAGCGCAATGAGAGAAAATGTAACAGAATCTGAAAGATCTACAACTCAGTTATTTGACACAAGTGTGTACAGATTTAAGCGGTATGTGGACAAATAAATCCTAGAGTTGAAGTCCAGTTTGAAGTTCCAGCATTGTTATTATCATTATTTATTATTTGTCCCATGGGTTCCTAGTGGAACATTGAGCTTCAGTTGTACGTCTCCATTTCACTCTCTCCTCTGCAGTCTTCTCAACTTGGCTCCACATCTGCCTACGAGCTTTCATTCATTCCTCACACCATCTCCTCCTCCAATCACCCTCGGATGCCCAACTCGTCGTTTCCCATTTGACTTAAACTCGACGGGCCGGCCTGCCTTGGCGCGTGATATCCCCAACCGGTCTTCTGAGTATATGCCTATCCATCTCCACTTTCTTCTGCATAATTGTTGGGTGATAGGTTCTTGGTTGGTTTGTTGCCAGCCAGAGTGAGTTCCTTGTTGCTTATTCTTATTATTCTGGCCGTCTATCTGATCTTCAGTATCAGTACCGAGTGAGCGTAGGCGGCGGCTGTTTTATGTCTACAGTTTTTTGCTGGAAAAACTTTTCGTAACGCATCAAGTCTCTCAACCATCACATAGAAGCCTTGATTTGACTGACATTAGTGCTCAAAATCCGGATGTTGTTCACGCTTTATGCTGAGTGCAGTACGTTAGATCTCCACGCTGATTTCAAATTAATGAAGGCCTGTCTTGCTTCTGCGATCGTGTCTTTGACATCCTCATCTGTGCCGCCGCCGTTACCTGTAGTTGAAAGGATGCTGCCTAGGTAGGTGAACGAGACAACTTCCTTTCGATGTCTCCCGTTGATGGTGATTGGTGCTTGTTGTTGTTGTCGGTTGGGTATCTTCATCACCTCCATCTTCTTTACGTTCACCTGAAGTCAGTCCCATCTTCGCTACCTCGCCCCGCCTCTTCTGCCAACTTATTCGTTTTCGCCTGTAGATCCAACATAGTTGCCTGAATATGTGTTGACACTAAGTAATCTATAGTAACTGTTAAATAGGACGAGAACAAAAAATGAATATTCCTCGTTTTCGTTCGATTCTGTCGACGGTGAGGTGTTGTCTTAGTGTCTGTCCGACTGTGAAGGGATAACAGAGTAAGTATACAAAGTTTACCAAAGCTTTTTACCCGAACTCACACAGCCATCTCAGGGTTTCTGGAGAGTTATCATCAGAATTGACGACAACTAGTTTTGTCTGCCAGGGATAACCATTGTCACCGTTTCCATTTAACTTCATCATACACGTACTGATGCAAATAACCTTAGGTACATCTGATTACCTGAAGGTCATCCGGTTGGTCTGGATTAGGTAGATGATATTGTCCTGCTGGGAAAAGATGTTAACGCAATGCAGGGTTTTTTGAATGCACTCAGCAGAAATCTGAGTGTGTTCAGCATGTTTCACACTTGTCAAACGTAAGATGATGCTCCAGGACTGATCTGCAACTAGCCCTAGTCTAACGATAGGGTGTGAAGTGGTGGAATATGTCGACCACTTCACATACTTGGGGAGTAGCATCAGCTCGAATGGACTGGTTGCTGACGAAATCTCAGCTCGAATACACAAAGCCCGTTCGGTATAAGCCAACTTACGTCACCTGTAGCTCCGACTGGCGAGATATGCGACTACCTATCAAAAGACTATTATATTGCGTTGCAGTCCGTTTTGTCTTGTTGTACGGCTGTGAGTCATAGTCGTTAAAAGTAGAAAACACGACGCGATCACAAGCGTCTCTGTAGCATTGCTCACTTTCGGTGGAATCATCGTGTGAGCGATGTCGAGGTCATGCGAAGGGTACTAGGAAGGACAGACGAGTCGGTTGATGAGATTGGGGACTTTCATCAGCTGAGGTGGCTTGGACGTGTACTGCGCATGCCGATCCACCACCTACCTCGATGTGTCATGCTATGAAAAGCTGGATTAGGTTGGAATTTGTTTCAGCATGACCAGACCAAGACGTCGTACCAGACCATGAAGTCCCTTACTGTTGGTCTAAGTCGTGTACGAGATGTAGACTGCCTGGTCGGAGTCCCCGAGATGAAAGTAATAAGTGGTTGGGAACTCTTAGAGACATGGCTGGAAATCGGTCACGATCACAATGGCGCAGATTTATTCACTCCTTGACATCTTCTAAAGTTTGAATATTCCCACTAACCTTTATCTTCGGATTGTTTATTCTCTTACACAACTTTGTCTACTTTGATATCACTCTTTTTCTGTAACAACTTGAGCAGAAGCACTTATGTGTGAGGTTCTATGCCAATGTTTTCAGTTGTATATATACAGAGTAGATCGCGCTGCTAAGAAACTATTTGACAATTAAGGGTAAATAACATGACAGTTGTGACAGAAAAATCCACTGGCATTCATTGAACGGAGAGTGATAGCCTTCCTCATGTTCTTGTGAAACACTTATCGCTTGATCAAACAATGAAATTTAGGTCAACCGACAGTTAAGCACAACAATCTAGTCGACAAAATAACTTTTAATATACAAGAAGATAGTTTGATTGAATTTCAGCTGCTGGTTTCATTTTACAAATCCTAGTTGAACTTGATAACATGCATATACAACAAGAAAAAAACTTGTGAGTAAGAAAGACACTAAGATTTGTGGAAAACAATTATCAACTCTCAATCGATCGATATCAAAATCGGCTCCGACATAGCTGTATCACTATCCAAATTTACCAAAGTTCATATGAATTAATCAAAGTAGTAGGCAACATATGAAAAATGGAGACATAAGGAAGAAAGCAACTAAAAATGATATAAAATAACAGAATGTAACAGTAAATGCATGTAATAACTTTAAGTCAATGAATCTTACAGAATCCTCTATCAATTTCATTATTTTCTATTGAAATAACACTTTCAGTATACTGATAAGAAAGAGATAATCCTGCAGTTGATAAAATGAAATTGGCAAAACGATTCCATTCTGTAGATCCATGAAAATAACATGCATCAAAATCATCTTTGTATATTGTCTCTTCTTGAAATTTGTATGGATTATTTATACCCGGAGCATTAGATATAATATACCAACGAGTAAAAATTAGAAGACTAACATCTTCAGATAGACATTGATTCAAACTAGTTAAACACCGTTGTACTGAAAAGATAAAGTAGGAAGGGGGGGAGAAATGAGATTTCCAAATAACGCATAACTCTTGTTTACATATAGATTGATAGTATGAGTTTATCAGCATATAAACTAAATAATTAAACAATAGATTTGAAAAATCCCATAGAAATATGAAAACCAATCTGCCTCGTCACATAATGTTGGCTGAAGTAGGTTCAGGCTGGAAGAAGGCCTGAGGTGGCCAGACTAAAACATGTCACCAATGTATGAAGTCTCTGACTGTTGGTTTAAGCCATGTAAGACGATGCAGACTAGGTGGTTGGGGTCGGTGGGACAAGAGGAACCAGTGGTTGGAGACTGACTGTAGGTGATATGGCTCAGAACCGATATCAGTGGCGTAGATGTATACATACATTATCCTCATCTTAACTACACTATACCGAATCTCACCATTTTGTCACTCCTCTTTCCTTTCTTCTTGTACTTTATATTTCTTTTGACTGCATTCTCTTATCTTCATCTTTCACCTCACTACCTTTCTACTTGATGTAGTGATATGAGATGAGGTGTGGCAACTCGGAGTGTTACGCAGTAATGCCTGGTCCTATGCTGATATTGATTGATTGATTGGTGACAACCAATCAGTAATACTTAATTATGAAGTTATTTTGAATTACTTAACTGAAGGGGCCTAAATATAAGCGAATATGATGATGATCAGTTTAACGATCTGAAATTACCATGATCTCTGTCAAATTCATGTTATTGATACTAGATAATGATTGAATGTAAAATGAATATATCTAAGCGTCAGCAGGATTTGAAGCAGCGACTAGTGGGGTTACAGATCCAGTGCTTTGACATCTAACTGCTAACTAAATTTTAAATTTATTCCAATTAATATAGGTGTTGTTCAACTACTCTATATTGAATTAATGATACATAACTGTTCATTCATCATATTCATACTGGCTCCCCAATAAGGTCTTCTCATCATAATCTAAATCTAGTGGAATTAGACAGGAGGACGATGATATTGTTTATATGTATCACCATCACATTGGCGTGGTTTCCCAGATTCCATTATTACTATTATTATTATTATTATTTATCCCTTGAGTTCCAAGTGGAGCATAGGGCTTCAGTAGATTGCCACTAATATTATTAGTTACCATTGTTATTATTATTATTATTATTACCACTGTCATTATCACTAGCGTCCCTACTAGTAGTAGCAGTACTACTACTATTACCATTACTATTATTATTATTATTTCCAAACAACAAATGTCTTTAAGCCTGCTCCACGTACTCAGGGCTTAGCAATCCAGGTAACAACATATTATAGGGATGAGTTATGTGGTAGTACATCAATCTGGACACAGTTGATGACTTACATTTTTATAAGATACATTTATTATTTACCCCAAGTTAGTACATAAAATTTGAATAGCAATAATAATAATTCCTTATCAGTTCGATATTCACTATCTTTTACACTCTCCAACTGTAATACGTATATTAGTCGTAAATGAATACAGAGAACCATGTAGATATAAGACACTGATGTTGGAAATAGACAATTCTGAAAAATAACTTGAAATAAATAATCTACCTCAAACTGATACATATTTATGTACTAGAATGTGAGAAAAATTCATTGCCAAGGTCGAATGCCTAACCCTAATGAGCCATATTTCTAAGGAAATATAAGACATGAAAATGTTTTCGATCACAGATATCTATCTTTGTAGTACTGCTCATTTATGGTGAAATAAGAATGTGATTAATGGAGTGGTTAAACGGAGGTTATTTCAAGAAATAAAAGTCAGTCGATAAACTTATGAACTTTCACCAACTGAAGTGATTACGACACAGATTATGTATCCAAATTGTTACTCAACTCAACATGATATAGAGAAGAGATAATTCAGTGAAGAAAATTTTCTTTTTCGACAATATCATTTTCTAAAGCTGTACAATTGTATTCATGTATATATCATAAACATATAACAGTCTATTATAAAACAATAGGGTATAATAGCTATATCATTAACTTAGTGCTAAAAAACCAGAATCTTCCTTCAATGTCATTTATCGTGTCAGATGGAATAGTTCAAAAGGAGTACGCCTTCGACAGCTATGCACAGCGGAAGCACTGGCAATTCATCAATTCAAGCCTGATCTCTGTGTGCAAAAGAAGTATGTTTAATCTCTTATCTTGCCATGGTCTTAACACTTTCACATTTTTTTGATTTCATTATAATTAATTAGTTTATTATTATCACCTTCATTATGACCCTTATTTCATTCTTCACCTTCTTTACACCTATCTATCAAATGGAAACTCAATATTTGCGTTTCTTATCTACCAACAATTTTCACCTTGTCAAACTACTTGCCTTCCTCGATATTTCTACTGTCTTAGTTTATTAGGCAACTACATTGCATTCTTGACTCCGGTTTTCGTAGCACTTGGTTAATGATGTAGCTATTATACCCTACTGTTTTTAAAATAGACTGTTATATGTTTATGATATATACATGAATACGATTGTACAGCTTTAGAAAATGATATCATCGAAAAGGAAAATTTCCTTCGCTGAATTATCTCTTCTCTATGACTCAATGGGCATATTTCGTAGTCAACGTCATATTTTAACTGCAATAAGATTAGGTAGGAAGAAAGCTAAAGATGGCCATATCAGGACATGGAAACAAACTATGTACTCCCTGATAAATGGTGTCAGCCATGTAGGATGGTATAAACGGCCTGGTTGGGGTTTTCAAGATGCCAAGAATCAGAAGTTAGAGATTGATAGTATCATGCCTCAAAATCGGTAACAATGGTGTAGATGTAATGATGGGTAATGGCTAGCAGTGGAATTCAGGATGCGCATTTCGTGCTGTTTGGGACTCGTCAGCTGGATATACCTACCCCCCAGTGAGTGATGTTGTTCCCACCGGGATTCGGTGTAGATACGTACACTGTTTGTCATCTTCGAAGTTTTAAACATTCTTATTAGTCATTATTTATTTATTCCCTCTACTCTTGTATATTTTGATAACACTCGTTTTTTTCATGCTGCTATCAAGGGTGGTCAACTTGAACCGATATACTTTCACATAGTTCTACGTTGATTTACGTGTCCGTCTGTCTATTCGTTGAACATGAAAGATATATATAAGTATCTTGGAGTAATGGCCACATACGATTAAACATGCTGGATACAGTTGGTATTAAAACTGGGATCAAAGTGATATTTCAACCGGCAAACCAACTTAGAAACAAGCTTTATGCGTTAAAAGATCTTAATCAACCAATCAGAAAGGATCGCTTGTAATGATTTCAAGGTTGAGGTAGTCGGCCAGTATTATTTAGGCTATCGGAGTATACACAAATTTAGTTAAATCGAAATTGGTAGACCCTTAATAAAATAAGAGGAAAGCTCGGCTAGTCATAGAGTGAGACAACGTGGTAATCCTTAGAATCAACGTAGTTCATTGAAGGGAAAAATTGATAACCAAGTCTTTGTTTATCGAATCAACACTAAGTATAAGCAATGAGAAGAACTTTGAACCTGTTTCAAACATATGAAAAATTCCGCAGCCTATAACACAAAGAAAGGGAAAGAATTCGAACTATATAGACCATATCTCAAAGTTATGCAGCAACTTTTATGCGACGATGTGGATAGTAAATTGTATTCAGTAAATAATTCTGCTCCACTCTGTGATAACTAACTGATAAACAAAATGTAATATGCTTCGCATGGTGCTGGAAGCGTGTGGGTAATTAGTACCTCCTAACTGTCTACGCCATAGAAGCTGTCTATGAAAATTACCTGAAAAGGATTAGTTTTGCGCGACTGCAGAGGCCACCGCAGGACACCTACTTGAGATGAGTGTCATAAGACCTTAAAAGTTTTGGACTGATGTTTGAATGTGCTATCACAAGACATGGAAAACCCACACCATCGGCACCGGAATACCATAAGGCAGGGAGGATTTGCTTTTTTGGAGCTGACGTTTACCAACCTTCTCTACTTCCGATTGGAATGGCAGCATCAGCATAGACCGCTGGTCATCCACTTTAAACACCTTACTGATGTCACAATCCCAGTATACCAGGAACTCCTATTACAGCGCAAGCTATTTACATCATGACCATAACTGCTTTTTGTTTTACCAGCATGCAACATACCTTTCCGGTGTGAAAGGAACTTGAAGAACAATCGTTCCAGCCAGCATAGCTTGTTGAGGAATTGTGATACGCAAGCGCAACCACAACACTACATTAGTAGCTATCAGTTGGCTTCAACTAGACATGCTACGCAAAGCTCAGTTAAGCTATGACCAGAATTCACAGTAAACATCAGACGCAAAACTTTAAAATATGTCAAATGGATAGTTATTGTTCTCCTATTAATTCTCATTATTAAACTATGGCCAACACTCACTAAAACAAACTATATGAGTTTATATGTCAAAGTTAATTTAACTGTAGGTACATACCCATTTCATTCTCTGCAATAGCAGGTAAATAAACTCGAAGGAATCGATTTGATTGTAGAGTATTCCGTTCTTCATTTATATTGTTAATCTTATTATTGTTTACTATAGTGAAAGCATTTCCAGCAGGATCACAAAGAGATATCTTTTCTAAACTCTTCACCTCTGTATGTTTATTTGGTGTATACAACATTTGGCTATTGGTTTTTGTATCAATATGTGAACTATTCAACTCATAAAGATAATTACTCGCCTGTTTAGAATCCAGTTCCTTTATATTCATAAGCTGTGATAAAAAAGAAAACAGAGACAGAAGAGGAATTGGTAATGAAATTGAAAAGAAAAAATGAATTCAATACACTTACTTGACAAGTAGGTATATAAAAACTTTTCACAATACACATATAACTGATAAGAAGATAATATACACTAGAGAATTCAATGTAAGGTATAAATTTTAGATACGCTAGCTTAGAGAATAAGACAGATAGGTAGTAAGTGATTGCTTACAGTTTGATGATGTGATCAAAAGTTTCGTTCCATGACTACATGAAAACAATGGATAACTACCACAAACTCTGGACACCACATCTCTTTCTCTCTCTCTCTCTCACTGGCTGTTCATTTAAGTCATGTAGAGCGATGCAGAATGGTTGGTTGAGGACCGTAGGAACAACAGAAAGCAGTGGTTGGAATCTCTAAGTGATATGGGTCAAAACTGGTGTCAATGGCGCAGATGTATATATACATTATCATCATCTCATTCCCTCCCCCCTCCTCTCTTTTACTACTTTCTACTTCTTTTGATCGATTTTTCTTTCCTTCTTCATCTTCCACTTTATAACCTTTTTACTTGATATATTGATATGAATTGAAGCAACTTGGGCGGCTACATAGTAATGCCTGGTTCTTGATGATGAAACAGTGTGAATGGTGTTAGAAAAGCCTGCAATACAAACAAACAACTATAATAATGTATTTTTGAGATGAATGGGGATTTTGATTTAGAAGTAGTATTCATCATGAACTGGTATCAGTTGGGGAACCATTGAATATCTGGGAGCACTGGACAGCTGTTTTCAAATTGAAATCCCCATTCATCTCAAAAACACATTACTGTACAGTGCACATTAGTGACTTGCTTCCAGATGGATATAACGAAGCTCTAATGAGAAGTTGTGACCTGTTGCGTCAACCAGTAGGAAGTGAAGTGGGTGCTAACTGAAGACCTTGGGCGATAGTCGCGTTATATAGTGAATTGATAGAAGTTGAAAATTGTGAACCACTAAAAACCGGTCCAGTGGCTGAATGGTTAACGCGTTCTCTGTGAAACCTGAAGGTCCTAGGCTTAATCCCTAGCCGGGTAGTGGGTGCATACTGTTGAGGAGTCCCATACTAGGACGAAACAGCTATTCAGTGCTCCCAGATTTTCAATGGTCCCCCAACTAATATCAGTACATGATGAATACTACTTATAAACTATAATAATAATACTTACATCATTTGGCAAACTATTAAAGTGAAACGTTTTCATATTGAAATTCCATTCAGTCATCGTCGTAGGCATTGAATTTGAAAGCACAGTTGATACACACTTAGACAAAATTGAATGTACAGTATTCTGATGCCAACGATCAATCTCCGGTAGACTAGGACGTACAATGAATGGTATGTTAATATCAGATGAAGCATGATCTAATCTACATTTTAAAATCTGTGGACCACCAATAGCCAAATATAAACTAAGAAGTGGAGGTGGACTTATGCCTAGTAAGCAAAGCTGATAAAAGTGAAAAGAATTAGAAAACAGATTAATTTGTTAAATGTATAGCTAATTTTCTTTTTAAAGAAGGATAATTCGGTTAGACAATGAATGTTCTGAATAAATGAGATAATCAAATTCCTGCTGTTATCATTCCTACACGTTTTGGATCCAGAAAACAATACAGAGTGTACTTACAACTGTGTTTTAAAATTAGCCTTACCCTGCAGTGAAAGCATGATGAGGTTTATTGATTCAAGACATACATTACGAAAAAGAGTGCATGTGAATTACCCGACCAATAACTGTTACCTTGACCTGGTGGTCGGGCTATGTTTGTTCCCTTGGGGTCCCACGACCCCAGAAAGATCTATTCGATAGTGGTGAGACGAGAAGTAGTTGCCGTTATAGCTTACCTTATGATGGGGATAAAGGGTGGAGTTGTACTACTGGCTGCATACAGTGTGACATCAGTAAAATGGTTCCCCCAGGTGGCTAACAGTGCTACATTATTGCTGGTTTCTCAATGGAAAGGTGGGATTAGAAAAGATTGGCCCGAAAATTAGAAATCTCCCTACTACCCCGCGGCATACTCATAGCGGTGACAGGCGTTCGTAGTTGGATTATAAACTTACAAACTAAAATCTTAAACTCACAAAACGATGATGTGTGACCCATCTCAAGCAGTTGTCTCTGGCTCTGTAGTCATGTACTAGCCTTACACAGTGTGGCCAGCCGGCAAGTGTCAACTGTCCCCTAACAACTCTGTAGGTCTTCAAGTTCCCTCAGACAATGACCAAATTACCTTTACACTTAAAGATAACTCAATAGCCTCAAAGTAGTGAGTTTTAGATTTAGTATCCGTATCGACTACTTTAACATTGTCAACCAGATAGTGCTGGAATCATTAACCCTCATACAATAAATGTAGCACTGTAGAACATAAACACACGCCAGATTGAATCACATCATATTTTCTCATTTTTACACACACATACACCTTTAACAATGATACTAGTTTAAATGTTCATATAGCTCATTTACTACTATTGAAGAGAGGTTTATTGAGACAGATAAAGAAAATACAACCGTAACAATAATTGATTCATTTGTAAATAATCTCTAGTTTTGTACACCATTATTCTGTACGATTATTATGCTTTATATTATTAGTATTTATTATTCGTCCCTTAGGTTCTTAGTGGAACATAGGGATTCACTAGCACGTCTCCATTACACTCTCTTCTCTGCAATCTTTCCAACCTGGTGTCACAACAGCCCACAGCCTCCATTTCTTCCTCACACCATCGCCTCCGTCTCACCCTCAGCTAGGATGCCTAACTCGCCGTTTCCCCTTTCAATGCCACTCGAGTACCTGGTCTGGTGCTTGATGTTCCCGAATGGTCTTCTCAGTGCATGCCCAACCCTATCCATCTCAACTTCCTTCTACTGAATATTGCTTGAGCCATAGCTTCCTCGTTGGCTCGTTACCACCCAGCCACAGTGAATTCCTCCTTGCTTATCCTGACTATTCTGGCAATCCATCTGATCTTCAGTATCAGTAACGAGCCAGTGTAGGCTGCAGTTGTTGATGAATATCTCTACTTTGTTGGGAATCACCTTCCGTAACGCACCACGTCTCTCAACCATCACACAGAAGCACCTACTCACTTCACTGACTGACTGACATTAGTGTTGAAAATCCACATCCTGTTCACGCTTTATGCTGAGTGGAGTGCACAAAGTCCCCACCCTGGTTTCAGATTAATAAAGGAAGGCCCGCCTTGCTGTCTTTTCGATCCTGGCTGCTTTGACGTCCTCGTCTGTGCCGCCGACGCCGACACCGACGCCGCCGCCACCTGTAGTGGAAACGATGCTGCCTTGCCTAGGTAGGTGAAAGAGACTACTTCCTTTCAGTTTCTCCCATTCATGGTGATTGGAGCTTCTTGTTGTTGTTGTTGGTGGTGGTGGTGGTGGTGGTGGCGTTGTTTGGGTATCTTCATCACTAGTGTCTTCTCTACGTTCGCCTGAAGGAAGTCCCGTCTTCGCTGCCTCACCTCTTCTGTCAACTTGTTAGTTTTCATCTGTAGATCTTTCAGTTTGTGCGACAAGACATTAGACACAAGTCATCGACGAAATCGAAATCTCCTAGGTTCTTTTCTACGGTCCAGCGTATCCCCCTTGTTTTCGCTCTTCACTGTTTGTTACATGATCCAGTCCACTACAATCAGGAATATGCTTTATATACTTCTATACAATAATGTATATTCTTTTTGTGTGACTCCTCATCGGTCGATCATTACGGCTTTCAACTTTGCCAACATATACTACTTATAGGCATGCTTATAAGTAGCTCTCAATGCACAACTACAAGCTCACTTCACATATATCAAGGATGACAACCCTAACTTCTTCAGGATTCTTAATCGCGAACGCATAGCTTGAACCTAACCAAAAAAGTATACTGAATAAATATGAGTCTTTTAAGCCGCTGAAAACTCGCCATCTTATTTTGTGGTCATCTTAGATTAAATAACGATAGAAATTCATTATCAGTAAACAGAATTGATTTGCGTGACTTCAAAAACCCATGTGTTCAGCTTAAACACTGGTGATCTAACTGGAACCCAATCTCAATGATCTATATTACTAAAAGTTGTAGGAATTCAAATATTGGCTCAGAGGCGAAACCTTCATAAATAATACAGTTAAGTGGAAGAAAATCATGAATCTGAAATAGTGGAGAATATCTGTAGCTCAGGTGGATGGTAATGGTTGTATTATGTTCTCTGAGATGGGTTGTTTAATCGTGAAGCTTTCATCTCCTCTTGCTACACAGTGACATCATCCACAACACTAACTTCAGTATGAAGTGACCTGTCAATATGTCTCCATCAGTGATTTAGTAGCTTGCTCTAACGATTGGTTGATAGAATTGGGTCTATATCTATACATCTGTTGATTGCTGACTGACCAGATGCAACAACCAAAGAAGACAAACTGAATATCATTTACAAAATCAACTACAATAACTGTAGTGAACACTAAATTGGACAAAGTGGTCGCCCTCATCGCCTTCGTCTATTATTATTATTATTATTATCATTATTATTATTATTATTATTGTTATTATTATTATAATTATTGGTTCCTTGGGTTCCTAGTGGAACATAGGGCTTCAGTAGCACGCCTCCAGTGACCTCTGTTCTCTGAGATCTTTTGAACCTGGTTCCACGACAGCCCACAACCTCTCATTTCCTCCTCGCACGACCTCCTCCATGTCACCCTCGGACGTCCAACTCGTCGCTTCCCATGGGGATTCCACTCGAGGGCCTGACGCGTGATGTCCTCAGTCGGCCTTCTCAGTGCATGGCCAATCCATCTCCACTTCTTCCTGCATATTTGTTGCGTGATAGGTTCTTGGTTGGTTCGTTCCCAGAGTTCCTTGTTGCTTATTTTTTCTGGCCATCTGATCTTCAGCAGCGAGCGTAAGCAGTTGTTGATGAATGTCTGTAGTTTATTGGAAATACCTTTCGTGACGCGCCAAGTCTCTGACCACTACATAGAAGCACTGACTTGACGTTGGTGTTGAAAATCCGTATCTTGTTCCGCATGCTGAGTGCAGAAGATCTCCACACTGGTTTCAGGCTAATGAACGCCTGTCTTGCTTTTCCGATTCTGACTTTGACGTCCTCGTCCGTCCCGCCTGTAGTTGAAACAGTGCTTCCTAGATAAGTGAAGGAGGTTACTTCCTTCAAGTTTCTCCCGTTGACGGTGATTGGAGTTTGTTGTTGTTGTTGATGGTGGTGGTGCGGTATCTTCATCACTTCTGTCTTCTCTATATTCACCTGAAGTCCCGTCTTGCTGCCCTGCCTCTTCTATCAACTTGTTAGTTTTTGCCTGCAGATCTTCAAGTTTATGTGACATTAGGCATAAGTCATCGGCGAAATCCAAGTCTTCTAGGTTCTTTTCCGTCGTCCAGTGTATCCCCCTCTTCTCGCTGCCTACTGTTTGCTGCATGATCCAGTCCACCACAATAAGGAATATCATGGGGGATAGTAGGCAACCTTGTTTCACTCCTGTCTTCACTTCAAAGGCATCACTGAGCTTCCCATTGTGGATTACTTGGCATGTGGCATCTTCATATAGTTGTTGAATGAGGCGGATAAAGGTTTGCGGTACTCCGTAGTATTGAAGCAGTTTCCAAATTACTTCTCGGTCGACGCTGTCAAAGGCCTTCTCAAAGTCGATGAAGTTGAGGTAGAGAGCTGATTGCCATTCTATGCTCTGTTCTATGATGATACGAAGCGTTGCAATTTGGTCTGCACATGATTTGTACTTCCTGAAGCCTGCCTGTTCCGGTCGCAGTTTTGAATCCAGTGCGTCTTTAAGCCTCTCCAGGATGATGCGGCTTAATATTTTACTTGGGGTGGACAGGAGAGTGATTCCGCGCCAGTTCTTGCAAGCACTGAGGTCTCCCTTCTTCGGCAGTTTGACAAGGTAACCCTTCTTCCAATCGTCAGGTACCTTCTCTTCCTTCCACACCTTCTGCAATAGTGGTGTGAGCATGTCCGCTGTTGTCTCTGCATCTGTTCTCAGTGCTTCTGGCGGTATTCCATCTGGTCCTGCTGCTTTCCCGCATTTCAGTAGCTTTATGGCGTTCAGGACTTCCATTTTCGTTGGGGGATTTATGTTCACTTGTAATTCAGCGGCTGCAGGTGGTATTTCTGGACGAAGTGCAGGTGGTGGTCGATTCAAGAGCTTCTTGAAGTGGTCGGCCCATCGTTTCCTCTGTTTCTCTTCTTTTGTAATTAAATTTCCTTCTTCATCTTTTATTGGTTTCATCTGTGTTGGTCTCTTCCCTGATAGCAACCTGGTTATTTGATACAATGTCGTCAGGTCTATCCCTCTTACCTGCAGCCTGTTCTGCTTCACTTGCCAGTGTTTCGTAGAAGTGTCTTTTGTCTTTGCGTGCACTCTTCTTCACTTCTTTGTCCAGTGTTTTATACATTGTGCTCAGTTCCTCTTGTCGTTGAGCATCCTTGCACTGGTTTATCTTCTGCTTCACCATCCTCCTCTCCTCTATCAGCTTCCAGGTATCCGTCGAGATCCATTCCTTGTCTTCTTTCTTCTTCCTTCCTAATACTGTTGTGCAGGTTTCTTTCCACATAGCTTTCAAAGACTTCCAGTGTTCTTCCACACAGGTTTCTTCAGGGATGTTGCTCGATGTCTCCCATTTTGTCTTGATGGCTGGCTGCCGTGAAGATCTCCTTTGTAGTTTCATCCTTCAGTTTCCGAGTGTTGTACTTGAATTGAGGTCTATCACCAGCTTCCTTGAAGGCTTTTAACTTGATTTGGAAGGTTCCTTGCACTAGATAGTGGTCTGAACCTACATCTGCTCCTCTTCTTGACCTTGTGTTAAGTAGACTGCGTCTCCATTTTCTTGAGATTGAGATAAAGTCGATTTGATTTTTAGTGTGTCCATCTGGTGAAATCCATGTCGCTTTGTGGATATCTTTGTGCCTGAACACACTGCCTCCAATCACCAAATCGTTGAATGCGCAGAATTCTGCAAACAATTCTCCATTCTCATTCATTTCACCTAGCGCCTCTCGACCCATGGTTAGTTCTCTTCCCGTGTTGTCCCCTCCCAGTTTGGCATTCATGTCGCCCATTAGAATTTTGATATCGCCAACTGACGTCTTGTCCAGTGTTGATTGAAGTTGTCTGTAGAATTCCTCCTTTTTCTCTTGCTCTGCATTATTTGTAGGTGCATAACATTGTATGATTGTGACCTTTCTTCCTTTTGAGTTGAATCTTGCTGTCATGATCCTGGAGGAGATTGGTTCCCACTGCATGAGAGCCTTCGATGCTCTTGAGGACATCATGATAGCCACTCCCTCAGTGTGCTCGTGGTTGGCGTCTGGGTGACAACATCGGAGTAGATTATTGATTCTCCAGTTGACAGTTTGGAGAGTCCACTCCCATTCCATCTGCTTTCGCAAATCCCAAGCACTTCGATGTTATACCTTCTCATCTCCTTTGCAATCTGGGCTGCCTTACTGGGTTCAAACATCGTGCGGACATTCCATGTCCCCACGTTTACTTTCGCTTTCATCGAGAGAAGACACATCGGCCAATTGGCTTCCCGAAGGCTTTCACCAACTGGCGTCATTTCGCCTCTCCGATTCCAGCGGGGAATAAGTTTGTTTTCATTTTTTATATTTTGTTTGTGCTTTGAAGTTTCTTTAGCGGTTAGATTTGTTTTACGGGGTAGGGTTGCTAGCCCTATGCCCAACCTTCCCTCTTTACCCGGGCTTAGGACCGGCTAGTAACTAGTAAACTAGTTAACCAGGCGAGGTTGCCTTCGTCTATATGAGAACCAATTGGCTATTAAACGTCACACACGACATTTCATCACTCATTTCAGTGTACATGGATAACAACTGTGGATATGTAGAAATCTTGGATGGATAGAGGAAACACAGAGAATATCAGGGAATTCGTAGAAGCTTAGCACTCAGGTCAGTCAGTCAGTCACTCAGCAATCAATAGATGTGTATAGACATGGACTCAATCTATCAACTAGTAAGAAAAATGGTAAACGATAGAAAGGTGAGAGGTGAAGCAGAGGAACATCCAACACGAAAATCTATACAGTCAGTCAATGACACAACAATCGAAGGAAACAACCAATCACAGACCACATCGTTAGAGGAAGCCACTAAATCACTGATGGAGAGATATTGACAGGTCACTTCATACTGAAGTTAGTGGTGTGGATGATGTCGCTGTGTAGCAAGAGGAGATGAAAGCTTCACGATTAAACAACCCATCTCAGAGAACATAATACAACCAAAATCATGAATCTTTCAAGATTTCAGACTCAGTCTTTCAGGGATCAACAAATTCAAAGTCTATTGCGCTACTCCCCACCAGAAGAACCTAGAAAATCAAACACTGGTCTGAGTTCAGTGATTTTATTATCTCAGCAATCGATGGACAAAAAATCAAAACACCTACGTATATGTATACATACATGGAATTCAAACTTGTTGACGAATGAGAGTATCACTTGGAAAATATGAGAAGATGAAATATTGACCATGGTGTAAAATGAAACCACAAAAATAGTTAGCTTGGATACTGAGGCTTTCTAACGATCTCACCAATACAAAACATGTATTAACTAGTGCGTTTTTTTTTTGAGAAATTTTTACTTGCCCATTCCTAATATGTTTTATCATTGGAGCAGTGAACACAAAGGCTAGATACCAATTTTGTAGAAAGTACCATGCAGAAGGAAGTGGAGATAGATTAGGCATACACTGAGAAGGCCGACTGGAGACATCACGCGTCAGGCCAGAGTGTCCAGTGGAACCCCCATGGGAAGCGACGAGTTGGCGTCCCAGCTGTGAGTGACATGGAGGAGATCGTGTGAGTAAGAAATGAGAGCTTGTGGGCTGTCGTGGAGCCAGGTTCAAAAGATTTCAGAGAACGGAGCTCATTGGAGACGTGCTACTGAAGCCCTATGTTCCATTAAGAACCCAAGGGACAAATAATTCCATGTTTAATTACTAGTCAGTAGTCTTACTTCCTACAGATTCTCCAGTAGGTAATGAATCATATCAATCGTTTCAGTGTCAATGATACGACCTGACAGCCAGAACTTCTGTACGTGAAAGGGGATAAGAATCCAAAACCCATTAGTTGGAAGTCATCTCATTAAACCCACGAGTCACAACCATAGAAAAACGTAAAGAACATGGAGATAAGAACTGTTAAAAATAGCATTAACAAATACCTTTTTTATTCCAGTATATAGAACTATCCCAACTCCAGGTTCTAAGCAAATAGTTATCAGTGAATACGGCACATACACTGCATCACAAGCTCGAAGATGAACTAGACTGCCAAACATTGTTTGATTATTGTCTGACTGTTTACAATCACTGTTATATAAACCAGCCACTTCATCATTTATCCGCAAGCAAGCTAGTCGACACAGTTTGTCATCAACATCAGGTGAACCAATAAGAAAACAAATCCATGAAACAGATGTTAAATCAATAGCCAAAAATGCAAGTGATTTCACTGGGCCAGATTTATGATGTAGATGAATTGAATTGTTACCTTGAAGCCCTGTAAAGGGACTTGATAAGAAAAGACATTAAAGGTGATAAAATCATAAGTGAGCTTAAACTATAATAGAAACCAAACAACTAAGCTTATAACTTAGTGAATAGGTATAGAATGTGACAAGATTGAGTAAGAAAAATACACACACGTACATAGAAGTCAAAAAAACTTAGAGATTCCAGTGAGATAACGTCATATACGCCTATTGTATAACACTATCCAAATGTACGTATGTTAAAGGGTGAAGTAGGGAATGCTCCCATGACCTAATAGCTAAAAAACTAAGTTTGCTACGTTCACATACACAATCATCGCATACAGAAAAGAAAAAAAACAATGAGTAAACAAAAGAAATGAATTCGAAAGCTTTAGAGGCTCCCTATATTATCATATACACACACACACACACACACACACACACACACACACACACACACACACATTGCTCTTCTAACTACCTAGTACAGAAAGTGAAAATGAAAGGCTTAGTTATAAAAGGTGTTATACAAGTATTTATATGAACATATGAACAAAGGATATTTCATAGAAAGTGGGTGAACTCACGATATATTAATTTCTGAACAGACGGCTTTACTCTTCGCCTTCATAGAAGGACTATTAGAGTAAGTTGATTCCGTTTTCAATGTAGGAAATGGTAAATCAGGAAGACGTCTACTTAGTAAGGCGAAACGACCAGAAGCTGACAACAAGTCAGAAGCATCTATTTATTTCAAAAATATATACATATATATATATTATTATAACACTAATAAGCTCTGAAACACAATAGATCTCGTGGAATAATTTTAAATATAAGCTGAAATACAACAATTACATAACTAATAGGTCAAGGGGAATGACAACATGAAACAGACACCTTTTAATCCTTCTTATTAAAAAAAATATACCTAAAGATGACAAAAACATAAGGTAACTTAATAAGGGTGATTAGTGTTTTTGGAAAATTCATAGTCTCAATTGTCACTTGGTTATATTTCAAACATTCAGAAAAACACTGTGTGGGGGGGGAGTAATCTATAGACAAATTGTTCACTTATTGGTTACACAAGTCAACACTTCATAGTAAAATCATCAATGATAAGCATACTAATTGGCTCATCCCATCCATCCAGATCAACCTAGGACCAGGCATTACTGCGTAACACTCCGAGTTGCCACACCTCATCTCATATCACTACATCAAGTAGAAAGGCAGTGAGGTAAGAGATGAAGATAAGAAAATTCAGTCAAAAGAAATATAAAGTACGAGAAGAAAGAAACGAAGAATGACAAAATGGTGAGATTCGGTATAGCGTCGTTAACATGAGGATAATGTGTGTATACATCTACACCATTGACATGAGTTCTCAGCCATATCACCTACAGTCAGTCTCCAAACACTGGTTCCTCTTGTCCCGCAGACCCACACCACCTAGTCTGCATCGTCCCCATATGGCTCAAACCAACATTCAAATACCTCATACATTAATGCCACGATTTAGTCTGGCCACCTCGGGCCCTTTTTCCAGCCTGGACCCACCTCAGCCAACATTGTGTGACGAGGGAGACGGCTGCTAGGCATACGTAACACGTGTCCCAACCATCACAGTCGACAAAGGCCTACAACCTCGTCAACTGACTTATCTCTTCTCCCTAAATTCTACTCCTGACGTCTGCGTTACTCACGTGCTGACACCACGGAATACGGCGGCCTATAAACTACAAAGGCAACGGTGGTCAAACACATGAAGCCTTCTCATGTCTCCCACCTTCAATGGCCATGTTTCACAGCCATAGAGTAGAACAGAGGGGACTGCTGTGCAGTACACGCCACCCTTAATAGACAATCGGATATCACGGCGGCGCAACAGCTGGCGTAAGTTGGCAAAAGCCAACACATGTATTTGTTGGTAGAGGTATAAAAAAAAGGTTGAAAAATGGTAAACAGTGATGAAGTGTATACACTAAATTGTTTAAATGCATTAAAATACACACTGTGCGGGGGGGGGAGTGAATAGAAATATGAAGTTATTTGAGTAATCTATAGACAAATTGTTCACTCAATGGCTACACAAGTCAACATTTCATAGTAAAATCATCAATGATACGCATACTAATCGGCTCATTAGTACACTATACAACTTTCTATCACATATGAAAGGAAACTGATGGAAGTTACATATGTTGCCTTGTAGAGGAGTTGATAACTTTGTAACATATTTGATTCCTAAGGAGGTTTCAACTTATTTAATTCCTAGGTAAAATATCCTCAAAACACTTTCTGTTCACAGCGTGTTAAACAATGACAGAAGCACTGCTGTTACTACTAGTAGTTATCCACTGTTCCTTAAATACCTACACGAATTGCCTACTATAAAATGATGCAATCACCTTTAATCACTTCCACACTTACAAGGAATACAAGGTAGGATTTTCTCCTTTTTTAAGTTGGATTCATGTTTTGCTGGACTGGATGGACCAGGTGAAACTGTTGTATTGAATGGTTGGATTAAAGTTGGCTCTGACCAAACAAGACGAAGACAAACTTTTGGTAATAATGGTTCATCTAATAGATTTTTAATTTGATCAGGATCAATAAAACAGAATTTATCAGTTCGAACTTGAGTTTCATATTGATTAGTTGGATAAATGTTAGGTCGTGTAGAAGCTCTAAAACAAAACAAATACGTCTAAATTATGCACTAAGCTTTTGAAAAGAGTATAGGAATAAAGCAAAAGTAAAAATTGAGTATTTCACTTACTTCTTAGGTGTCATTTATAAACAATATAGTCATCAATGCAATGGTAATATAAAACAGACTGGCAACTGAATAATTAATCGTTGGATAATCAAACTGAAACACTCATGTCACAGGTATTGATAAGGTTGGTTGAAATCATCACTCATATATTTAGTTAGATATAGTTAGATGAAGATATTCTCTAGGATGATCTTTCCTTGAACCCTTTTAATATTCTTACATTTATAATCTACCAATCTTTTCTTACGAAACAAGCTTACTAGTTATTTGGGTTATGGTAAGGAGACTAACAATGTCCAATGGCTTATTTTCATCTCTGTTGACCATCTTATATATTAACTTTGGAAAAAGCTCACTTGAATGACACGTAGCTGACATTTCCAAATACACTGTATACATGAGGTCACTTGTTCAAAAATCCTGTCATACATCAAAATTTTCATTTCACTTTCAATATCTTTCTAACTCACATTAATTTACGACAGATATTTAACTTCACAAATTAAAACAAAGCAAAACCTGATGGTAGTTAAGTACTCTATGAGCCGTGGATGTTTCATTCTCAAGTTTGATGATATTCTCAGCATTAACTTGATCATATCTTGTTTATAATGAAGATAGAATTGAGTGCAAAGATTCTGAAAACAGTTTTGATTATATTAATTATTAGTTATTTGTCCCTTGGGTTCCTAGTGGAACATAGGGATTCACTAGCACGTCTCCACTACACTCTCTTCTCTACACTCTTTTCAACCTGGTGTCACGACTGCCCACAACCTCTCATTTCTTCCTCACATCATCTCCTACATCTCATCCTCGTCTCGGAAGCCCAACTCACCGTTTCCCATCTGCGTTCCAATCGACGGCCCGGCTCGGCCTGACATGGCATGGTGCGTGATGTCCACACCCGGTATCCTCACTGCGTGCTCAACCCTATCCATCTCAACTTCCTTCTACTGAATATTGCTTGAGCCATAGCTTTTTCATCGGCTCGTTACCACCCAGCCACAGTGAGTTCCTTGTTACTTATCCTCACTATTCTGGCAATCCATCTGAGCTTCACTGTCAGTAACGAGCCAGTATAGGCACTTCTTCATGAATATCTCTACTTTGTTGGAAATCACCTTCCGTAATGCACCAAGTCTCTCAACCATCACACAGAAGCACTGGCTCACTTCACTGACTGACTGACCGACATTAGTGTTGAAAATCCGAATCCTGTTCACGCTTTTTGTGCTGAGTGGAGTGCACAAGATCTCCACGCTGGTTTCAGGTTAATCAAGGAAGGCGTGTCCTGCTGTCTTTCCGATCCTGCCTGCTTTGACGTCCTCGTCTGTGCCACCGACGCCGACACCGCCGCCACCTGTAGTTGAGACGATGCTGCCTTGCTTAGGTAGGTGAAAGAGACTATTTCCTTTAAGTTTCTCCCATTCATGGTGATTGGAGCTTCTTGTTGTTGTTGTTGTTGTTGATGGTGGTGGTGGTGGCGGCGTTGGTTAGGTATCTTCATCACTAGTGTCTTCTCTACGTTCACCTGAAGGAAGTCCCGTCTTCGCTGCCTCACCTCTTCTATCAACTTGTCATATTTTGGCTGTAGATCTTCGAGTTTGTGTGACATCAGACATAAGGTATCATCAGCGAAATCCAAATCTTCTAGGATCTTTTCCTCGGTCCAGCGTATCCCCCTCTTTTCGCTCCTCACTGTTTGTTACATGATGCAGTCCACTACAATCAGGAATATCATGGGTGATAGCAGACAGCCTTGTTTTACACCTGAGTAGTTTTAAGGAAGAATAATCGACTTCGTAAATTGAAGATAATACAAATCAATTTCATCTAAATAATAGATGAAAAGAACGTATCTTATTCTAATCTATGTGAACTTCAGTATGATGAAATTGATGTACTTAACTCATGTTCACTGTCATCATCATCAAGTCAGACACTACATTACAAAGAAATAATGGATTCTTATGATCCCTTAAACCCATTTACACTGGCAAATTATTAATTCTTCAAATAATCTTATGACTTGACTTCAGTTTACACAGTATAACAAAGAAAATAAATTGTTATAACGAAACAATCTTAGTTACTGATTGCTAGACAATAGTCACAAGACATACACTGACATGGTCTTCAAATAGTTTACTGCCTCAATAAATATAAAAACTCACAATCTTCCTTGTAAGGTAGATATATTCATTGGATTGTACTTTGAAGTATGAATGCCACCGATTGGTTTAGGTGTACAAGTGTTTCCTATTGACTGAGACCCCACAATAGATGTCCTTCTTAGATAGAAATTTCCTGAGTTATTGAATGTAGACGGTACATAGCTTAAGTTATTGCAAGGTATGACATTAGAAAGACGACTAATGTGAGCATCAAGGTTCATAGGTGTGAAAGGGGAGATCTAGAAAGAAAGAAAATGTACAAATCAGTACATGAGTAAGATGAAGTCAATATTCAATAGATAAAGAGAGTTTACCATACACAACTTGATTAGTACTTCAAAATGAATAGATTTATACAGAGGGAATAAAAAAAGTCAAGTGATTTAAGATATTTCACTGTGACTCATTGAATCAAGTAGCTGACATTCAACCAGCTATTCATAATTTTATACCCCGTACCAAGTGCTGTAATCGGGCAACATTGAACAGCTCTCATACAATAAGTGTAGCTTGTTGTAAAGTACATAGTTAGTGAGTTTCATTCATCTAATTGCTCGCATATTTCAGATTACTAAACTATGAACCCTCTAACATCATGTTGTTATCTGCTAGCAATGGAATTCAGAACCAGCATTTCATCTTATTTGGGACTCGTTAACTGGATGTACACCTGCAGCTCAGTGACTTTTGCTCCAACTGAGACTCAGACGTAGTACTCATCGTTTCAAACCCCAAAGCTTCATCCATCAAGCCATTGCTAGCCACCAAGGTGAGAACAACATAATGAGTAACTGGGCAGAATCGGGGTAACCGCATAGGAGCTGATCTACCAACAGATGTCAAGCAATTCAACCCGGTATACAGCATTGGGAGATTACAAGTATTAAACAACTCCAACGTTATGCTAAGTTGTGAATATAACTGACAAAATCAAAACTAGATATAACACAATTATGTTTTTTTCTCAATATTTATTCATACTAAACATAAAATTGGAAAAAGAGAACAAGTTTTGTAGTAAAATGAAAACAATCAACGCTGAATACGTACAAGATATAATCCTGTAAACTCTTCAACAGACAAGAAACTTCAATGTGACTATGAATCATAAACCTACGTCTATTATATCCCAGCTTATGCAGGCTAAATGTATAGTACTATGTGGATTAGATCGTATAATGCAATGTAACAATAAGTATGTATGCACGTTTCAAGTTATATCATACCTATTGTCAGAGGGTTAATAAAAAATATCACCTGCCTTTCTGAACTCCGGTAAGTAGTGAAGAATTAGAAACCATGATAGTGGTGGTAAGCAGTTATTATTATCATTATTGTTTGTCCCTAGGGTTCCTGGTGGAACATAGGGCTTCAGTAGCACGTCTTTATTCCACTCTCTTCTTTACAGTCTTTCAAACATGGCTCCACGACTGCCCACAAGCTTACATTTGGTAAGCAATTAGAAGGCTTTAATCAATCACAAACTCAAAGTGAAGTAAGAACAATGAATATTAAAAACAATAAACCAACTAAAAATTCTTCACCAAAAGTTTATACACCTAAATCGCTAGTGTTTTAATACAGTATATACACTCCTTTGTCCTACTTACTTCATGGTATCTCAGTGTATTGTATGAGATGTGACAATTTGGATTATTATGCTGTAATACCATGGCCTAAACCGATTACTGACTGACTACTTCATTAATATAAATAATAAAAACGCTACATAACACGCTTATCATTGTAAAATTCACCAATAATGAGGATAAAATACCCAGAATACTGAAAATATTATGGAAACATACCAAAAAATGACTAGAAGACTGAAAACTACCACTATAATTCATTTGAGTGGTTTGATTTTCCGTTTTCTTTAAACGTGATAAAGATGCAGCAAATGGACTTAAGCAGACAGTAGAGTTCGATGTACAAGTGATAGAATGACCATCAAATGTAGTTTGATGTCCATCAAGTTTTTCAGAGTGTTTTGTAAACTCAGGTTGATAAACTAGGCCAGTTAAGGCATGCGCAGCAACGCTAACACGACCATCAATATCGACTTGGTACAAGTATATATAATCCTAAACAAAAGAAATAAATTGGAACTAAATGGTTTTACAAAAATAAACATTGAAAAGTACAAAATCCGTGATAAAAAAAATATGCATCATTATTATTATTATTAATATTTGTCCCTTGGGTTCCTAGTGGAACATCGGGATTCACTAGCACGTCTCCACTACACTCTCTTCTCTACACTCTTTTCAATCTGGTTCCACGACAGCCCACAACCTCTCATTTCTTCCTCACATCATCTCCTACATCTCATCCTCGTCTCGGAAGCCCAACTCACCGTTTCCCACCTGCGTTCCAATCGACGGCCCGGCTCGGCCTGACATGGCATGGTGCGTGATGTCCACACCCGGTATCCTCACTGCGTGCTCAACCCTATCCATCTCAACTTCCTTCTACTGAATATTGCTTGAGCCATAGCTTTTTCATCGGCTCGTTACCACCCAGCCACAGTGAGTTCCTTGTTACTTATCCTCACTATTCTGGCAATCCATCTGAGCTTCACTGTCAGTAACGAGCCAGTATAGGCACTTCTTCATGAATATCTCTACTTTGTTGGAAATCACCTTCCGTAACGCACAAAGTCTCTCAACCATCACACAGAAGCACTGGCTCACTTCACTGACTGACTGACTGACATTAGTGTTGAAAATCCACATCCTGTTCACGCTTTATGCTGAGTGGAGTGCACAAGATCTCCACACTGGTTTCAGGTTAATCAAGGAAGGCGTGTCCTGCTGTCTTTTCGATCCTGGCTGCTTTGACGTCCTCCTCTGTACCGCCGACGCCGCCACCTGTAGTTAAGACGATGCTGCCTTGCCTAGGTAGGTGAAAGAGACTACTTCCTTTAAGTTTCTCCCATTCATGGTGATTGGAGCTTGTTGTTGTTGTTGGTGGTGGTGGTGGCGTTGGTCAGGTATCTTCATCACTAGTGCCTTCTCTACGTTCACCTGAAGGAAGTCCCGTCTTCTCTGCCTCACCTCTTCTGTCAACTTGTTAGTTTTCATCTGTAGATCTCCCAGTTTGTGCGATAAGACATTAGACACAAGTCATCGGCGAAATCGAAATCTCTTAGGTTCTTTCCTACGGTCCAGCGTATCCCCCTCTTTTCGCTCCTCACTCTTTGCTGCAACCATACTATTGCATGATGGAATTCATAAGTGTCTAGAAATTAGCTTTAAATAGATCAAATAGTTTATCTTCATCGAAATGAATCATTTTAAGACAGTAAATGAGCTTCCTTAAACCTTATCAAACTCAGTTCATTTATTTCAATGTGCCATACAAATCTGAATAGAAATTCAGTACCAGTGTAAATCAATAGGTAGGTGAAGAAAACCACGACTCACAAAGGGACAAATCAAAATAAGATCTAGCACACAGCAGTACATTGGTTCAATTTGCCACACTTCAGCACAATACCATGTAAAGAACAATTGGATAAGAAAAAGAAAAAATTAATACTAAAGTAGATAAAAATCTATGGAAGGCAAAACAAATATGTGAAGTTTAAGATTTCTGCAATTATGCATCGGTTCATGTTATGACACTTCAGAAACACCACAATAAAAAAGTCGGAAAAGAAAAGAAAAAGTAACACAAGTTGATAATGATTATGATAACAATTTTAGTATACGATTGAATGGAAAAGGCAAAGTAAAATGAAAAAGATGTGTAGTAAAAACATGCATATATTCACTATTGCAACCGACTTCAAGTTCTATCAAATGAAATGTCTATCTTTCATAGTAAATAAGTGCTTACTCACACATACACTAGATATTGGTTTGGTCTTTGCAGTCACTTACTTCAAAAACCCACGTGAATGGGGTTGAACTTAACCCTAGTCTTCTTAATTCCCTCTTTTCTACCTGATGTCAAGTATTCGAACTTGAACCAGTGCAATTTGTATGGGAGTTTCAAGTTGATCTCTATCTGGTATGAAATCATTTGTTTCATAATCTTAAAATTCAATATATCTCGGATATCGGCTAGCACCTATCTGACTCATGCAATAAACAGAATATCTATAAACTACATAGTGCTGCTATCATAAGCAAAAATTTAGAAACTTGTTTTCAATAACCTGAATCTATTGATAGCAAATGGCCTTATGTAGCATCAACTTCTTTATAATCTCGATATGAGAGTGAATACTAACCCGGAATAATACAACCAATCTAGTTAACGAAATGAAACATCATATTAGAATACAGTAAGATACAACATAATGACAGGTATATTATAGACCTTTTAATTTATACTTAAACACCCCCATTGTGTTGCAACTAGTTACAGGTAAAACTTATCACAATATTTGTCAAATCCCTTGCTTTAACAAAGGCATTTTGTGGAAGTGTTTATATGAAATGAATTCCACTAAACGCATCCTGTCGCTGAACACTATGTACTCGAACAACTTCAGCCCCACAAGAATGCGATGACTTATATGAACAAAAGGATGGTTCTTTATGGATGTGCTTTAGTTTTACTTTTATCCAACTTTGTCACAGTCACTTTTGAAGATAAATATCTATACATCGCATTTCTCAGAAACAAACTATTATTATTAATTATTATTATTATTAGTCCCTTGGGTTCCTAATGGAACATAGGGCTTCAGTAACATGTCTCCAATGAGCTCTGTTCTCTGAAATCTTTTGAACCTGGTTCCACGACAGCTCACAAGCTCTCATTTCTTACTCACACGATCTCTTCCATGTCACTCACAGCTGGGACGCCCAACTCGTCGCTTCCCGTGGGGGTTCAACTGGACACTCTGGCCTGACGCGTGATGTCCCCAATCAGCCTTCTCAGTGTGTGCCCAATCCATCTCCGCTTCCTTCTGCACATTTGTTGAGCGATAGCTTCTTGGTTGGTTCGTTCCTCGGCCAGAGTTCCTTGTTGCTTATTATTTCTGGCCATCTGATCTTCACTAGCTAGCGTAAGCAGTTGTTGATGAATATCTGTAGTTTATTGGAAATCCCTTTCGTAACGCGCCAAGTCTCTCAACCGTCTCATAGAAGCACTGACTTGACTGATGTTGGTGTTGAAAATCCGGACCCTTGTTCCACATGCTGAGTGCAAAAGATCTCTACACTGGTTTCAGGTTAATGAACGCCTGTCTTGCTTTTCCGATTCTGACTTCAACATCCTCGTCTGTGCCACCGCTGCCTGTAGTTGAGACAGTGCTTCCTAGATAGGTGAAGCAGGCTACTTCCTTCAAGTTTCTTCCGTTGATGGTGATTGGAGTTTGTTGTTGTTGTTGGTTGGGTATCTTCATCACCTCTGTCTTCTCTATGTTCACTTGAAGTCCCGTCTTCGCTGCCTTACCTCTTCTGCCAACTTGTTAGTTTTCACCGGTAGATCTTCAAGTTCGTGCGACATCAGACACAAGTCATGGGCGAAATCCAGATCTTCTAGGTTCTTTTCCGCAGTCCAGCGTATCATGAGCGATAGTAGGCAACCTTGTTTCACCCATCTTCACTTCAAAAGCATCACTGAGCTTCCCATTGTGAATTACTTGGCTGGCATGTGGCGTCTTCATATAGTTGTTGAATAAGGTTGATAAAGGTTTGTGGTATTCCGTAGTAATGAAGCAGTTTCCAAATTACCTCTCGGTCGACGCTGTCAAAGGCCTTTTCAAAGTTGATGAAGTTGAGGTATAGAGTTGAATGCCATTCTATACTCTGTTCCATGATGATGCGTAGTGTAGCGTTGCAATTTGGTCGGCACATGATTTGTACTTCCTGAATCCTGCCAGCCTGTTCCGGTCGTAGTTTTGAATCTAGCGCATCCTTTAGCCTCTCCAGGATGATGCGGCTTAATATTTTACTTGGGTGGACAGGAGAGTGATTCCTCGCCAGTTCTTGCAAACACTGAGGTCTCCCTTCTTCGGCAGTTTGACAAGGTAACCCTTCTTCCAATCAATTGGCAGGTACCTTCCCTTCCTTCCAGACCTTCTGCAATAGTGGTGTGAGCATGTCCGCCGCTGTTGTCTCTGCGTCTGTTTTCAGTGCTTCTGGCGGGATCCCATCTGGTCCTGCTGCTTTCCCGCATTTCTCAGAAACAAACTATTAGTTTGAAAATTTGCTGGTTAGTTCACAATAATGAGACAAAAATCTTTATATTACGGTTGATTAAATTTTTTTTGTCTGAAATTATAACCACCCCATTATTTTAAATTAACCACACTGCTATACAAAACTGTTTGTTTTTTTCACAGAGGATATAGGTTTTTGAATTTCGACTAGCGCTGAACACATAGTCAGAAGGTTAGCAATTAGGTATTTTGGTGTTCTCTTAGTTAGGCACGAGGATATTAGGTGGTCGATCATAGTGAGTAAATCATATAACGCATTACTTCTGACTTCCCAGTCTAGTGTAGAGTTAAGCAGATATTAGCAGTCACTTTTTATACTACAAAGTTTTCATATCATACGTATAAAATTCTCTTATATGAATGTTGATAAAACGATATCACCAGAAAATCACGAGGGTGACTAACATGTACAGCAACCAACCAACCAAAAAAAAAACACAGCGATACCTTTTGACTGCAATGCAACAATAAGAATAAGAAATCAACCTAGTAATTTTGTCTACAACAGGCCAACACACCAGTAGCAGATACATATAATGCCCTGATGGAATACACAAACACAAATTTTTAAAACAAATCCGTTCTTGTTTAGCGAAATACCTAGCCAACTGTTGAAATAAAATAAAGTAAAACTATGCATATTCAAATATCTGTGCTTTTTGCAGCACTGATGGCATCTGATGAAAAGTTGAACAAAGGATTCTAGTTACGAAGAACAGGTAAACTAAAGAAATGATGAAATTTCATCGACTAAGGCGATTAGAGCTTGAGTTAGACTACATATGATTTTGTCTAATTTGAAGTTAGATATGAGTTGGAAGCGGGGTTTTACTGAAAAAGGCTCCTCATCGATGAAAATATGTTGTTATTCAATGGCTATATTGACTGTTAGTCTTATATATATGGACTGTCAAAACTGTATTTTGGTACGATACAATGACAGATGTAAATTTTCACTGTATACAGAAAGAAACAATTCAATAGGCAACTGTTAGCTTTGTTTATTAAATAATAAGGAAGACAATATGATGACTTCTTTTTGGAAAAAGGAGTCAACTATTTCATATTTCATAAGTGATGACTGACAAATTTCAAGTCACCCTCAAATGTAGTTTGAATTGTAACAACAGTTAAATGTGATATACATAACTATGAGTTGGTTGCTACACAAAGGTATTTGAAATACTTTCAAAATAAACACATTAGGCAATATCATATAACATACCTGTGATGAAGCTTCCTCCAACTGCCAAATAGAATGTGACTTGGTTAGTGAATGATATGTTAGAACCAAATTAAGTGATGGAATAATACCGATGATTTTTAGATGAATATCTGTGACGAATCCTATTCCAAAACCTCCATTAGATAAAGGGACTTTTAGGATCACAGGAGCAGCTTCATCCAGTGGATGTGTAAGACTGAACATTGAAAATAAAGCACATGAACCTGGTGGTTTTGTGTTAGGATTTTCACTGATGAATTCACTGTTATTTGGCTGACGTTCAAGCAGAACAAGTGTATCCAGAGACCATACGTCTCCTATGCGACAAGGAATGCGTACTGTGTAGTGTTCACCCCAGTCGTCTATGAAAGTCATTCTCTCTGACTCGAAAACGGACAATCCTCTTTGAACTCTTCCAGGAATATTCTCATTTACACGAGGCTGTAAGGGAAACATCATTAAAGCGACCATTACTTCTAGTATAGTGAGTTTCAAAAACAACAAATAAAGCCAAAATAAACACTGAAATTAAAACCCAACTAAAATTATTTTTAAATAATAAAAAAAACCACTTAAAAAATCTCTAAAGTGAACCATCAGAAGGTAATATCACTGTAAAAGTATAATCATGAAATCCTGCATGCATCAGAATAATATACGACATTCTATAACTAAGGTCTTTATAACAGCAGATAATTAATTTAGACAGTACCTGTGTGTGAAGCATGTCAGAAATTATTGCAAAATGTGTACAAACTACATACGAATTGGTATGAAAAACCTACTTGATATTGAGTTTATAAAGTAAGGAAGGAGTGATCGACCTTGGAGGTTAGCTTTTCAAACACCTCAAATCTCAACTCATGACTCAAGCAACCAAAATACTCAACCAGAAGATGATACTATGATGTAGACCAGGTAGTTAATATCAACATGGGACCTGATGTTACTGCATGAAGATCCAACAGGCCATACCACAAATTAGTTCATTAACACACAAGACAGAAAGATAAAAGAGTGAGCAATATGGAAGAAAATGTGATCAAAGTTCGAAGTTACAATGAGATAGGAGAACGAAACTCGGTATGAAGGTCAGGATGAAATCAACGTGCGAATCCATTTGCACCACTGAGATCGATTTTCAAACAAATTGCCTAGCGTCTCCATCCATCAATTTCGGTTGTCATGCAGACCCCAACCAAGAACTTCACACTTTCCCTTTAAGGCTTCAACCAACAGTCAGTGATTTCAAAGATAGATTCTATTTTTAAGTTTGGTCACCTCCAACTTTTTTCCAACCTATACCTATTTTATCTAAAGTTGTGCGATCGGGCAGACGCTTAATAGGCATGCGTAATACATGTCCCAGCCACCTTTTTCAATAAAAGTTCACAACCCCGTCGATTGGCTCTCCTATTCTCCCTAAAACTGACTATTACGTTACTGACGTAGTGACACCACGACACATGGTCTATGTTACGAGGCTAACGGTGGTCAGACAACTCAGGCCTTCTTATATCCTCCATCTATAATGCCCATGTTTGACCATAACATAGTAGGAAAGAGCGAAGTGCTGCAGAGTACACTCGACTCTTAATTAACCAAATATTACATCGGCGCCATATGTGGTGTCAGCTGACAAAAGTCAATTTCTATCTAATGTCAGACGATGCATCAGCACAGACAGTTTGGGGAACATTTGATATTTTAGCGATGAGAAACCTATCCCAAACATTCTCAAATTGGCGTTCAATGTGTCTAGATGACGCAGAAAATGAACAGACAGGTCAACGTAGAACCTGGCACAGAAATACGTTAGTTCAAGTTGCCTAAATTTACAGAAGCATGCAAGGAAAACATGGACAAAAAACTAATGACATGAATTTTAACAAAAATGCCCAGAAGATAAAAGATGATCAGTGTAACCAAGAGGTTTAAACTCATAGTTCATATATTCTTCAGGAATCTAACTAAGCAGTCTGAAATCCTCCGCCCAGCTCTGAACAACAGTCAAAAAGATTATGGGCTAAAGGAACGTCTTTGCTTGGCTTTTTTTGCATCGAATCCTAAGTTGGTTAAAATTGCATTTCAAGGTAAGTGGTGGCTCGGCATGTGCAACACATTTTCAAGGCATCTCAGTTGACGAAAGTTCACCTCACTGATTGACTCGCTTTCCTTGCCTAGTACTCTGAACCAGTATCACGATATAGCTCAACCCGGTGTGCGATTTACATACTAGGCTACGAGCCACACATTTAGTGGTTTGTGGTAATACCAAGTCGTTCACGCCAAAGAAGGTGGGATAGCGTTTAAACCAGAGGCCGATCGCTTGAAAGTCGCGTGCACAGGTCAATGAACCACAGTTCCACAATCTGCGCCTGCTCTCGACATCGTTTACACGATTATTCAAATAAAGACCCATAATGCTACGAATAAACATATGACACAAAAATTTTTAGTCTTTATAGCTACTTTCAACGGTCGTTTCAGTGCAACAATGAGACCGAGCTAACTACTGTGCAGTATATCCGTCCTCTGATATGCAGCCGGATGTCTCATCAGTGTCAGAGTTGGTATCAGTTTAAAAACCTAACAGATAGCTGCCATCTTAACGCGGTGATCAGGCTTGCATATCACAGTGACGCGACGAGCTATCCTGGTCGAACGCTTGTTTCCTCGAGGTCGTATCATAACAGAAAGTTCTGTTTGGTAGTCAAAGAACAGTTCGTTATAGTGTAAATTGCTATGATAAGGGTTAGACGGCGAAGTCCTACTGTTGGCTGGGAGTGTGACAGAAGTAAGGTGTTTGGATAACCAACAGTGCCACGCTGATACTGACTTTCCTGTGGGGTGATTTGCAAAAGGTCCACCTCCAAATAAGCCCACGTGACCGACTTAAGGAAGCTGGTCCCTGGGCTCTGAGATCACGCGTTAGCTCTTCTTTTCCAGGTAGCTTATGGAGAAATAACCTTGTACGGTGCTGGTAGCCGGGAACTGTTGGCCGCCCGCAAGCCTCCAGTAGCTGGCAAACCGCAAACAGTGGTATTCCAACTAAGATTCCCTCATGCAACCGAAAAATTTCCGCTGATGCAGTTCCCCAAGCGAAATGACCAACATATTTTAACATTTCACCCCTATCCCTAAACTTGGATTCCGTTCAGATTAGTTATGAGATATCAGTTCACACTTGAAGGGTTCAAAGCCCACGTTAAGAATAGGTAGATAGTTGTTTGACACGTTCAGAAGACTGCATTTTGTGGGCATCTTTTAACTAAACCATTTCGCCTCCATACTGTCAACCAGGTGTCCTTTAAGGATCAAGTTGGTCCCTGAAAAATCGAGGACACATATCGTACTATCCATCACTACATCTACAACAAAGTTAAATAAAACTGTTGATAATCAGCATCCCGGTCTTCATTTCTTCAGAAGACAACTCCCCATACAATCTTACACCGCCGCGTAAGTTAGAGTAGAAAGAGACTTTATTAGCATTACAAACTTGTTCGATGTTCCTATCACAACTAAACATTGACACAACGCCTTGACTGATGGATTCAAATACTGCCTTTAATAATAGCAATAATAATAATAACCACTTTATTCCAGAGTTTGTAGCACAGTTCGGAATCCTCAGCATGATATATTGCAACAACAACAACAAAATATATCTTATGGGTATACTCCTTCAAATTTTCAAGTGTTATAATAAAAATTTAGGCAATGTAAAGAAGAAGATCGCACCAGACTTCCGTGAGAAACGTTGGAATTATTTGATTTCAAACCCGCTATGACTTACACAAATACAATCTATATCTAATGTCAACCTTTTACTCAGCGCCCAATATTTGCCATACTATACGATCAAATCTTGATCATAGTTTATATAAATTACTCTGCAAAGTAAAGAATATTAAAAACGAGAACATTTTTACAATGTCAATTAAGTTATTGAAATGAGTTTGTTAACCGTTAGGAAGTTGATATATGAGTTCTATTCTAACAATTTTTTCCTCACAAAATATGCGTGCTAGGTAAGATAAAGTCAAATTTTAGTACTTGGCTGTACGAGCATACAGTCTGATGTAATTTCGTCTTGTTCTCCCTGAGATACAAGGAGATAGCTCTGAATGAAGTGGATGTTCAGTGTCAGTTAAAATTACTGTAGCTAGTTGTTTGTTAGAATTTAAATCTAGATTAAAGCATATCGGTTTCAGTATATACGCCTGTTTTCAGATCCCTGAAAGGATAAAAATTTGATTGCTTCGGCCACGTGCAGAATAAAATCTTACTAGTTTCCTCAGGTTTGCTGTCTTTGAGATAAACTAGATAGATGACCGCAGAATCACAAGTCTAAGACATTATGTTCGTCAGATTGACTCCCCTCTGAAAGACACAGGCAATTACCGATTGAGTCCACTCAAAAAACATCGTATTCTGACTGCCTAACAGTCGATTTAGTTACTGCTGGGTCATTGTCTAAATGTACCCCTGGTAACATCAGCACGACGTTACTGAATCTCGAATCAGATTCCCTACAGCCTCCTTAGTATCAGGAATAGATTACTTTTATATTTTATATCCCGTTCAAGGCATGACCAGATAGTAGGGAATTCTCAGTGAAATAAGCTTAAGAAACATGTTAATCATCTTAAATTTAAGATGATAAGAGTGAATGCGTTAGTTATGTTAAATTTAGAAACAAAAATAACTTACGATAAACCCTTGAGCAGAATGAAGAGCAGGTAGGAAGAATGAAGACCTGAACGCATCAACAACTGGAGTGTTAAAATTAAGTACAAGTTTAGGAAACGAATCAGAGATTTCGGTGCCACAGCTCCATACAACAGTATTGAAAGATATGAATAGCTCATTAAATAATCCACCAGTATGCCAACTCCTCCAGAATTCAGGAATCTTAATGGTTCTCCTTATTTAAACACTGTAGAAAACTTACATCTTTTGAGGACTCACGATGAGCATCATCTATACAACGGAATTCCGACAAATACTGACATCCAGAGGGAATAACATCAACGACTGCTTTAGCTGATATCATGGTATCTGACATTTATGTGTATCAAAATAACCAGATGTATAACATCAGTCAGAATACATGAGTAGGCGTAACGCAGCACAAGAACCACGCCCACGTATTCCAATATCCAATATCTTTTTAACGAGCTTGTGTAAACCAGTTAATTTCTTCAAGCTCGCTTCTTGGTTTTGCGGAATGTTTCCAGGTCTTTGGCGGATTCCGATGCAGTAGACCCAGCCACTCCTCTGCTATAGCTCTGATTTACAGAAAAGGAAGTTAAGTGTTGGTTCGTTTGCCTGGACTGTGGTGCAGTTGGCTTCTTCAGATGTCGTGTTGCCAGACAGCTGTTCGGACTGTTTGCTAGAGAGGGTTAGGGCTAGTGAAGAGAAAACTTAGAAAGTGTTTGTGTGAGTAAAAGAGGAGAAGGAAAGTGATCTAATGGAGTATCTACTTACACCCAAGTAAGGTGAGTAGGGGTGTAAAGGTATGAAGAACTTAGGTAAGTGAGGTTAACTTATGGCAAGTGGAATGAGTGGAAAGGGCTTAAATGGTTACAATAAAAAGAAAACTGGTTGGGGTTGCTTGAAATTACTTCATGTTCCAGCTATGTGTGGGTAGACCATGAGTCTCTGCATGACTGTCTGGCCTCTTCTTGAAGCTTTCAACAGTTGGGGCGGAGACCACCTCTGCTGGTAATTTCAGTATCCAATATAACCACTCACGCAGATCCAACATCAATAGTGAAAGCTGAGGAAACTTGTATTTTTTGAGCTCTAGCTTCTGGGTCCTAGGGCTTGGCTCTATTTGTCCAGCTACAAACCTCCGTTGGTTGTAAAAGTCCTTACGTTTTTCCTGCTTAGCTTTGGAGGCAATGACTGTCTATTTGAAGACATTTTTTTCTGAATTGTAGCTCGGTTTGTTTGAAGGACAACAGAGCTGCTGACAAGACCAATTAACCTTCTACAACACCTGTTATTGTAAGCATCTTCAAGTAAGTATTAAGCGATGCTTAAAAAGCCCTAGAAAGAGGGTGAGGTATGAGAAAAAGAGGGGTGAAAGGCACTCATCGAAAAATAAGTGTCTCTGGTGATGATATGGAGAGGAGATGCGTCTTACAGCGGATACCAGGATTAGGGAGTATAGGGGGGGTGTATCTTCGGTTCCTGATGACGGATATTAGTGGCAAGCTGTTCGTGCTCACCTACTCACCCAGTAGTCGTTTGAAGGAGTCAACAGTATTAACCGTGGCTACTCCCTTCGGCAGAGTGTTCCACAAAAGAACACTATGAGTGAGAAGTTTGACCTCACTCGTCTTTTCTCTGTGATAGGGTACACGAGTTGTCTTCACGGAAATGTCAGTTTCGGCCCCATAACTTCATCCTATTTCGGCGTTCCGCTTGGTGAGTAGTCTTGTTGGCTGTTATTGGGTAGCCACATTTCCCTCGATAGCTCACTGTGAACAAACTGAGTCGTCTAGAGGGTTGTGTGTGTCTTTTATCTGTCAGTCCGACTGCCGAAATTGTCACCTTTTTCTGTAAATCCTCTGCAGTATTCGCATCTCTCTCAAGTAGCGGAGAACTGTCGTGCCAAATACCTCTAGGCGTGGTCTAGTATAGGTTTTAAATACCATGCGGAATGATTCTGGGGTTAACAGTATCCAAACTATTGAAAGGCCGTTTCACAAACCTAAACACCTTACATCTCGTTACCGTGCTGACGTAAAACGATTATTTCTCCTTGTTTGTCACTTACTTTTCAAGATTCAGCAACTAACATCTACTCAATGGGTTTGTGTAAACCAGTTGATTTCTTCTTGCTCGCTCTTCAGCCTTGCGGAATGGTTCCAGGTCTGTGGCCAACTTCAATGCAGTAGATCCAACCACTCGTCTGCTATAGCTCTGGTATACACAACAGGAGGTTGAGTGTTGATTAGTTTGCCTGGGACTGTGGTGTAGTTCGGTTCTTCAGATATCGAGTTGCCAGACAGTTGTTCAAACTGATCGTTGGAGAGAACCAGGGATAGTGAAGAGATAACTTAGAAAGACGAATGCATATGAGTAAAAGGCGAAAAAAAATTAAATAGTGGAGTGATCTAAGTACACCCAACCGGACGAGGCCAGCACACAGATGTGCAGAACTTAAGTGACTGGTATTAAATCATAGTGAGTTAGAGGAGTGAAAAGGCTTTAAGTGGAAAGAGTGGGAAGAGAATTGGTGTATAGGTAACATAGTTGGAGTGTTGTGACAACAGCTGCTTCCTTCTGTCCAGTTCGTATTCTGACTGGATGAACGTAAACCACGAATCACTGCGTAACTGTCCCACCATTTCTCGAAATTGTTGACGATTGGGCTGGGGACTATCTCTGTTGCCAATGTATTTCAGTTCCCGAAGACTCTAAGGGAGCGGAAGTGTGGTAGCGTACGGGCCCTTGACTATTGGCGGGCAGTTCTCTTTGGGTTTCCACCAGGATCACCATGATGGTCACCTGGTAGTACCCCCCTGTTCGGATGACATAGGTTATTTGGTATTTTGTAAGCCGTTATCAGATCATCTCATGACCTTCGGCACGGTCCATGGTCCTTTAGCCCGTCCTCGTATGGTTTTTACTGCATAATGACAGTGCCCTTCTTAGCCTGCGTCTGAACTTTCTCCAGGAGGTTCATGCCTCTTTTCAGGTTGATTGAGCGAGGATGCTATGGACCTCCAAGTGGGACCTCACAGAGTTTCAAAAAGAGCTCTGTAGTGAGGACATCTAGGTGTCTACCCACAAAGTAATTTATAATTTATAAGAATCCATTCTTGTAAATGCAAGCACCTACTAGTTTACAGGCGTGATTGTATACTTATTCCAGTTCGACGCTTTCAAAGTTTCTGCACACAGTCTTTCACCACAACGAATTTGATTTGCACTTCTCAAAAGAAGGAAACGTTAGGAAATCGTCACATGCCTTGTTGGAAATAATTGGTTCAAAAGACAGCGAGATGACGAAGATACACACTACATAACTTATCAAAACCTTTCTGGATAATGGTGTCGTAGGTTCAAAGCAGAACATGTATATTACAGCAGTACTTCGGTTAGACTTTGCAGTGAGTAAGAATCCATTAAGTCATACTCTTGAAACGGTGAACATGTGCGCACAAAATGACAATGGGAAATTGGCAATTTAGCACGCTGGATTCACTACCCGCGCTACAAGAGGGTAAGTGATTGCGAATAACACTTAGAACGTAGATGAGCAAAAATACTGAACCCGTAAAATATAGGTATTTTTCGAATAAAAAGCTTACAGGTCCACAAATTCTGGCAAAGGGTATACTTTTGAGGTATCCGCTCTGTAATTGGAACTGAGGTCCGGTTTCTCCGTCACCATTAAGCCAAGGTCTTCCTCTGCGGCAGTATGAGAAAGATCTGAACCACAGGGACATAATATTTTCCGTGGACCAAGAGTGTGGGAAAACACGGATAGGCACCTGTTCAGGTCAAATTTCAATTCGTTGTGTTGGAGCGGCTGATACCGCGCACTCGAATAGGCGGCTTTGCAGATAACCAGTACAGACTCATCAACTGGATTCGATCTGAGTTTTGGAGTTTTCTTGTGCCGCAGAGAATACCACTTGAAAAGGGAGAAGAATAAGACGTGTCAGTTTTGCGGATACTGCTAAGAGCATAAGGCGTCGACATTAAGCCATGCCTTATGGTGAGATAATCAACACAGATCTATTCTCTTTTGGAACGCCCCTTGGTGACAGGTTTTTTAGGTAGAGCCCGTAGGTAGTAATGACTCTTTAAACGTGCTCCGGTGCTTCATTATTTCTTTGAAGCACGGATTAGCTTCTTCAGTATTTGATATGTTTCTAGTAGCTTGCATTAAACTTACTAATTTCATCACCCTCGCTACTAGGCCTCTCCAAACGTTTGAGGTCTTTGGCGGATCCCGATCCAGTTGATCTACCCATCAGCCTGCTGTAGCTGTGGTTTGCTCAACGGATGGTTAGTCGATGATCAAATTTGCAGGGGTTGTATGATTTATCCTAGGACTGTGGTGCATATGGACCCCCCCTTGTCACGTCACCAGACGTTTGTTCTGACTGGTTACAAAAACAAGATAGAAGGAAGGAAAGTATATCCAGCGGAGATGCGGGAGAGGAAGTGAGGAGAGACAAGCTGCGGAGAAGAACTAAAGGATGGAGAAACCCAGGTGGGTCAAGGGAAGGTGGAAAGATAGCAGTGATAAAAGGTGCCTTTCTCTGGACACTGTGAAATTCCCTTAACGTTATGTGGGCTGAGACAGAGAAACAACCAAAAAATTTGCATAAGAAGCCTCCTGAAACTCGGGTATGTCATCTGTGTGGGACGCAAAGGCCAGAAGGGCCAACTTGATCATCTTGTTCAACGTCAGTGACTCAACAGACTCACCAGTGGTCGCGGGGGTTGGTTTTACGGTCGAAAGTGACTGGCTACTGTCGGAGAACTGGGCCATATCTTCTCCCAGAGACACTATGTCACCTTTCTCTAGGTAACTGGGCATACCAAAAAAAACCCACTACCCTTACTAGTATCTTTAAACACCATGAAAGAGGCTGGACATGCCCCTCTCCCACTACGAATGGACGCCATCAATGAAAGTAAGACCCCATTCAGGCCTGCCAGACCATGGTAATTGAGAGGGGAGTGAATTTAAATGGAGACCACCAGGGCTGTAGATGGAATTCCAGATTTTCCAAGTGACCGCCCTGCTAAAGATCGGCGCCTCCACGCCCTCCATGGCAAAGACCTTTAAATAAGGCTGGCCTCGTCAACATACCAACTAATAGCACCTACAGACGGCTGACACAGGCGTGCCTGAAGTTCATCCTCTCCATTACACTACTCGCCACACAATCAGACCCACGTACCTCCTACGAGGATGTTCTACACGTATGGCATAGCGCGAAAGACCGCATTGGTGTATCAAAACATATACTTGAGAGTAAGCCTAGGCACACCAGGCAGGAACAGGGACGATAACCACCAAGACTACCGGGGTCA